TTAGCTCAGTGCCACAAGCAACTTTCTTTGAAAACAGAAATACCCTTTTGTTATAAAATGTTGGCACCAGCTTAGCATACTAAATTACTGCTAAAGCAAATGAAGAACAGAAGGTAAAAGATCTGTGCAGATGGGTTCCACAGTAGTCAACTATGACTTTAGGAGAAAAGGCCATGCTCTGAAAATCTGGGGTGGGGTGTGGGGGGGGGTGGTGAGGATGGGAGTATTGTAGCTCCTGATGAATTTGTTATGGCTTCTTGAACAAACCCAGACTGTCCAGCCCAGCTTTTTCCTGTCTTCATGCGCTGTCTCCCACCAGGCTCTGCTCAGCTCACTCTTTCTGGTGCTAGGAATCCATTCTGCCAAATCTTTTCCTTCATTCAAGGACTTGCTCCTTCATCCCCATGAATTTGTTCCCAGTGGCTAGAATGTGCCTGGCACTAGGCAGGCTCCATCAGTATCTGGATGAGCCAACTGGCTGTTCTCGCCACCCTCCTTTTTCTAATCTCTTAGATCCCTTTGCCCACCCTCTTTGCAACGCATATACACACGCACAAAAAAAAAAATCAAAGGGGAGGGACAGCATAAGGAACCAAATATATGATTTGGCTAACTAGTGTTGATTATTCATGGGGGGTGTGTACAAACTTTAAGCTCCAAAGGCCAGCTCTACTTCTCTGTCCTCCATTGCAGCCAGGGTTCATCTGACCTCAATGTTAGTTCTTGCTCCTTTGTACCCAGTCATCTCTAGACAAGCAGCCATGCTTTTTCCCCCAAGCAAAAAGTTGTAGTGGTAGCCTTGAAGGGTAGGTAGTGTGAGAGTAAAGGTTAGAGGTGAAGGAAGAGTGTCTGGGACTGGAAGAAGGTAAATATTTGATCTTGACAGGACACTGAATTACTCTTACCAAAACAGTGAATGGGAAAAGTGTCAAATGGTGTGACTAATTTATATATATATATAAAATGTATACATAAATATATACATACATAATAAAATAGGGCATGGCTTGGCATCTTGTGTGTGTTTCAGATAAACTACTTAGACTCTTGAGCAGTGCTGGAGTGTACAGTAGCGACAAGACACATGATTACTAAAATTAATAAAGTGAAAATTTCAGATCTGTAGTCACACTAGCTACATTTTAAGTGCTCAGTGGCCACCATATTGGACATCAGAGGTACAGAACATTTCCATCATTGCAGAAAGTTCTGTTGGCCAGTACTGTGTCTAGAGTGTAAATGTGAACATTTTAGAAACTAGAATTAATGCATTGTGACAATGAGGCCAAAAGCAGACATATAAATGCATCATGCAAATGGTGATGAATATTTTGGGTAAGAAGAAAGTTGCAGACTTGTTTTCTAGGCCTCTAAGAACCCAGGTTGCTTAGTTCTGTTAGTCTCATGTACTGTTATCATTGTGCCATGCTCTAGTCAAAAAGAGTGAGTGAAAAGTTTCAGAAAGTTTATGTAAATGCATTATTTAATAGCTTATAGGCTAGAAAGTAGGTATATATGTAACCATTAGAGATACCTTTGAACAAAGGTACTGTCTATATTACTTTTCAAATCAATGGCTGAACCAGTAAAGGATAGATGTGGTTATTTTAAAAGCCATCAGCAAAACTGCAAAGGCTTCTTTTAAGTCTTTCACAATTATGAAAAACAAACATCTCCCAATAATGCTGTCCCTCAAAGAAAGGTTTGGTTATATGGAAACAGCATGTCCAGAGATTGTCCCATTGATAGTAGCGTATATTTGCGACGAGCAGAATTTTAAGAATGATCCCTCCTCATGACCTTGTTTAATAAATATCCTCTCCTCCAGCTTTGAGTGTAGAACTGTGGATCTGATCCACAATTATGTAATGTTACATAGCAAAAGGAAGATTATCTAGGGGGGAGGGGCACTTGCATGAGCTCTTTAAAAGGAGTTTTCTTAGGCTGGCAGCACAAGTTAGTCAAGAGGATTCCAGGCACCACTGCTGGCTCAAAGGGGAAGGGGCCACATGACAAGGAATTGCAGGTGGCCTTTCACAGCTAAGGCTTTGGCTGCCAGCCACGGATATGAGAACTGCCACCCACAAATACAGGAACTGAATTCCTCCCTCAAGCTCACTCACGGGCTTGGAAATGGACTCATCTCCAGAGAAGAGCCCAGCCTGGCCAGCACCTCGATTGCAGCTTTGTGGAGAGACCCTAAGCAGAGAACTCAGTTAAACCTGCCTGGACTTTGGACTTGCAGAATGGTGGGATAATGAGTAGGTGCTGTTTTAAAGCTGCTAGATTTGTGGTGGTTTATTATGCAGCCATAGAAATGAATATACTTAAGAGGTGGAGTTCTGGGAAGTCCTTATATTCCATTCCCTGTATTGTTCCACACTCCCATATGGCTTTTGGAGATAGGCACTTCGTACTGCAGGCTGGCCTCAAACTCACAATCTTCCTTCCTCAGCCTCCCCAATGTTGTGGTTACAGGTACACGCCACATGCCCGATTTGTTGGATATTGCGTGATGAACACATGAATAAAAGTCTTTACTAGTAAGTCATATTCTTGGGCTTCAGCTAGGATATTCGTTTTTCAAATATCTCAAGAGTCTTCATTGGAAGTTCATAGGTAAAAAGTTGCAGCTAAATTTTAGTGTTCTGTAAAAGAACTGCTAGAATGAGAATGTAGGAATAGGAATATAAGGAATCTTTTTCCCTAGATGAATTATTTATACTGGTTTAGGTAAGACTTCTCTGGACCTGTCAGAGGTATACGGGAAAAAAAAAAAGAGTGGTATTTTAAATGAGACATTAAGAGAAAAATTAACATCCACCTTCATGTAGAAATTAATTTACTTTGTACAAGAGGCTTAATTTTTAAAAATCAAGTTTATTATCTAGCACAGATCAAACTGTTTATGTCAATCAAATTTTTGTACTTTGAGAATGTTTTCCAGAATACCTCTGTGCTTCCAAGCCATTGCTAATGAAGTTCAATTTTATTTTGGTTTATCATTTAATCTTTGTGCTTATTTTTTACTAGATTGCCATAGCCTTGATGTTAAGACAAATAGATAGAATTAACAGAAAGAAAACTAGAGACTAAAAACACTGTTGAAAGATCGCAAATTTGTGTAATATCTTTGTGTTGCAAGGGATCTTAGATTTCCAATCCAGCCCTTTATAGAAAATGACTTTCCAAGCTATGTAGCAATATTTATAGTGTGTATAATTTAAGCTTTGATAGTTGTGAAATTTTAAATTATTAATCCTAAAATCTATGCTATAACTAGTATGCTTACTTTCTTTAATGCATGTGAACACAGTGCTAAAAGACTACTCCGACAGTATTTGTTTTTTTAAAAAGGCAACCAAACCAAGGGTTTTGTTATACATACCCTATGCCATCACTAGCTGAGTGAACTCTTCTCTTAGCTGAAACACTCCCTAGATCACTGTCAAAAATAAACAGGAAAGCAGGCGCTGGCACTCCAGACTGTTTGAACTGAGATCAAGACATTGTTTGACAGTAATCTGAGTGAAGGGAAGCGTTTGTGAAAGCTTCATTCCTGCTGTCGGTAACACTGAAGTAAAGAATAGTGGTGCTAAAACTGTTCTAAAGTGAGGATTGGGTGTTGTTGGGGACTAGTTTAATACTTGTGGACACTAGGGAAGTTATTTCATGTATCACTTGCTCCTCGCTTTTTCATTGTATTAGTAATTAGCAAATTGTCCTGGAATCAAAGGTTCGGTACTTAGTTTGATTAGCATTCCATTATTTATGTGAAATGCTCAGTGTTTGCTTAAGTTTGGTGAAAACACCTTTTGAAGACTAATCCCTGAGCCTTAAAAATGGTGGCTATCGACAGTACTGTAAGATGCACTGCCCGCAGATTTGATACTTTTCATTTCAGCATAGACAGTAATGTTTTCTAAGAAATATTTAGAAGAGTGCTAAGACTAATAATTACGTTTCACTTATGGAATGAAAAACTTAAGTGTGTTTCATTTAGAACACTTCCTTTGGAAAGGCTGTCTTTGCATTTGTGGGCGTTTCTGGAATCATCCCTTGGAGAAGCTGCCTGAGGAATCTCTTTGCCAGGTTATACCAGATTTTTTTTTTCCTTCTTAAATGTACTGTACATATTTTCCTTAAAATGTCTTCATGGGTTGAATGGTTAATATCATTAGTAATATTTTAGGTACCTGGTCAATTTTTAAAGGAAGATTATTTATTTTCAAGTTTGCTGCTATAATTGAAAACCTAATAACTGGTCCTGTTGACTGTGCCTTTCATTACTATTTCTGTGCCACAGCTGTTCATGTGTATTTGAAATAAAGAAGTTTAAAAAGCCATGTTGAATTCAAGATTCCTTCTAATAAAAATAGGTGAAACTCGAGTGAAAAGTTTTTTTTAACATTGATACAGTAATAGTCGATCTATTTTCAGTTGGAAACAGGAATGGATCCTTTGGGTTTTGGAAATCTTTAAAGAAAAAAAAGTCCTGCTATTAAGACAATGTATTCACTTTATTATATACCTGATGGGACAATTTACATATAAGTAATAGTCCCCATGGGCCTCTTCAGTCTAATGTATTTTGGGGGTTTGTGCTATTTTAATGTCAGGGTTTAGTACAGTGATTCCTGCATGAGGTGTGCTACAGGTGAAAGTAGAGCTGATTAGAGATGGGGGGGCGGGGTACACTGGAGTCATACCCGATAATCCCAGCTATTTGGGAGGCAGAGCAGGATGATTTTGAGTTTGAGGCCAGGCTGGGAAAAGTTAGAAAACCCCTATTACAAAATCAAAAGTGGGTTCAATCCCAAGCACCACAAAACAACAGAAATGGGATAGACTGTGCACCCATCAACAGGAGAGGGTATGTGTGGTCATTACCACATTCTCCCAAAATAATACATTATAAAGTTTTATATTTCTCTCATGTCCTTAAGTATTTATATATAGTTCAGGTGTGTGCAAGAATTATATCAAATGAGATGCACATTTTTAAAAATTATTATAGAAATGTACATTTAATTAGTCTTAAGGAATGTTGACAATACTGTTACCATATCACCTCAAATTTGTAAACTTTACATCTTTAAGATATCTACAAAGATAATTTATTTACAAGTTTTACAAGAAATCACTTCAGTACTGTTGTCACTTTCTTCATTTCACTCTATACTTGTAGAAAGAACACAGAGCATGGGTAAAGTTCCATCCTAGTGCTAGTGATAGCCCGTACAGCAGAATGAGAGGTGCAAATGGATAAAGAAGAATTACTGTATTTTTCAAAAATGGCAGTGCTGGAAAAGAAACAAATCCAAATTGACTTTTTAAAAAGGAAATATGACTACTAAATGAACATTGACTTTTTAAAAAGGAAATATGACTACTAAATGAACATTCTGAAAGAAAGTTCTTCAACACATGGGATGAAAAAGGAATGCATCTTTTGAATCAGAAGATGGTGCTGTTTGTAGAACTACTTTTTTCTTCCTTCTCATTTAGGGCTGAGAAGAAACTGGGGAATGGGAAGCAAATCAGGATTGAGAGGGACAAATGTCACAACTGTTAATGAGAACAGTGACTGCTTCCGAAGTCCACCTTAAAGTGTAGAGAAGATGTTATACAGAAAAACTGAGCCACTGGTGATTTTCCAGTACAAAAAGCATCACATCCCTGCTTGAGAAAGTGATTTCAACTAGCATCCCAAACTTTAGGAAAGAATGGAAGCTTTGAAATCTAAATTCCCACACTTCTTGCTCATTAGTGGCACCTTGCCCATGCATTCTGATCTAAGCAACACAGGCAGGTCCTCAACGGAGACTGAGCTGTGATTGCACTTCTGCAGGAAAAGTCCATGCACAGAGCCCACAGGGCTGCAGTATGACACTGATCACAAAACACTTTCTCAAAAAGCAGGAAAACTCATTAGAAATGTGAATACAGAAAGTCACAAACCTCTTCCCTGGACTAGAGAAAGGGCTCCCAATACCCCAAACAAGGCAGTTTAGTGATGGGGCAGGTCAGGCAGTCCCTGGCAGATGGGTCCGGGTATGGGGGGGAACCAACTTAGGCTGGAGGGACCAGTCAGAGGTAGGTGTTAATAGTCCCAATCATCCAAAGCAACAAAGGGCTAAAAATACTCTTTACCACTGAGTTATATCCCCAGCCTGAGACTTTTTGGGGGGTGGTACTGAGAACTGAATGAGCTCAGGAGCTTTCACTTGTTAGGAAAGCGCTCTACCACTTGAACCACCATCCCAGATCTTTTGCTTTTAGTTTGTTTTTCAGGTAGGGTCTTTTGCCCACTGCCTCTTGAGTAGCTGGGATTTCAGGCATGCACTGCCTTGTGTGGCTTATTTTTGAGAGTCTTGCTAACTTTTGCCTAGGCTGGACCCAAACTGTATTCCTTCTATATCCACCTCCCAAGTATCTGGGATTCCAAGTGTGTGCCAACATGCCCAGCCTGAGATCACTTTTTGTTTCTTTGGGGAAGGGGTAGTACTGGAGTTTGAACTCAGGGCCTCATGCTTGCTCGGCAGGCACTCTACCACTTGAGCCACTCCACTAGCCATTTTTTGTGTTGGGTATTTTTGAGATAGGGTCTCCTTTTTTGCTTGGGCTGACCTCAATCCGTGATCCTCCTGATCTCTGCCTTCCAAGTAGCTAGGACTACAGGCGTGAGCCACCAGCACCTGGCCTGAGATCACTTTTTAAAATAAATCATGTAAGAATGTTTCTAGTTTGCATTAAGAAAAAATGACTTGACAACAGGATTTCAGAGTAAACTTGCAAGTATGTCCTGAGGTCAGTAAAAGTTGGACCTGATCTTCTGGATCATCTACAGAACCACAATGATCACAAAAACTAAAAATGAAGCTGTGGAAAGATTTTAATCAGCTTAAGTTCACATACCAGTGGACCTGTCCCTTAGAGAGAAGGAAGAGCACACTGTCATGGATTCCTGCCAGTCACTTGGAGATAGCAGTATAATTTAAAATGACTCCTTGAAATTATATGTTATACCACTTTCTAGCTGTGTGACAATGAGCTGGTTAATTTGTGTGTCTAAGTTTCCTCACTTCAAAAATGGAGAATAGGTAAATCTATAACATATAATGGTTATGAAAATTATATGACATTATTTCAGATAAAATTCTTGGGAAAATTCCTGTCAGTATACTGTTAGTTTTTTTCCCTCCCTGCTTTTAATTAAACAAAACTTTTTTTTCCTACCCAGTCACTGTACTGAACTTGAACTTATGGCCTTGCACTTTGCTAGGCAGGTATGGTACTACTTGAGCCACACCCAACAATCCTCCCTCCCCCTTTTGCTTTAGTTACTTTTTAGGTAGGGTCTCGCACTTATGCCTGGGCTGGGCTAAGCCATGATCCTCCTAATTATGCCTCCTGTGTAGCTTGGGTAAAAGATGAGAATCACCACACCCAGTTTTGTTGTTGTTGCTGAGATGGGATCTTGCTTTTTTTTTTGTTTTTGCTCAGGTTGGCCCTGAATCATGATTCTCCACCTCCCAAGTAGCTGGGATTACAGATGTAAGGCCTGGCCCCCAGCCTAAAACATTTATTTAACTACTTACCACTGTATCCCAGGAAGGTTACGTAGATATAATAGCCAACCGCAATCAGCCATAAGGTATTTCCAACTAAATATCCAATAAATGTATCTGTTAGGATAACATCTGCCAGAAGAAATGCATACACTGAGTCTCTTTACTTAATGCATATGATGAAGATGTTGACAACATTTGAGAAGTCACTGCTACTTACGGTTGATGAAAAAAAGCTGGATAAAATGCAAAATCACTAGGAGTGGATAGAAAGCATTCAGATGCACATCAAAGGCGTAGCCCCACTCCACATCATAGTCTCTGCTGTGTCGTTTTACTAAATACTTATTAGAGATGAACCTGAAGAGCAAAATTAAAATTTCTTGTATAATGCAATAAATTAACTTTACTAATACTTACTCTGCCAGACATTATTCTAAGTTCTAGAGTATGCCAGACATTATTCTAAATTTTGGAGTTAGAGCAGTGAAAATCCTACCTTCAATCTAGAGGGAGAAGACTAACAATATAAATGCATGTCAGCCCTATGGAGAAAATAAAAGGAGGACAGAGAATACAAACCTGAGATGCAGTTTTAAACAGGACGGTCATAAAGACCCAAGGATAGTGATGGTGCTGGCACATCTAGAGACAAGTATGCCTGCAAGAAGTAAGAAGAAATGGAGCAAAACTGTCAGAAAAGAAACACTGAAGGGCTGGAGGTGTGGCTCAAGTAGTAGAGTACTTGCCTAGAAAAGGAACATGGAATAAATTTTTATGATGCCTGTGTCCATTTTAATACTTTTGGCGTTTACTCTTGGGTTAAGAAGAGAAGCCACTGTGTAGATGCCATTGACTGAAATGTTTTGATAGGGTCCCTGAGAACAGACAAGAACAGAAGCAGCAACAGAAGGCTATAGCAAGTAAGAGATAAACGGTAGTCTGGAACTGTAAGCAGGTAGCAGTGGAGGTAATGAGGCTTGAGACTCTGCAGAGATGAAGATGGAGCCAACAGGATTAAGTGTGGCATGTAAGGAGTGAGGGGGAAAAAAAAAAAGCAGCCATGAATCACTGAGTAGAGTTTTGCCTTGAACAATGGAACATGGAGCTGCCGTTAAATGGGGTGCTAATCAGGGGGCGGGCTTCCTAAAGAGCAGTTGTGAGGATGGAGACTATAGAAGTTTGGATTTGGCTCAGTTATGTTGAACATGCCTATCAGTGTGGAGTAAAAAGGTGTATATAAAGTCTACAGTTTAAAGGCGAGGTCTAAACAGCAGATAGAAACTCATCAGTGTGCAGATATCTAAAGCCCCGGGCCTGAATGACATCACCAAAAGGATAATCAGACAGTGAATAGGTCCAAGGCCTGAGACCTGTGCCAACTCGGTACAAAAAGGTGAGGGAACTAACGAGGAAACAAAAACAAGAGGGACCAGTGGCATACCAAGCCATAAGAAGTTATTCAAGCTTATGTCACCATCCTACAACCTTTCCCTCTAGAGTTCAGTTAAATGATGAGTGAATGAAAAGTATAATATCTAGTAACAGAAAAGTAGATCTTCAAAGAAAAAGAACACAAAAGATCATTTGTAGAAATTCAATGTACCCTTTTACGTCATTGCATTTCAATTCAAAGATATAATTAAGAAAATGCTTTTCCTACAATGGAAATATAGAAAACAAACGGAAAACATGATAAACAGTTCACCTAGTTATCTAAAAATGTCAAAATAATACTGCTTCACTTGAACAAACTGTAACTTATCAAAACATTGTGCTTTAGACAAGAACATGTATAAGTGAAATTAAGTCCGGCACAAAAATATCACATGTTCTCACTCATGTGTGAAAGACAAGGTTGATCCCATAGTAGCAGACTAGAATAATGTTCACATGAGGTTAGGATGGGTGGGGCAATAGAAGGCTGGATCACAGGTATCAAAATCCAGATATGAGTAAGTTCCAGTGTTCCACAGTACAGTAAGATGACTACAGTACAACTTATCATATACATTAAAGAACTACAAGTTCAAAGGTTTCCAATACCAAAAAATTATAAAAGTTTAAGGAGATGTGCCAATTTGACCACTACACACACACACACACATAAATAAAATTACCACACAGAACTCCATACTTAAAATTAAAAATAATTTTGAATGAGAATTTTGTGAGCTGCATATAGCTCACTCCCCAGAAGCTCCTTTCTCTAGTCACTCCCCTGCTGCTCTGGTCCCTTTCTCATCCCTTGAACGGTATGCAGACATTCTTTCAGAGAAAGCTCAAAGCCACCTGACTTGCCTCTCTTACCTCCATGTTAATGACAACTAACTCAAACTACGATATAGACATACCCTAAACTCCAGGATGACTTGTAGGGGCCCTTGAGAATCACTACATTCCATGCATGCTGCAAATTATTCCTTTGAAACCCGTATTTACTGAATTTCTTTCGTATAGCCTGTCTTCTTCATGGGTACCTTGATAATGAATGATTTTATTAATTAGCAATATTAATTTTAGACCAGATTTTAGAATTCTAGATTAATGGTACAAAACATTTAGCTATCTAGTACATACAAAACATATACTGTAGGAGTACATGCTGTCAAGATTTCAGACTTCAGTTAGAACCTCAATGAGCCTTGGGTTATCTGCTTGGTGTCTGAAAATGACTTCATGCAGATACGGCAAATGGGTGAAGACATATACGATGATGAAGAGTCAGATATCACAACATTGGAACTATAGGGACAGGAATCTTAAGCCCAAAGTGTAAGAGATGTTTCTGTTGAATGTAGTGCTACATGAATGCTTGATTTGTCAAGTGTCCAGAAGGCAGCATATGCATATGCAAGTGAAGGCAGCATATGGATATGGTGTTCTTTCCCCTCTGGTTCTAGCACTTTCAAGTGAGCTGTTGCATACTGTGTCATACTTTTATTCCTTAGGAATAAAAGGAATGTTGCTTAAGAAAGATCATCATCTTTGGTTTAAAATACAGGTTTCAGGGTACTGCCTTTGATTCAAATGTCTTAAGTTCTCATTTTCTCAAACTAAGTTTCCAAAGTTGCCAAATATGCAAGAACAACTTTTTCACTTTTTCCTTCTAACACTTCTTGATTGGCTCTGCAGAAATAAAAGTTAAAAAAAAAAATCCCAAACCTGTACTTTATTAGTCAGAAATTACAAAGGAAAAACAAAAGCTTGGTATAATCAGAGGTTACTTTCTTGTAGTTTTGTTTGAACTATTAATAGTTACCATATACTGAACACAACTATGGGCTAAGTGCTTATCTCAATGTTCTCAAAATCTGACAAAATAGTTAATAAACTGTGCTGTCATTTGAACCCAGGTCTCTGTGTGATCACAATGTTCCATTGAGTTTTTTGATATACAATGGCCTCCACTCCTACTCAACCACTGGCCCTTTATACAGATCCCTTGCCACATCCACTTCCCTTCATCCAGCAGGCCAACCACAACAGGAGTACTTTCTCTATAAGAGAAGTGAAAAGCCAAACACTAGATACTCAGTACACTGCCTTTGTTAAATCAATAAAACCTCTATGTATGTGTTCATGTTTTATAGGTCTAGTAATTATTTTCTTAATAGGACTCTAATTGCCTAGGAAATAAGAGCAAGAATTCACAAATGGGACTGCATCAAATTAAAAAGTTTCTGCCCATCAAAAGAAACAATTACTGGAATAAAGAGACACACAAAGAATGGGAGAAAATCTTCACCAGCTTTCAACAGATAAAGGATTAATATCCAGAATATACAAAGACCTCAAAAAACTAAATAGCAAAAGAAAAACAATCTAATTAATAAATGGGCAAATTGGATAGACAGCTCTCAGAAGAAACTCAGATGGCTAACACATTCATGAAGAAACAATCAACATCCTTAGCCGTAAGAGAAATGCAAATCAAAACTCCTGTACTAAGATTCTATTACACCACACTCAGACTGGCAATCATCAAGAAAACAAACAACAAATGCTGGTGAGGATATGGGGAAAAGGAACCCTCATACAATGTTGGTGGGAATGTAAACTGGTGCTATGGAAATCAGTATGGACGGGCCTCAAAAAACTAAAAACACCTACCTTATTACCCCACCACATCACTTTTTTTTTTTTCATTTTTCTTTTATTATTCATATGTGCATACAAGGCTTGGTTCATTTCTCCCCACTGCCCCCACCCCCTCCCTTACCACCCACTCCGCCCCCTCCCTCTCCCCCCCCCCAATACCCAGCAGAAACTATTTTGCCCTTATCTCTAATTTTGTTGTAGAGAGAGTATAAGCAATAATAGGAAGGAATAAGGGGTTTTGCTGGTTGAGATAAGGATAGCTATACAGGGCATTGACTCACATTGATTTCCTGTGAGTGTGTGTTACCTTCTAGGTTAATTCTTTTTGATCTAACCTTTTCTCTAGTACCTGGTCCCCTTTTCCTATTGGCCTCAGTTGCTTTAAGGTATCTGCTTTAGTTTCTCTGCATTAAGGGCAACAAATGCTAGCTAGTTTTTTAGGTGTCTTACCTATCCTCACCCCTCCCTTGTGTGCTCTCGCTTTTATCATGTGCTCATAGTCCAATCCCCTTGTTGTTTTGCCCTTGATCTAATGTCCACATATGAGGAGAACATACGATTTTTGTCTTTTGGGCCAGGCTAACCTCACTCAGAATGATGTTCTCCAATTCCATCCATTTACCAGCGAATGATAACATTTCGTTTTTCTTCATGGCTGCATAAAATTCCATTGTGTATAGATACCACATTTTCTTAATCCATTCATCAGTGGTGGGGCATCTTGGCTGTTTCCATAACTTGGCTATTGTGAATAGTGCCGCAATAAACATGGATGTGCAGGTGCCTCTGGAGTAACAGTCTTTTGGGTATATCCCCAAGAGTGGTATTGCTGGATCGAATGGTAGATCGATGTCTAGCTTTTTAAGTAGCCTCCAAATTTTTTTCCAGAGTGGTTGTACTAGTCTACATTCCCACCAACAGTGTAAGAGGGTTCCTTTTTCCCCGCATCCTCGCCAACACCTGTTGTTGGTGGTGTTGCTGATGATGGCTATTCTAACAGGGGTGAGGTGGAATCTTAGTGTCCACCACATCACTCTTGGGCATACATCTAAAGGAGTGTAAATCAACATATAAGAGAAATAACTCCACACACCCATGTTTATTACAGCTCTGTTCACAATAGCTAAACTCTGGAATCAGCCGAAGAACCCAACAATCAATGAAATCAATGAATGAGAAAGAAAATATGGTACATGTATATACACCACAGAATGTGTATGGTACATGCACACACCACAGAATATTAGCCATAAAGAAAAATGAAATTATGTCATTCACAGGAAAATGGATAGAACTAGAGATCATCATGTCTACTGAAATAAGCCAAGCTCAAAAAGCCAAATATAGCATGATCTCATTTGTGAAACCTAGACTTAAAATGATGATTGTAAATGGGACATGAATGTGAATGGGGGATGGTCATGGGGGGGTCCATGGGAGAGGTAAAGGAAAGGATACTGAGGGGTGAAGAGGACTGAAATACACTACATGTATTATATTCAAAGACAGCAAAATGAAACCCACAAAACACTGTTTTAAAAACAGGGGAGGAGGGAGGGAGAATGGGAATATCATGGAGGGAGAGATCTTGTTAAAAGTATACTGTACAAATTATGAATTACCACAATGAAACCCCCTCATATTATTAATGTATACTAATTCAAAAGATAATAAAACTATTTTAAAGAAACAAAACAAAAAATCCTTTTTCAAGTGTACTTGACTTAATGGCAAAGATTCACAGTAAGACTTCATGAGATGACCTTTTAGATCTAGATGGATCTAAACACTAAGGAATATTTATATATATAAAGTAGTTCACTACTGACAACTGCAGAAAACAGTACTATCATGCAACAAGAACTGGCTAAATGTATGATTTTTACAAAATTAGGGATTCTGTTGACATGATATAAACATTTCTACATTTGACCCCAATGCAGCCATATAGAGCATCCCTTAGAGTATTTTTTGATACAGGTACTGACATAGGTGGGCACATTATAGTAATCTTGATTTCAATTTCCATCAGCTACCATACTTCTGAAGCAAACACAGGCATTACGGCCTCTGAAAACCATGTTATAGTACTTACCACATCGACGTTGATATCAGAAGACCAACTCCTACACAATCTATGAATACGACCCACAGAAGAAGCTTTAGTGTTTCAAAAACTCCCATGTCCAGCACAAAGCCAAATCCTATGGTAGACACTGAAAGAAAGATTTATAGGTTTCATTCAGGAACTCTACTATGTTCTAGGAATGCAGGACACATTCCCTGGCCTCTAGATGCCCATTGTGTAGTTGGGGAGACAGACATTGGAAAAAACAAAACAAAAAACCCAAGATGTAACAGATGCAGAAATGCACACCACCTTGGAACACAGGTGACATGAAGCTTATCAAGGAGCATCCTTGCCAGACTAATTCACCACAATAGCCCCATCATTCAGAACAGCACCAATACAGAGAAAGCACTCATATATTTTAAGTCCACTTAAAGGTGAAAAACGTTCTACAGACTTCTTCAGGTGACTGGAACTTTTTTTTAATTACAATTACATTATTGAATAATTTCAGTTTTTCAACCTGAAATCTAGAACTCTCTGAGGGCTAGAAGTGTAGCTGAGTGGCAGAGCTGGCTTAGCATGTGAGGTCCATTTCAGCATAGAAAAAGAAAAAAAGAAAACATGAACTGATTCCTATCCCTTGCTTTTCAAAGTTCAGAGGTACTAGTTTACTCTTGGGAAGTGGAGAACCAGGAATAACACAACTTTCTTTCTTGTGAGATTTTTTTCAAAAAGACACAATTTCAAATATCCCCAAATCCTGGCCCACAATACATTATAACAAAGGATCCTCCAACGATAAGCCAATCTGTTCTTTAATTCTACTGGAGATAAATACTTACCACACAGCCAGATACTTAATAGGACCAGAAAAGCAGGGTCATCTCTGGCCCACTGGTCCTTTGTCTGCTTCCGGTAGTGAAAGTTTCTATAAACTCTCTGTGGAGAAGTAAACAGGTAAAGCATCTGCCAGGCAGCAAACTCGAAGTCCATCTGCCGAAAACGAAAAAGTCTTCGGAGGTACTTGTATCGTTTGGCTCCAGCAGTGTGTCTTGCTGCATCCCTGGAGTTCAAGACTCCGTTCCCCTGCAATGAGGAACTCACTGAAGTACTTGGTAACATCTTCCTAGATGGAAGAAAAACATGTCTTTTAAATGTAATCTGAAGAAATTTTGGCTAACAGCACTTCCCCTTAAGAGTTATTTAGCAGAGAGGTTATTTTACACTTTCTCCTCCACCCTTTGGAAGGGGCAAGGGACCAAAATCAATGGAGTTGGTTCTGAGGCTTGTCTTGGGGTTGGAGAACTGCTGATTGCACTTTGGGCAAGGGCAACACCACGTCCTTAAGAACCACTTAATAATGCTTGTCCAGGGTCTGTGATTTCCAACACTTGACCTCACTCAATCCTCAGACAGCCCTCCCACGTAGCAGGAGGTGAGGGAAAAAAAGAGGCACAGAAAGGTGAAATGCGCTCCCTTTGGGCATGAAGACAGTGATGGAGCCATGTTTGGAACTCTGGTTCAAAATACTTGGCTCTTAACGACCAAGACTTTATGGAAAAATCTTAGTTTAAGCGGATTGGAAGCAAAGGCTAATGAAGTCGTAAAATAACTTGGTCACACAGATCCATGAGCAATGGCCAGCAAGCTTCTGTGATATAAAAACAAAGCAAAACTACAATATCTGGTTTTTATTCCCAGAATAGTTAAGGAAAAGGAATGACAGCACGGGAATCCAGGCCAACCAGACCCTAAGCCAGGTGAGTGCAGATCACTGTCCAGCCCCTTCCAGCAACCTCCCCCTCCACTTCTCAGGCTTCCAAGACAGCAGAGGCGCCACGCCCGCTCAGCTGCTCTCCATTGGCCGGGGCTCCAGACACGCCGCCAGATTTGGCAAATAAAAATGCAAACAGCTCAGTTATATTTAAATTTCGACAAAGTAAAGAATAGGTTTTAGGACGTGTATGTCCCCTGCAACATTTAGGACATGCTTATATTAAATATCATCCATTATCTGCGGATTCAATGTAAGCAGGCATCTTTAATTTTATCAGGGAACTTCACCACCGGTCTAAGTACCCGAGGAGATGGCCGCCGGCAGTCACTGCCAGGAGCTGCCGGAGGAAGCGACCCAGCGCGAGCACAAATCGCACGCGGACCGAGTGTTCTGAGACCTCACCTGACGCCCTGCTGCGCCGTGGACCTGGGTCCAGGATATGCTGCCACCTTCGCCCAGCAGCTGAGCCCAAAGTCTGTAAGGCCTATTTTCTTCCCACAACGTAGCCGGCGCTCGGGCGCAGTGTGTTTACGTCACGGACGCGCACTTCCCCGCGCATGCGCCAAGCCCTTGGGACGCGCAGTCCCTGCGACTCTCTGCCGGAAGTTGTTGCGGACTTCTTCCGGTTCTCTCCTCAGTGGGCGTTGCTCGCGCCCGCACAGGTGGTAGCTTTTATCGACCAAGAGGGTCGAGGCCTCAGCTAGCTGGGGGCGCAGTCATGCCCCGGTATTACGAAGACAAGCCAGAGGGCGGTGCCTGCGCGGGCGTGAAGGAGGACCTGGGCGCATGTCTGCTGCAGTCGGACTGTGTGCTCCAGGTAGCGCGGCTGAGCGCCCCCGGGGATGACCAAGGCAACAATTCCGTGGCAGGGCTCCGTGAAGGTCTCCCTGTTGGCCTGTGGTGGCGGTCATGTCCTAGGCGTAGGTTACAGCTTCAGCTTCTGAACTGGGCAGATTCCCTGAGCTCTCGGAGCCTCAGTTTCCCCCCGCGTTCAGTAGGCGATAACTATACCCGCTTTGTCAGGTCTTTGTAAATATTAATCCATTTGGGCCCAAGAAGCAATTCCTGAGTGCAGGCACTCCAAGTTCTGAAGACATAGAGAATTAGAAGGGTTTCTCGAGTGCTAGGAAGTGAGAATCTGTAGAATGAATTATGTTGGAGATTTCCATAAACCCGGCTAACCGGCTAATAGTTTTTTCTTTCTCTGTTCAGTTGTGCCTGAATGTGTGCCATTATTTGTCTTGAGTTGATTTGAATTTGTTTCCGAGCTGAAGTGCTCTACATTTCGAATGTTAAGGTGTTAATGAGACAGCTCTACATTTTCACCATATTCTATCTTCTTTCCTTACATTCTTCCGTCACTACAGAGATGCAGGGAAAGTTGACCCAAATCCTAGTTTACAGTCCAAGTAAAGCACAAATGCCTTTTCCAGTTAGAGGCCTGATGAAAAGGAAGTCTTTTGTGTGCATTTTGTTTTGCATTTGGGAATGCAGTTTCAGAAAGCTACTCTCAAAGAAATGACAGCTGCCCTAAAATGGACATCTATCCTGTATTGGTATTTTTATTTAGTCGCGATTTATGTTTGGTTCACTGATTGTAGCAGCTATCCAGACTTGACTCCCATTGTGTAGTAAGACTCCAAAGTTTACATAAGAAACTAGCTAGTCAGGCTTCTTTATACACATGAAGAAACAAATATTGCTGTTTTTCAGGCTCCCTTCTTCAAGGGCAGTTTCCAGTTTGCTGCTTCATTCACTGATGCATATGTTCAGCCATATCCTAGTAAATATTTAGTGAGTGGCAGGCATAGTGCAAGGCACTGCCAGACAGAGATAAATCAGTAGCTTATTATTGGTAAGTCTGGTTTGATGGGAGAAATAGACATGTAAGGGGTTCAATTCCTACAGTAAGGGCTAGGTAAACATTTATATTTGTTTAATGAATAGATCTAGGGAAAGAATGGCTGAGCCCAGTGTAGAGCAACTGATTTTGGCTTCAGAATTTGGAACCATCTCACAGAGGAGGTGATGCTGAACTCTTAAAGGCTGAATAGCAGCTTTTTTCAAGTAAAAAAGTGGGGACAGTGTTGCTTGTGGGGAGAATCTGAAAAACAGCAAGTGCAGAGGCAGGGAGTCAGTACTGCCCAGAGAAATGAGTGCCCTGGGAATCCTAGAGCATGGGAACAGTGACAAAGTTTGAGAGGAAATTTATAGCCAGTTGTGAAGGCCTCTGTGTGTTAGAGGGAGTTGCTGGAATTTTATCCTGCCATTCACCTTCAGGAAGGCCATGCAGGTGAGCAACTAAGGGAAGAAAGTACATGGAATAGGCCTAAGGACAGAAATTCTGTGGAAGTGGAAGACAATACCAGTGGCAAGGAGAATACTAAGTTGTTTTGTTTTTGTTTTTGCCATGATTTATTTAACAAATATTTGAGTGCCACACTCAAATTCAGGTAACACTGATGAACAAGACACATTCTCTCCTGTGTAAGAAACTGGGTCTCTGGAAAGCTAGAAAATAGTAGATAGAGATTATGACCAGAACACCTGATTCAGACTTTGTGTTTCCCCCCACTGAGTTATGGGACCTTATTTTTAAATTTTTTTTAATTGTTGTTGTACTAGGGATAGATTGACATTTATAAAAATTTCTTACAATATATCATAGTTGAATTCACTCCCTCCATCACCACAGGAGTACCCTTTATGTCTCAAGTTAACAGCTTTCAGACCTGCTGGCTCTTCTTCAGACTCATCTGGAGGAGGGGCATGAGAACTTAAAAGTAGGTTCTACTGCTGCCTCCACCCCTACCCACAATACATTACAGTCTTTCAGTTTGGTTCTTGGACACAATCATGTTTTGACCTCAGAAGGCATTTGGTCTGTGGCAGGAGATAGGAGGTTTCTCTCATACTCAGACCAAGATTGCCTTGCTGCCACATCATCAGGCCTCCTAACCTCAGGGAGTAAAATAGGGGGAAAAGGAGTAAAAGCCTCTTTCCTTTAAGGATCAAACCAGAAGTTTTGCACATTTTCCCTACACATTCTATTGCCTAGAATTTAGTCCCATGATTGCATCCAGTTTCAAGGGTAGCTGGGAAGTCTGGGATGTAGGCAGCAAACCTCACCAACAGTACTGTTGTTTGGGGAGGAATGTCACAGTGTAAGGAAGCGTGCTGTTGTGATCTGTTTTGGAGAATCACTGATGTAGTTGACAGTTGAAATCTAGGACCCAGGCATACAGACTAGAAGGTGGTCAAGATTCCTAGGAACAGAAACACCGCAGGCTTGGTGTCCCATAGCTCTTTTTCAGTGAAAATTTGGGAAGTGACTGTTACTGACAAAAGATTTGTGGGGAGTGGGTTGCATTGATAGGGCTGGGGAGTTAAATCATGACTACGAGGATCAGGTGAAATTTGGGTTGCATTTTCCTAAAGTAATTCTCCATCTTCATTAAAACCATTAACAGGCTTAGTGCTACACTAAAAATGGGTACCTAATTAATACATTTTACCCATAAGGAGATGAAGATAAGTTTCTAGATTTTTATATAAACATTATGAAAAGTACCCAGTAGAAACCAGTGTTCTCAAAAACTCAAAGACTCCCTTAAAGTGCCCAAAAGTTATAATTTATCCATTCTACTCTATTCAAGTATCAACAATCAAAATGAATTAAGAAATATCTCTTAAATAACTGCTTTCCTCTTTGTTTTATTTTAAAAGAAAACTATTTTTGGAAGGACTGTTATTTATACTTTGTGAGAAAACTTCCCAGGTTTTAATTTTTATTTTTTGTATTATAGGAAGGAAAATCCCCTCGGCAGTGTTTGAAGGAAGGAAACTGCAAAGCTTTGCAATATTCATTTTTTGAGTGTAAAAGATCAATGGTAAGTGGTTAAAGACTTTTAAATGCTTACATTAAAAATTTATTACATAGAGTTGTATATATGAGTGACTTCATAGTAAGCAGGTTATGGTGGTACATGCCTGTAATCCCAGCTTCTCAGGAGATAGAGGTAGAAGGATTGAGGTCTGAGGCTGGCCTGGGCAAACTAAAAGCAGAAGCATTGGGGCACAGTTCAAGTAGTAGAGAGCTTAGCATGAAGGTTTGAATTCAATCCCCAGTACAATAAGTAGTCAGAAGGAAGTTGTGGTGATGGGATTTGGAAAAAGGATGTAGATAATGTTCTTACTGTAGTGAGTTGAACGTTGTGCAGCATTCATGAAAGCCCATGTTACCCTGTTACAATGCTACCACAGCTCCTGACCTTCATGAGTTTTCTAAAAGTGCAAATCTCAGCAAGTATAAATGCATTGAGGTTGATAGTGCTCACTGTGAGTTCAGGTCATTTGATGGTTATATACAAACCTGTAACACAGAGGTGTAAGAAGGTATATGCACTTTCTCCCACCCACATGCTCAGGAGGAAATGGACTTTGGAGTGATAGATAGTGGAAGAAGGGCCTAAGAAGGTATCAATACCTGGAATTCTGTGCTTCCATCCTTCGATTTGAAAGATCTATAGATCTTTGGAATGGAAACTGAAAGCCCTTTCTTAAAGAAGACTATAAAACAGAAACGAAAGTGTCCCTTTAAGGAAAGCATTCACGTGTACCTGAGCTTGCTTTTGCTAGGTTAGGAACCACCCTGCAAACCCTTCCCTTTTGTACACACACATACCCCAAAAGGCAAAAAAAATTTATGATCCTGTAGGCCAAAGAACTCTAACATGTTTATCAGCTGATAAGAACCAGGGAGTGTTTAAAGTAAGATTAATTTTCGCCAGGCTGTTTCTTTCCTCAAGTAACAGTTTTCTGCTGCGTTTTCCTATCATTTAAGGAAACATAGCTTTGTTATCCATGTAAAATGCAAACCTTTAGGTATGTCACAAATTTCAAAATGTGTTTAGATCATTGGAAAGTCACAAAGAATAGTTGGTAATGAAGAGTTGGACTGTGCAACATGTTGAATGACTGAATTTACAATAAACTCCTTTAAATTCCCTGCATAAAGCTCAGTCTTATTTCTCCAATAATAATAGTAGAAAATAAATGCAATCTTTTTTCACAATTTATCTACCTTCTGACAAATTTGTAAGAATCTTGAATAAAAAGTGCAAGTGTTTCTGACATAACAATACAAGGCAGAGCTTCATTGGCTCTTTGACACTGAAGAACACCTGGGGAACTATAGCAGACAAAGAGATTCCTACTCTTCCTTCAAGACTAATGTACCTTTAGCCTTCCAAAATGGAGTGATGGCACACTGAAAGCTGTATCGGCTTGGCAAAATCCAGAAGCATAAATTTAAATTGTGTAGGTAATTGTACTTACTATTTCAGAGAGTAAGTCCCATTGAAGGTGAGATGGGGAATTTATATCTGCTGCTCCCTCACAGTTTGATCACCATCCTGATCCCTGATATCCATGTTTAAAGATTTTCATTGTTTTGGCATGGGTCAAGCGGTAGAGTGCTTGTGTAGCAAGCACAAAGCCCTGAGTTCAATCCCTGATACCACCAAAAGAAAAAAATATTGTTTTTGAAATATGACTCTTAGCTACTTCATGTGCTTAGATGATGGTTATTTATTCCGTATTTCAGCACTACCTGTGTTGACTCATTGATAGGGCCCATCTTTTTTTTTTATTTTTATTTTATTCATATGTGCATACAATGTTTGGGTCATTTCTCCCCCTTACCCCTCCACACCCTCCCTTCCCCCTCCCTTACCCCCCCACTCCCTCCCTTACCCCCCCTTACCCCTCACTACCGGCAGAAACTATTTTGCCCTTATCTCTAATTTTGTTGAAGAGAGAGTATAAGCAATAATAGGAAGGACAAGGGTTTTTGCTAGTTGAGATAAGGATAGCTATACAGGGAGTTGACTCATGATTTCCTGTGCATGTGTTTACCTTCTAAGTTAATTCTTTTGAACTAACCTTTTCTCTAGTTCCTGGTCCCCTTCTCCTTTTGGCCTCAGTTGTTTATAGTATCTGCTTTAGTTTCTCTGCGTTGAGGGCAACAAATGTTATCTAGTTTTTTGGGTGTCTTACCTATCCTCATACCTCCCTTGTGTGCTCTCGCTTTATCATGTGATCAAAGTCCAATCACCTTGTTGTGCTTGCTCTTGATCTAATGTCCGCATATGAGGTAGAACATGATTTTTGGTTTTTGGGCCAGGCTAACCTCACTCAGAATGATGTTCTCCAGTTCCATTCATTTACCTGCGAATGATAACATTTCGTTCTTCTTCATGGCTGCATAAAATTCCATTGTGTATAAAAACCACATTTTCTTAATCCATTCATCAGTGGTGGAGTATCTTGGCTGTTTCCATAACTTGGCTATTGTGAATAGTGCTGCAATAAACACTGATGTGCAGGTGCCTCTGGAGTAACCTGTGTCACATTCTTTTGGGTATATCCCCAAGAGTGGTATTGCTGGATCAAATGGTAGATCAAATGTCTAGCTTTTTAATTAGCCTCCAAATTTTTTTCCAGAGTGGTTGTACTAGTTTACATTCCCACCAGCAGTGTAAGAGGGTTCCTTTTTCCCCTGCATCCTCGCCAACACCTGTTGTGAGTGGCATTGCTAATGATGGATATTCTAATGGGTGAGGTGGAATCTTAGCGTGGTTTTAATTTGCATTACCTTTATTGCTAGAGATGGTGAGCATTTTTTCATGTGTTTTTTGGCCATTTGAATTTCTTCTTTTGAGAAAGTTCTCTTTAGTTCATTTGCCCATTTCGTTGGTTCATTGATTTTGGGAGAATTTAGTTGTTTAAATTCCCTATATATTCTGGTTATCAGTCCTTTGTCTGATGTGTAGCTGGCAAATATTTTCTCCTACTCTGTGTGTGTTCTCTTCAGTTTAGAGACCATTTCTTTTGTTAAGCAGAAGCTTTTTAGTTTTATGAAGTCCCATTTATCTATGCTATCTCTTAGTTGCTGTGCTGCTGGTGTTCCATTGAGAAAGTTCTTGCCTATACCTATTAATTCCAGAGTATTTCCTACTCTTTCCTGTACCAACTTTAGAGTTTGTGGTCTGATATTAAGATCCTTGATCCATTTTGAGTTAATATTGGTATAGGGTGATATACATGGATCTAGTTTCAGTTTTTTGCAGACTGCTAACCAGTTTTCCCAGCAGTTTTTGTTGAAGAGGCTGTCTTTTCTCCATCATATATTTTTAGAACGTTTGTCAAAGACAAGTTGGTCCATAGTGGTGTGGCTTCATATCTGGGTCCTCTGTTCTGTTCCACTGGGCTTCATGTCTGTTTTTGTGCCAGTACCATGCTGTTTTTATTGTTAAATTGCTTTGTAATATAGTTTGAAGTCGGGTATCGTGATACCTCCAGCATTGTTCTTTGACTGAGTATTGCCTTGGCTATTCATGGCCTCTTGTGTTTCCATATAAATTTAACAGATTTTTCAATCTCTTTAATGATAGTCATTGGGATTTTGATGGGAATTGCATTAAACATGTAGATTACTTTTGGGAGTATCGACATTTTTACTATGTTGATTCTACCAATCCATGAGCATGGGAGATCTCTCCACTTTCTATAGTCTTCCTCAATCTCTTTCTTCAGAAGTGTATAGTTTTCCTTGTAGAGGTCGTTCACATCCTTTGTTAAGTTTACACCTAGGTATTTGATTTTTTTTTTGAGGCTATTTTAAACGGAATTGTTTTCATATATTCTTTCTGTTTGTTCATTATTAGTGTATAGAAATTCTAATGATTTTTCTATGTTGATTTTATATCCTGCTACCTTGCTATAGCTGTTGATGGTGTCTAGGAGCTTCTGAGTAGAGTTTTTTGGGTCTTTAAGGTATAGGATCATATCATCTGCAAATAGGGATATTTTGACAGTTTCTTTACCTATTTGTATTCCTTTTATTCCTTCTTCTTGCCTAATTGCTCTGGCTAGGAATTCCAGTACTATGTTGAATAGGAGTGGAGATAGTGGGCATCCTTGTCTAGTTCCTGATTTTAGAGGAATGGTTTCAGTTTTTCTCCATTAAGTATAATGCTGGCTGTAGGTTTGTCATATATAGCTTTTATAATGTTGAGGTACTTTCCTTCTATTCCTAGTTTTCTTAGAGCTTTTATCATGAAATGATGTTGGATCTTATCAGAGGCTTTTTCTGCATCTATTGAGATGATCAAGTGGTTTTTGTCTTTGTTCTGTTAATGTGGTTTATTACGTTTATTTATTTTGTATGTTGAACCACCCCTGCATCCTGGGATGAAGCCTACTTGGTCGTGGTGAATGATTTTTTGATGTGTTGTTGAATTCAGTTTGCCATTATTTTTGAGGATTTTTGCATCAGTGTTCATTAAGGAGATTCCTATAGTTCTCCTTTTTGGGGTGTCTTTGCCTGGTTTTGGGATAAGTAATACTGGCTTCATAAAATGTGTTTGGCAGTTTTCCTTCCTTTCTATTTCATGGAACAGTTTAAGGAGGTTGGTATCAGTTCTTCTTTAAAGGTCTGATAGAATTCAGCAGAGAATCCATCAGGTCCTGGACTTTTCTTTTGGGGAGACTCTTGATTGCTGCTTCAATTTCATTTTGTTTTATAGATCTATTCAGGTGATTAATTTCCTCTTGGTTCAGTTTTGGATGATCATGTTTCTAAAAATCTGTCCATTTCTTTTAGATTTTCAAATTTATTTGAATATAGGTTCTTGAAGTAGTCTCTGATGATTTCCTGGACTTCCATGGTATTTGTTGTCATCTCCCCTTTTGCATTCCTGATTTTACTAATTTGGTTTTTTCTCTCCTCATTTTAGTCAGGTTTGCCAGGGAGCTGTCGATCTTATTTTTTCAAAGAACCAACTTTTTGTTTCATTAATTCTTTTTATGGTTTTTTTTTGTTTCTATTTCATTGATTTCAGCTCTTATTTTTATTATTTCTCTCCTTGTATTTGTTTTGGGATTTGCTTCTTGTCGTTTTTCTAGGAGTTTGAGATGTACCATTAGGTCATTGATTTGGGATCTTTCAGTCTTTTTAATATTTGCACTCATGGCTATAAACTTTCCTCTCAGGACTGCCTTTGCTGTGTCCCATAGGTTCCGGTAGGTTGTGTTTTCATTTTCATTGACTTTCAGGAACTTTTTAATTTCCTCTTTTATTTCATCAATGACCCATTGTTCATTAAGCAATGAGTTATTCAGTTTCCAGCTGTTTGCATATTTTTTGTCTTTATTTTTGTTGTTGTGTTTTAGTTTTATTGCATTGTGATCAGATAGAATGCATGGTATAATTTCTATTTTCTTAAATTTGCTGAGGCCTGCTTTGTGGGTAGGGCACATCTTCATAATAATTTCTTCCTGTGGAATTTCTGGACATGTGTAAGTTTTCCTTATGCTAAATCTAGAGCCCTCCAGTCTACTTATTGCTGCCCTTAAGTGGCTGCACTGTGAGGCTGAAATCAAACAACATGCTGCCAGTCTAGGTGGAGATAATTCACATTAAGGAATTTTAATCCCACAATGACTGTGTGTTACTTTGTGTTTTCAGAACATTTCCCCTTTTTTTCTCAGCTGCTATTTATTTAAAGTATTCAAATACATTTGAATACTAATCTAAACAAAATATAATTAGAAAGTTAGGTTTGCTGGAAGATGTATCGGGTTCAGATAAATGTAATTTGGATTCTAATTTGGATTCTCATTGAGAAGAAAATCTCTACTGTCCCTTAAGTGGAACTTTTTTTAATGTCATCTTTATCATTGTGGTTTTCTCTTGGTAAGTCTTGACAGTTGACTTTTTTTTTGTAGATAGGGTCTTGCTGTGTAGCCCAGGCTGACCCCAAACTCACAAACCTCTTGTGCTGGCATTGCTAGGTTACACGCATGTGCCACCATGCTCGGCCGCCTTTTTGATTGTGCTGGAAATTGGTTTACTTCTCTTTCATGTAGTGACTGACACTCCTCACCAAAGTTATGTTTAATTGATTGCATCAAATTTCACTAAATTATATATTTGTTTTCAGTTGGATGCCAGATCAAGATTCAGAGGAAGAAAAGGATATTGATACCAGTTTGCTGAAAGCAAGATGAAAACAACAAAGGATTTTCTTTGATCATTAACTAACACAGCTGCCAAAATAGGAAACATATTTTTTGCTACATCTGTTTGTTTGGATCAGTTTTTCCCTCAATAGAATACAGGATAAAATGGAAGAATTCTGTCTTTGAATATGTACAAAGTAAACAATTCTCTTGGTTGAAGTTACTTTCAGAAGATAAATTTAATTGAATAACCATGGGCTGGGAACTTAATGTGTTTTGAGAATTATCCTAAAGCACAAAGAATGTTAGTTTCAAACTTTACTCTTCAAATTAGTTTGTGTAACTGTGAGGCCACTTGATGTGACTCACACAATCAGTAAAGTGGATCCTGTCAAGATGATGTTTATTGGGAAAGTTTAGGATAAAACTTTAATTCAATCCTTCTATTTAGTTCTAAACTGTTTGTGCTTGATTCTGTAGAAATGCTTCATGGGCACTGATTCACTGAAGCAACAAACTCAAACTTTAAAATCCTCCATAGCATAGCTGGATGCCAGGCCTCAGGTGATGTTGCCAGGTCTCTTTACTTCCATCTCTTGACTCTTTTTCTGTTTCTTGGTCTCATTTTCAGGCTGGCCCTCTCCACTTAATGGACCAGTGCCAGCCATAAGCCCACGTCCTTAAAATCTGTGACCTAAAAAGGGAGAACAAGAACTTTCCTCTCCAGGGTCCACAAATCAAACTCTACTGAAGGAGCCTGGTCTTCCTTGAATCACCTGCCCTTGCATTTGACCCGAGATCTTGGTGAGACCTGGGTTGTATGCACAGTACTTGATAACTCCCATCAGGGTCTCTTTAGATGAGTGATGGCCCTCATCCCTAAAGGAAAGGATTTGGAGAAAACAACAGATATTCACTATAGATGACAAGTGTGAAAGACATGCAGTGGTTGAAAAGTTTAGGATTACAGTAGTTTTATTCTGGTCACTTAACAAAATAGAGAACTAAATAGGAATCCAAGTTCCCAACTTGCAGTTTGGCAGTGAAGAACAATGACAAACCATACCTTCTTTACACTTCCACAGTTCCCTGGAGTAAAGCAGTCCAGGCATTATGTGGCTCACATGCTGTTTAAGAAGTTCACCTAAAGTTCTAAGAATGTCCCAGAATATCACTGAGGTCTGCTGTGTGTACTGCTGTCCACTGGGAAAGGGAAAATGATAGATTTCTTCAATACTATTGCATAACTATTTAAGTACTATAACCCTTTTGTGTATGTGGTGCTAAAGATCCAGTCTTGTGCATGCTAGGCAAGTGCTTTACCATTGAGCCACACCCATAACCCCAAGTGGCACAGCTTTTATTAAAAGTAATTTTGATAAGAAAGTGTCTAAAATATATTTGTATAAAACCTCATCTTTTTTGGTAACAGCTTTATTGAGAGCTTTCTTTGGAGAAATTCATATGCCACAAAATTCACCCTTACAATTCAGTCATTTTTAGTGTATCAGAGTCCAGTCATCACTATTCCCTAATTCCAAAACATTTTCATTACTCTAAGGGGAAACTCATGCCTATTACCAAAGTCTCCTCATTCGCTCTTCTCCACTGCCCCTAGCAACCATAATCTGCTTTCTTTCTGTATAAGGTTTGTCTATTCTAGACCTCCTAGATAAATGGAATTAAAAATGGCCTTTTGTGACTGGTTTCTTTCACTTACCATAATGGCTTCCAGGTTTATCCATATGTAGCATCTATCTGTACTTGATCATTTATTGCCAGGTGGTATTCCATAGTATATATGCACCGTATTTTACTTATTCATTGCTTGATGAACTGGCTTATTTCCACTTCAGAGCTATCATTGCCCTAAATGCCATGGACATTTGTGAACAAGTTTTGTACTGACATGTTTCATTTCTCTTGAGAACATAGCTAACAGTGGAAATTATAGGGTTGGATAACATTTTTATTTCAATGAACTGTCAAAAATTTCCTTGCACTACCACTTTGCGTTCCCATCACAATGTGCAGGGGTTCCAGGATCTTCACATCATCACCAACTGTTGTTCATTCTGATTACAGTTATTCCACTGGGTATGAAGTGATATCTCATTGGTATTTTGATTTGTATTTCCATAATGACTCGTGATCTGAGTGTATTTTCATCTGTTTAACTGGCTGTCTCTATGTCATTTTTGGAGAAATGTCTATTCAAGTCCTTAGTCCAGTTTTGAGCAGGGGTTTCTTTTTACTATTAACTTGCAAGCATTCTTTGTATGTTGTAGATACTAGTCCTCTAAAAGTAAGTAATTAGCTAATTTTCCTCCCCCAGTTCGTGGTTGGTCTTTCACTTTCAGGTTGATGTTCTTTGAAGCACAATTTTAATTACGATGAATTATTTTTTTCTTTTGGTGTGTCTAAAAAACTGTTCTTAATCCAAGCTTATATTTATTCCTATGTATGTTAAGAGTTTTATAATTTAACCTCTTCCTGTAGGTCTGTGGTTCATTGTTAAAATAATTTCACATATCTTTGTTAATAGCCATGTTTTAAATTTTTTTGGTGTGCTGGAAACCTGGGGCCTTGCACATGCTAGAAAAGTGTTCCACCACTGAACTGCATCTCCAGCTCCTACATTTTTTTATTGTGGAAAATACACATAACAGAATTCACCATCTTAACCATTTTCAATGTACAGTTCAGTAGTGTTCAGTATATTCATACTATTAACAGTCTTCAGAAGTACTCACTTATCTCACAAAATGGAATCTACTCATCACTAAGCAACATCCCCACCCATGCCCAAGGCATCCCTCTCACCCCTGGCAACTACTGTTTTTTTTTCAAATTCAGAAAGTACTGAAATTTGAGAGTACTCAAATTCAGAGAACTCTCCGTACCTCATATGGGTGGAATCGTATCTGGGTTTTTTCTTGGTGGTACTGGGATTTGAACTCAGGGCCTCACATTTGCTAGGCTGGCCCTTTACCACTTGAGCCACACCCCCAGCCCATTTTGTATTGGTTATTTTTGAGAGAGGGCTCATTTTATGCCCAGGCTGGCCTGGACTGCTATCCTACATAGGTGGGATGACAGGTGCATGCCACCATGCCCGGCCATTGGTTGAAATTACTTCTGGAGAACGTTTTGCCCAGGCTGGTCTTGACTGCCATCCTCTTGATCTCCACTTCCCCAGATTACAGGCTTCAGCCACTCTGCTGGCCTTTCATTTGTCTTTATTTCACTGGCTTATTTCACTTAACAAAATGTCCTCAAGGTTGAGCCATATTGTAATCATATATCAGAATTTCCTCTTCATGCAAATCAAAATTCCATCTCACCCCAGTCAGAATTGTTAGCATAAAAAAAACCAACCAACCAAACAAACAAAAAACAAAACAAGAACAAATGCCTGCAAGGATTTGGGGGAGGGTTGTTAATACAAGATTGGGAGGAGTGTAAATTAGCTTAGCCACTATGGAAATCAGCATGGAGGTTCTTCAAAAAACAAAAATAGGACTACCGTGTGGGTCTGCTGTACCACTCCTGGGCATGTACTTAAGGAATGTAAGTCAGTATACAAAAGAGATACCTGCATACCCAGTTTTACTGCAGCATTATTTGTGATAGCCAAGTTACAGTATCAGCCTTAAATAAAGCAAATGTGGCACGTCTACACAATGGAATATTAGCCACAAAAAGGATGAAATTATATTGTTTGTAGAAAAATGGGTAGGACAAGAGGTCATGTTAAATAGGTCAGAAGAATAAATACGTTTCATGTACAAAATCTAGATCTAAAGAAAAAAATACATGAAAATAAAAGGGAAACATTTAGGTTAACCAGTGGGAGGTATAGCAGAAAGGGGAATATGATTGAAGTACATTATATGTATGTGTGAAAAAATCATAATGAAACCCATATAAAACTTGTAAGAAGAAAGAAAGTGGAGATAAGAAGAGGGTGAATATAGTAGAAGGGTGAATATGATCAAAGTGCACTGTATGCTTGTATGGAATATCACAATGGAATGCCTCAGCTTGTAGAATTAATATACACTAACAAAGGAAAAAATTCCTTCCTTTGAAGACCAAGTAATATTCCAGAACATGTATATATCACATCTTGTTTTTCTGCTCATCCATTAGTGGACAATGGGTTGCTTCCACCTTTGAGCTGCAGTGAAGAATACTGTTATGAGCATGTATATACAGATCTCCCTGAGGCTCTGCTTTTGATTGTGGCCATATGACCAGCAATGCATATGGTAATTCTATTTTCAATTTTTTTTTTTAAGGAACTGCCATACTGTCCTGGAGCCACACCACTTTCCATTCCTGTCAGCAGTGCACAAGGATTGTAATTTTCCCATATCCTGGTTAACACATCTTAATAGGTGTGAAGTGGTATCTCACTGTTGCTCTGATTTGCATTTTCCTAGTGATGATTTCATGGCTGTGTTGGCCATTTTTGTATCTTCTTTGGAGAAATGCCTTTTTTAGGTTCTTTGCTCATTTTTTTTTTGAGACAGGGGTCCAGGTAGCCCAAGTTCATGTCAAACTCACTCTGTAGCTCAGGCTGGCCTCAAAGTTGACATCTTCCTGCCCTAGCCTCCACAGTGCTGGGATTACAGAAATACATAACCACACCTGGCTGCTCGCTCAACTTTAAATTGGTTTATTTGTTCTTTTGTTGAGTTTTTTCTGTCATATCCAGAAATCACTGCCTAATACAATGAAGTTTTCTTGTTATGTATGTTTTCTTCTAGGAGTTTCATAGGTTTAGCTCTTAGGTTTAGATGTTTCATCCACTTTGAGTTAATTTTTGGGTACAATGTAAGGTAAGGTTCCAACTTCACTTCTGTTTGCATGTAGACATGTGGTTTTCCTAACAGCATTTGTAGAAAAGACTGTCCTTTTCTCATTGAATGATCTTAGCACCTTTGTGTGAAAACATTTGACCATGGATGCCAGGGCTATTTCTGAGCTCTCAGTTCTGTTGGTTTATATGTCTGTCTCTACACCAGTGCCACACTTTTGATTACTGTAGCATTCTAATAAGTTCTGAATTTTAGAAGTGTGAGTCCTTCATCTTTCTTCTTTTTCAAGACTTATTTTGGCTCTTTGGGCTTGAGATTCCTGTGGATTTCAGGATGGACTTTTCTATTTCTGCAAAAACAAATCAAATCAACAACAAAAAGCCAATGCTGTTGAAATTTCACTAGGGAGTGCACTAAATCAGTAGACCACTTTGGATGGTACTGGCAACATTATTAAGTCTTAAAGTCCTTGTACACAAGATGACTTTCCATTTATTGATGTACTTACCTTTAGCTGAATTTTGTAGTTTTCAATGTGTAAGTCTTTCTCTTCTTTGGTTGTTATTCCTAAGTATTTTGATTTTTGGTGTTAAACTAAAAGGAGTTGTTTTCTTAATTTCCTTTTCAGATTTTGCATTGAATGGTGGATTTTTGGCACTTAATTTTTATTGTTAAATATAACCAATATGCAAAAAAATGAACAGGCTATTTGTTTAATGTTAAGAAATAACTATAAAGTAAGTCATCATGTATACACCAGCCAGGTCAACATTGCCTGATGCCCATAATACCACACTTTCATCAGACACCCTCCTGCTTGTCCCCACTGTGCCTGTGTTTGCCACACTGCTCTTAAATTTGCCCTTCATTGACCTGGTGAGTCTGGCTCCTTCTGATGTATCTGGAACAACTGATTATATAGAGAGAAAAGCAATATGGTCTAGTGCTGAAATAGGAAGGATTTCCTTCTTATTGAACAACTCAAAACACCATTTATTCATCTGTTCATTCAGTAAACTTTTTGAATAGCTCCTTTATAGCAGGTATGACTCTTGCTCTTAGCAAGATGGACACATGCCATAGTCATATTCAAAGCTGAATGAGAAAAAAATTTAAAGAGCCAACTCATTCTGTGGGGAAAAATCACCAAGGAGGAGGGCCTTCCTGAGATGAGATTTGAAGGAGGAATAAAGACGCTGAGGAGTGGTCTAGATCAGATGGGACATGGACACAGGCCAGGGCTGTGCAGGTATGGAAATTATGGGATGGGTTGAAGATAAACTGAAGGGATACAGATTTTAGTGGCTGGTGGAATGTTGTGAAGGTTATTTATTTATTTATGTGGCACTAAGGTTTGAACTCAGGGCTCATGTTTGCTAGGCAGGTGCTCTTACCACTTGAGCCACTCCACAAGCCTGTGATGGTTAATCTTGATTGTCAACTTGAGTGGATTGAGAGCTGCCTACAGGATTACTAAAGCACTCTTGGGTGTATTTGAGGGTGTTTCTAGAGAGGTCTGACATGTGGGAGAGCAACTGAGAGGCAGCACCTTCCATTAGGCTGGATGCCTGGATGGAATAAGATTGGAAAAAAGAGAAAGCCAGTACGTGCAAGCTCCATTCTTGATGAATGAGTCTGTCTGCTGCTGCTGCCATTTCTTGTGGAAATCAGACTCCAGGTTCTTCAGCCTTTAAACATGGACTAATACCGGTGACTCCCAGGGGAGCTTCTGGGCCTTCAGCCTTGGAATGGGCCTGCATTACTTAGTCACCATTGATCTGAGGCATCCAGCTTCTTGGACAGCAGCTACTGGGTTCTCTGCCCTTCCAGCGTGCAGATAGCCATTGTTCGACTAGCCAGCCTTCAGGTTCTGTTCCTCTAGCGAAGCCTTACTAACACAGATTTTGGTTCCAAGAGTAGTTCTAGAGAAACAGAATTATAATGATGAAAAAATTTCGGGTGGGGGGAGGGAAGTTGGCAGTAGTGGAGTTTTAACTTAGGGCCTCCTGCTTGCTAGATAGATGCTCTACCACTTGCCCTCTATGCTTTGGTTAATTTTGAGCTGGGGGGCGGGGGGTCTCACATTTGTTCTTAGGCTGGTGGACCACCATCTTCCTATTTATGCTTCCCATGTAGCTGAAATGATAGGCACAAACTACTACACTCAGCTTTTTGTCAACTGAGATGGGATCTCACTAAATTTTTACAGGCTGGTCTGAAACCACGATCGTTCCAATCTCCACCTCCTAAGTAGCTGGGATTACAGGCATAAGCTACTATGCCTGGCTCTAAAGTATAAAAATAATCACAGACCTATAAGCCAGCTGTGCCCCTCCTCTGGAAAGCCTCTCAGCAGTTTGGGGCTGGAACATGCAGTCCAAGCTGAGTCCTACTGCCCCCACTTTCTTGTTGGTTGTCATCATTGCCATCCCTAGACTCCCGGGGACCCTTGTGTTACTGGGTGGGGTTTTGTACACAGCAAAGTTGTGTCCTCCTTATAACTTTCTGAAAAATCAGCTCTTCACTTGGACTTGTAAAAGAGACATTGTAGGACAAAAAGAAAAGGTGACAAGAAAAGGGACACTTGTCTTTCTTCACACGGAATGTTTCCAAGGCTTGCTTGCCAGAGACAATGTTGATCCCAGAAGGGTCATCCTAGTACTACTGCTGGACATACCAGTATGTGGTTAGGTCCTTCTGGCCTTGGGGTATCAACACTCCATGAGAAAAGATGGAAAATGCTGGTGGCTCTTAAGTGCAACTGAGGGGTCACATTGTGCCCATGCAGAAAATCATAGCTCAGGAAGTTCCAGGATCACTGCTATGGCATGAGGAGCACATGATGCTGATGAGGACTTTGTGAGAAACCTTTATTCAAAATACAGGAACAATTTGCTATTTAATGTTGTTAATATAATAACATCCTTTGCAGTGGCAAATCATTTCTCTCAGAAAAGTTGTAAATGGGAAGCTCCATCCTCCAGCTCATCTTACCTTCCTCTAATGCAAAACCTCCTTGGGCAATAACCCTAGTCCTGGGCAGCCAGGCTACACTGTGCTATCTGCTAATAAGAGGCTGAAAAGGATTTCCAGGGAGTACCAGAATGGCTGTGACGGATACGGCAGGAGAAAGCCCAGGCTGACATTAGGGTTGGCTGAAAGGAGGGAGTCACTAAATACAGCACATGACTTAGATCAAAATAATTCCAGATGGACTGACTGATCTATATGTAAAACTGAACCATAAAAATACTGAAAATAAGAACAGGTGAGTATCTCAAGAAACAACCTTGGACAAGAGACTAAGGTGGATACCATGGACAGCATTAAACAGCCTGCTAAGTGCCAAGCAAGTACTAATGAGCACCTGAATCCAGCCCCCCAGCTCATGCACACTACCATGTCCACTTCCCAGACAAGGACAATGGTGCCTCATCTGTGTCACCTTCATGGAGAAACCAAAACTCAATTTCAGAATAAGCACCAAACAGAGAAACACAGGCAAATTTGTCTACATAACCATTTAAAACTTCTGTATATCCCCTACCATAAATAAAGACAAAAAGATTTTAAAAATGTGCAACACACAACAGAGGATATAATAGATAGCATATTAAAAAACACTTAATCAATATGAAAAAGACCAACATCCCAATGAAGTCACAAAAACATAAATACCAGTAAAGGTACAAAAGATAATCAAAGATAATCAAATGTTCACAGATAATCAAAGAAATGGAAACTGGAAAAAGATATCATTTACAGCACTGAGGAGCTAAAGGAAAAAGCACCTGCTCCAGGCAGTAGCTTACATTTCTGGGATTATCATGGTAAATAAAGATCTCCTTTAAAGTACATTTCCACTGCCAGGAACATGTGTGAGGGAAATCACATGCAGTTCTGGTGATAACAAATCATGAAGGAGCTGCATTTTAACAAGTCATGCAAGGGCCAGGCTGCCCAGGGAGATATAATGTGATCCATGTTTATGGACAGGAATTAAGCAGCCAACATTTATGTACAATTAACTGGCAAGGTGCCTCAAAATCAGCTTAATAGGAACCTACTGTTGGTTGTCCACACTGCACACATGGAAACAGAGGTTCAGAGGGGCTCAGCGACTTGCCCCACATAATGGTCAGTGAGTCACAAAACCTGGATTGGGACCTGGGGCTGTCTGCTGCTGCTGTCCATACTTTTAATCCCATTCCCTGCTACCCCCTGTACTTCAAATTAAGTCAAAAAAAGATAAAAACATTAGTCTCACATGGTCCCATGTTTATATTCCTGTGCTTTCAGCACCCCAGCACTTGATGCAATACTCAGTGATGACAGTCCAGTCAGGTGCCACCTATACAACTACCTAGACCTTCCAGAGAAAGGGAATGAATCAGGCAAGACCAAGTTTAATATTCTTGTCAGTTATTTATTATTTGTCATTCTAAAGACTAGCACATTTACAGCATACATGGCTTTGAATGAGCTAAGAATATATAAAACAGTAACTATATGTTCATATAGTATATATTAATACTGCCCAAAACAAATAAATAAAAGTATTTCAATGCACTAAGCTTGGCAAATACAACTGTGTGGGGGAAAAAATCCCTGTATTATACAATATTTTTACATCTTTAGAGGAAACTAAAGGCAACTGTGCTGCAGGAGCTCTGACAGAATCCATGACTTCCCGGCTGTCCACATAGCTCAGTATTTATTTTTAAATTAGGGGAGAGGGGCACATTGGACGGAACTTCTATTTTGCCTTAACCTATAAAACTGCCTTCCTGGTGCAGCAAACAACTCAGCATTCCTCTGTCCAGCCAGAAGCTGCCTACACCCACACTGTGCCATGCACCCTGTCCCAGCAATCCTGGGACTTTCGCCATGTACTGGGAGCAGGTCACATCCTTTGGAAAGAATACTGAAGCCTGAGTCTTAATTAGACAAGTCCTATGGTGGGTCAAAATATAATGGAAAACTTGGAAAATAATGCACATAAAGGTGCTACATGCAAAACTGCTGACAGATGAGTTAACATTTGCTATATTCCCTTTATAAATACAGGAAGTTAATGCTCTTTGGACAAAAGAAGTCAGAACCAAAATGGATAACATTTAACTAAAAACAAGGAAAAAATGTAAAAGGTTATGACATCAAAATGAGACAAGCTGGAACTAAAAAATGACAAGTTAAATGAGACGAGAGATGAAAGGCTAAATCAGCCATATTAAGGACCAGTTGCCTTTAAACAGGGAATGACACTTCAGGAGGAGAATCTAACACCACCAGCAGCTGCTGTGTGGAAGTTCTGGCACAAGAGATCCTCTCCACTTGCCCACCATAGCAAGCCTAGCTTTTAGGGAGGGACAGTAAGCAGCAACAGCCCAAACTAAAACACACCTTCCTCCTAGCAGGCATCGGGAGACAGCAAGCTGTTTGCACACTGACTTCTGGAATAGGAAGGGATATGGAAAGTCACCCAGTTCCATCCCTACCTGATGCCCACTTTCTCTGTATCCCTATCGAGGCTTGGTTCTGTCTGTGCTTCAGTACCCCAAGCCCAAGCTTGATACACGATTCTAAAGGAGTCAAAAAGAAAGTGGACTTAAAATTTTTCAAGGTGTTTACAAATGATTAGGATCAGCATCAACATATGCCACATGCATTTGTTTTACAACCTTTTAAATAACATGTAAACAGAATTATGATAAACAGAATTGATAAAACATATACCCTCCTAAGGTGGGGGGGAACCTGTGCTGTGTCCAAATAAGACTCATCATCAACTTATAAAAGATGACCAGACATAATTATCTATGAAATTCCAAAGTTTCCTGGCCCATAAATCCCTCTGAAAATCTCATTTAAGGAGATAATTTTAACCATTTCTCAACACTCATACAACAGAATGAGAAGAAAGTAACAATTTTTGCAAACCTAAAAGTAAGACACTCATCAAATATTCAAACATGATTGTACTGTGTTTTAGAACATCTACTGGAAATCCTGCAAAAGAACATTTGTTTTGCAAATATTTGTTTCCACTATGTTTACAATCATAAATCCCCCATCGGGTGCTGTCTCTCAGACATCAGACTTGCCACAATTAAGGTCCTTGATTGCTACAACTCAGCATCCAGAGAAGGGAGCCATGCTCGTGAGTGTGGTAGGACCTGAACCTGGACAAGAGAATAGGAGACAGCGTACAAGGACCTCACTGCTGGCTCAAGCAGATGCCCTCGTCTCTAGCTCTTGAAGGACAAAAAGAAGAGCAGCCCCAGGTGTCATTTCCCTTGCAGGGGTCACCTTCTCATAAAGCATTATCTTACTCTGAAATTCCATCTTTCCTTCACAGGTGGTAGTGGTGGTAGAGAGATGCACTGGTAGCAGCTGTTCTCACTGCATGAGACAGTGCTAGTTTCTGTTCCCAAAATTTGAGTTCCCATTTATGGGTTTGCCTGGGATCCAACTGTTTAATATATTACTTACTGATCTACATTCATATTTTTAAAAGGTAGATTTTAAGTCATTGCTCACTTTTGAGTTACTCAGTAGAAAAATAAGTTAGGTGAGCAGTCCTCAGTGGGCATTGGAAAAAATCTGGCATTTCAGACAAACCTAGTTGGATTCTCATATGTAACTACTGATACTGGCTGTGTAATTACAGCTGACGGCTATTTCTATGGGTGGTCATTACTATCCAAGCTATTGAGCCAAACATTACCTCCTATAGATTCCAACAGAAAAACATGCTCCACAGACTGTTCAGTGAAATATTTTTAAAAACACAAAAATAACCAATCCTTCAGGTCTTCTTGAAGAATTCGTATATGACACTAGAGGGTACCCACATTTATTATGTAACAGCTAAATAGAGGAAACCGTGTGTTCATGTTTCAACTTTTCCGTAAGTCCCTTCGGGAGGCCTGTAATGCTTGGGGAAAGCCTTCAGCTGCAGGGAATTAAATGCATATTTGCGACTTCCAACATTCTTCATTGTATTTTCTCTTCGACAACCCTCACTGGGGAAAAAAACAAGCACAAGAAATGACAGCAGTAAAAAAGGAAAAAAAGAAAAGAAACTAAGATGAGATGAACTGATCATTTTGATAGCATTAAAAAAGATTAATTCAAATGGGTGCTGGACTCATTTACAACAAATACATAAGATGATAGGTTTCTGAACAAGGCAAGTAAGAAGCACAGAGATGAGTACATGCTATATGGGGCTGTGAGTTTTGCATTTCCAAAAGCAGTGCTGTTCTAACTGAAAGCAATTTTTTTAAGTTAATGACTATGTATCTATCGTCTAATTATTTGGGATTCTATCATAACTTGTGGTTCAATGATTCTGCTGTATAGCAAATTAAATGGAAAAATATTACTACTTTTGCTAAAGCCTTTAAACAGCTGCACATTTATATATAAGCAAGAGCTTGTAATCACATCAAACACAAAATATTTAATATATAGCAAAGCCATCTGCTGAGACGACTGTCTGACATCCATTTTCAACTAGGGACAGCTGTTCTGGGTACAAATCAATTCCACAGGCCCATGCACTGTCTGCAGAACAGGTATGCATGGCTATCAATCAGGCTGGAATGTTGTGAAGGGGTGACCCCACTGAGGTCTCCTGCCACCATTCTTCAGGTGGACTGCCTTCATTGTGGTCACCTCTTGCATAAGTGCCACTGAGCCAGTGAGAGCCCACAGGTGATCTTCCCCAGAGCTCGTGGCCAGCATCATCCCCAGCTGCATTTGATGGAGGGTTGTCATGGAAACCCAGTGGCAAAACAAATGGTGCCCAGGAGGATGAGCAGTCAGCCTCAGGAAAGTTCTCTGAGAAGTAGTAGACATAAAAGTAGGAGGCAAAAGCGATTTTCAATATAAATGCCTTCGCACTGCACATATAACTTGAAATTTTTACATTGTTCTAAGACTAACAATGAAACCAATTAATTATCAAGTTTAATATAAAATCCTTATGAGATGTAAAATTTGCAGTTACCATGAAACAGTGATTAAAAAATATTTTGTATGAAGACCATTATGTCATGCATTTAAAAAAATTCAGTGGCAATTGCTCAAGTTTTTTAAAGTGGAAATGACACTCCCATTATCAAGAGCATGTGAAATAGTTTTTAGTAAGACAGTAATTTTTATTCAAAAGGTAGGCTCTGGTATTTTAGCAAAGGATCTACCTGGTTGCTGTGAATGGTTGTAGCGACTCAGATATACTTTCTTGTCCCAGAACTTCAAGCCCTCAGCTGGATGTGTGTCACCTGAGCTGAACACTGGGGCCATATCAGCAGGGTCCCCAGGAGCAAATAACTTATCACATCTGTTGAACATTCAATGACCAGCAAAAAAATAAAATTCTAGTCAAAGCAGAAGCTATAGGTTCCTATCCACAGTTAATCTCCTTTAATCTTTGGAAGCTCTTACCTTAATGGATGTCACATATGGCTTCTCCATTATACAGAAATGTACAAACTTCTCAAAACCCACCTATCACTAGTAAATGCCAAACTCCCTTGAGGAGCAAGGAAGAATAATTTGTGAACTTCTGACATTCTCTTGTGTTTACAGGTGATAGGAGCTAGTATCTGGTTTAGCTGACTGAATAAATTGTACATAAAATTATAATCAAGATTACATATTTATTTCAATTTAGTTTTTAAATCAAGTCATTTCTCCTGAATTTGCATTTATACAATCTGGCTGCTACACCTGTTCTGTATGCTGCCACTATCCCCATGTGATCTGTGGGCCGTGAGCTGGCACTATGGCTTGGGATAAAATCTGCACAGAGGCAGCAAAGGCTGCTCTGGTAACCAGCATCTTCTGCTGCTGAGATCAGTGCACTCTGAGGCAGAACACTTTCAGTGATCACATCGGCTACATAGTTTTAGGAGGCAATAACACATGTTGAGAAGGTCTTTCCAATTTTAGCAAAAGGGATTTAATTATCTTGGAGCTACTTGATTATTTTTATTGTATTAATAAATTCTTTTCAACTACATCCCTGCTCCCTTTCTGGGAACTGAACCCAGGGCTTCACGTTTGCTAGATGACTGCTCTGCCACCCCAGCCCTTTTATATTTTGTTTTTGAGATAGAGTCTTGTCACCTTTGCCTGGGCTGCCTTCAGACTTGAAATTTTCCTACCTCTATCTCCCGAACAGCTGCTCTTACAGGCATGAATTGCCATGCCTGGCCAGAGGACATTCTTTTTTCTTGGGGAAGGGGATGAACTCAGGGCCTTGTGCTTGCTAGGCAGGCACTTTAATCACTTGAGTAACACTTCTAGCCCAAAGGACGTTCATTTTTAAAATGAAAATTCAAATGGAAATCCTAAATGACAACTAATTTTAAGGAAATCTGGTTTTCCCTTTCTGGTTGGGATCTTCCTCTTTAGAACTCATCTGGAGGCCTCAGTGTCTTGGTGATTCCACAGCAGATGCAGAGCTGCTTTGTGGAGGGACAGTATGTCATCATTGTAGTATCTCTGCTTGAGGCAAGCCATAGGAGTAAACAGTGATGGTCAAACTAGTTGAAAGAACTTATATAATAATTTTATAAGGACATCCATCAAGAATCACTTCTGTGTGTTTTCTCTAATTTCTAGAGCTGGTTGACATCTACAATGCTTCTAGCATTACTTCAGAAGCAACCTAAAACCCAGCACCAGACAACAATGACTCCCCTTTCTAGAATCATCTCCCTATAACTCTTTTATCCTGCCTATTTCTCATTAAAGCAGACAAGATTTTGAATATGTTTGCCCTGATCCATAAGCAAAAAGCTGTATGAAATTAAAATTAATTTCATGCACTGAGGGCAAGCACACTGTTTTTTTTTTTTTTCTCAAAAATTTTAAATTAAAAAATGGCCTACTCCTCAGGCTGCTTCCATGCTGTCAAGCCTAGCACTGGCCCTCCATGACAGGAGGCACAGTGTGGCACACTGCCTTTTGCCCAGCCCCTGGAGGAGGGAAACAAGAAACCTGCTCCCCCTTCTCTTTTCCATCTCCTCTCACACAGGAGGGGAAGGTGGTGCTGGCATCACCACAGGCCATGTCAGACTGGAGATCCCCTCCTAAGGGCATCTCTGGCTAGCTATGTCTTCCCTTTGCTGTGTGGTGGGGTCCTGAGTGGAGCCCTGCAAAGTACCACAGAGTACCCTGGGGCTTTGGGAGAGGGAGGGTACTGTCTGTAGTCGGAGGGCCTCCCTCTTCTGTATGGGGCCCCTGCTCAGCCATACCTCAGCCCTGGGGGTGGGGAGTTGTATGCTTGGGGCACTGCCATGGGGATCAGGAGGGTATTATCTAGTGCAGGAACAGGAGACTATGGACCCTATCCTCCTTCTTTCAAAGGAATTAAACAAAATAGCTTAGAGTTGAAGCACATATCTTGAAGTGAGAGAGGGCAAATATCGAACATGCCTTTTAGAGATTCACAGGCTGGCAAGACATTGCCTAGTGACTAGTGTCATGCTCCTATGACTTAATACCACCACTGGTTGGCAATCAGTGAGACTCTGCTGAAGAATGGTGCAGAACAGCCACCAGTTTATTATAGAAGAGTTGTGTACACTTGCCCACAGGGTGATGCAGAGGTCCCTGGGGACTGACAGGAATTCTAGAAAGAATGACATTCTTGGGGTGTAATAAGGATGGCCTTACACTACAGAATTTAAAGCTTCCATCTGGCATTTGTCATTCATTGAAAGGCCTGGAAGGCCTGAAGAGAATGGAGAAGCCAGACTTTGTGGTAGACTAGATTTGTGAGCATGAGGGCATCAAGAGTCTGGAAAAGCCAGCCTCTCCAATTCAGCCAGTTTTTCCAGACTGGTGAAAAGAAACCCACTTCATCAAATACAAGTTTGTGTGGAATCAGCTGGACAGCAAAAATGGAAGGTAAACAAAGAAAGATGGGGGAATTTCCACACACCCTGTACAAGAAATAGTCAGTGGCTTCTTTGCCATATATAAATGTTAAAGTTGTAAGTCATCCTGTTTTAGGGACATTGCCATGTTAAAATTAAGAGTGATAATAACAGAAACAAAAGTGACCCTTTCTCTCTCACAGCTCCACATGCCACAAGTTGTGCCAAAAGTTAAGCCTCATTTTTTGGAAAATATTCTTTGATGTTTTGGTTTATTATTAACCATTTTTAATTGAGAAGAGAGAAAAGATATTGATTTTAATCTAGAATGAAAGGTACAATTTTTAAATGAAATATGTTGTTTCAAGAAAAATAAGTGTCTATAACCTTAACAGCCTTTTCTTATTATGTGCATCAATTCCTAGAATCAGTTTAATGATCCTTAAGGAGTCAAGAATAAATCTGAAGTCACATGCAACATGTTATCTTAAGTGCCTGACTTGGTACAATGTGCTATTATTGTATTCATAGCTGTATCATCCCCAATTGGAAATAATAAACAGAAGCAAGGAGAGGTTATGATTCTGCAAACTGTTTGCTACTGTAATCCAGGGACTACGCTTTGAAATGAAAGCAGAAAGTACACAGCCTATTAAATAGGTTTATCTAGATAAGCCAGTTATAAAGCATCTATTTTTTTCTTCTCATTTTTCTTCAAAAGGAAAGGAAAGGTTAACAATACACTTAAAGAATATTATCAAATATACAAATTCTTTTCAGACAGAATCCCTTTCTCTTGGAAACAGGACACATGAGATGTACAGGTAATAAATAGTTTTACATCAGAAGGTAAGAGATTTGGTACAAGTAATTCGAGGCCAGCTAAATAATGCGGTAACAGGGCACCATAAGAACATGTTACAAGCACTGAAGACGCTACATGATTGAAATGAACAAGTCCCCTTGGCGAAATAATTTGCCAGTTATTTACAGTTCAGAACAACAAAACATCAAACTGTAAGGCATGAGATATTTCTTGGCAGACCACTCTTTGACACCTTCCTTCTGTCCAGTTAGGTACACGGTGGCTGGACAATTCGGGCACTTTTTTTTCTCGTGTGATTTATAATTTTTCATAATGGTAATCATTTGCAACGTAATTTGGTTACCAGGTATGCTATGCTCAGGAAGAGCCACACAATCAGTAAATTGGGGCTCAGAGCTAATAAAGGAATGGAACAGAGGAGGCTGGGGTCTAGCCTTAAGTCTCGGATGGGCACCAGGCCGCTCAAGTTCTTCTGGGTGACTACCTCCCGTGTTCCAATGCTGTGAAGAGGAAAAAGTTTGGGAGAAAGGAAAAGAAAAAAAGGAAAGGAAAGGAAAGGAAAGAAAAAAGGAGATATACATGCGATGGATTTTGCCCAAAAGAATGGGAAAAAAGGAGAACCAAAAGATAAGATTAAAAAAAATAATGGAATGAAGCCACAAGAGAAAGAAAAGATGATATGCAGAGAAGGGTATTAAAGGAAGACCAAACAAAACCAGCACAGTTACAGGAAAAGAGGAGAGAAAGAGAAGTGAAAATAAGAAAAAATACCATAATCTACTGAAATTAAACACATGTAGGTTGAAAGAATGGTTTTCCATGTTCACCCTCTCTTTCTTGGCCAAGCACAGCTCCATGCTGCTCGCCATGCCCCCACATGCTGCAGACGGCATTTCTGAGAAGCAAGCTGAACATGAAGAACCATGGGGGTTTGACCTTCTCACAGATGCCTGAGCAGGGGTTGGTACAGTGGAGTTGGCCAAAGCTGCCACTTGATTCACAAACAAAAACCATCAACCCCAGGTGTCAACCCAATGTAGAGTCTTCCCCAGACCCACCTTGGGTCTTTAGGCGAGTGGTGGTAAGGTGTACCTTGCAAGGTACTTTTCTACAAGGTGATCCCCAGGAATGGAGTTCAACCAAACAATATTAGACATTTTAGATTTTTCCTTCTTTTTCTGCTAAAGAAGAAATGTACTAGGGGATGGGAGTATAGCTCAGTGGTACAGCATGAGGCCCTGGGATCAATCCCTAGCACCAAACAAACAAAATTACTGAGGTGAGAGAGTGCTAGACCATGCAACTCCAGAACCACATGTATGCCCATCAAACCTCAATGGTAATGCAGTCAGAGGTCTTAGGACACAGCAGGCAGTGGGAAGGAACAGCTCAGAGGTGAAGAGCTGGAGTTCAGGGTTGCTCTCTCAGCTCAGTCCTCCCTGGCTTTCTGAGTAGAATCCAGAAGGCCAATAATGGCCCTGCTGAAGTATGCTATTCTCATAGGGGATATTTTCCAAGCTCACAAGCATTGACTGATGGTTATATTCCCTGCCAAGATAGGATGGTGGGTCACTAAGGCTATTCAGAAAGGTCCACTATGTGAAGGTTTCAGCCCCTGACAAGGAACAGAGGGATACCTTTGCCTGCCCCATTATCCTCAGCACTAACCAGGGGTGTGCTGGAGTTAGCCTATAGGACTTGCAGGAGCTGAGTATGTGCCACCACACTGGGGGCTTGAAATGGACCCTAGAAGAAGTATTTATGCCACAGACACTGGCAATCACTGTAGAATGGGGCTTTTTTTTTTCTTTTAGAGAACTAGTTATTGAACACTTAGCCTCCCCACCTCCAGGCCCTACCTCCATGCTCTACTCTTTCATCTAATAAGACGTAAGCAAGAAAGCAAGAGAATCCAGTACCCTCTACTTAAGGGTGCCGGTGAGATTTACTTCTGCCTCCTTCGGGATCTCAGGTAAGCTGCAGTACTGGACACCACTGTAGCCAGAAATGCTAGCTAGTGACCCAGCCATCTCAGGCTTGCAGGTGACTAACAGATATGTGTTTTCTCTACATGGGATAATCCAGAGAACAAAGAAATGAGGTGCCTGCAGTAGAGCCTGAGAGGCTGCATGGTCAGCAAGGGCAGCAACAAGCACTGGCCCCCGCTGGTGCCAAGGATAATGGGACAGGCAGAGGTGATGTAGAGACAAGCTGTTTCATTTTTATGACTTCTTATATAATTATTAAAGTAAAATATAATCAGTAGAGATTTATAAAATTCAGAAAAAAACATAAATTGGAAAATTTTAAAAAGACATCTATAACTGGAGGCAGAGGATAGGGCTGAGTGAGGCAGAGAGAGGTCAAGGAATGGTGCCATTTCCATATGGAGAAAGGTCCTTCCCTGCACTGGGCCTTGGGGTCCTTATGTTCTAAAGAGTACAGAAAAACAATGCTGACTTTACAGTCTCTGAGCTGAGAATGGTGACAGAAATGACTGCATCCAGTGAGGGTGGAGGGCTCACTGGACACTGTGGGCAGTAGTGTGACTGGTAGGGGAGCAACTTGCTAATTTGTATTAAAATTACTAAAAAGCCTTATAAAAGTATATACTCATTAACCTAAGGAACCAATGTGGCAAACATGATGTTATGGTTTGGATATGAAGTGACTCCCCAAATGCTCATGTATTCAAGGCTTGGTCCCTGATACAAGCAGTGTTCAGCAGTGGGGCTTCTGGGAAGTGATTGGATCATAGGGTCTCTGCCTTTATCAATAGCTTAATCCACTGATGGATTCAGAATATGAACGGCCTATTGGGAGTGGTAGAACTGTAGAAGGTTGGAGGAAGTAGGTCGCTGGGGACAGGTCTTTGAACGGTGTATCTTGTCCTTGGCCTCTTCTTTTGTGTTGCTCTCTACTTTATGGCCACCATGAGGGCTTTACTGTGCCATGCCCCTTTGCCATGATGTTCTGTCTCCTGTGACTCTGAAAAGATGCAGCCAGCCAAGCATGGACTGAATCCTCTGAAACCATGAGTCAAAATAAATCTTTTTTCCTTAAGTTGTTTTTCTCAGGTATTTGTTACAGCAATGAAAAGTCTGACATGTGGGTATGAAAATAATGATATCCACTAGACCCTTGGCTAAAATGCTGAAAACCATATGCAGTTTAGTTAGTGAAAAATTAGCTAAACTATGATATGTTAAAAGTGATAAGGACTATCTTTACTAGCCTAAAAAACACAATAGTTAAACAAAAAAAGTAGATTAAAAGAATAGGCAGAATTGTATGTATTAATGCATTTGTTTATGCAAGTGTGTGCTTATTTTGTATGTTGTTTAGGCACTGGTTAACTAGTGTATAGAATAACCACACTGACCCATATGTATGTATGTATGAGCATCTCCCTCTTTGAAAGAGTATGTGGCAAATGTTAATATGGCTATTTGCTAATAGTAGGAATACAGAAGATCTGTCTGCAGGGTATATGTGTGTGTGGTTAGAAACTTATCTGTATTTTCTAGCTTTCCTACTACGAGTGACAGTGATTTAAAGTGCCTTGTGTGTTACAATACTTGTATTAGCTTTCCTGGGCTGGGGATGTAGCTCAGTGGTAGAGCTCATGCTTAGCACTCTCAAAGCCCTGGGTTAATCTCCAGCACCAAAAAAAAAAAAAAAGACAGTTGTCCTGTGTATACTAGAGGAGGTGGATAAGGTGACCCTCCCAGGTGCTGGGCTTGGTCCCCTTAAATCTCAGTGCTCAGATGTGGTCAGAACGAGTTGTTTTTTGTTGAAATAATTTAAGAGCTCAGAACTGGACAGTGGTAGGCCTAACTTGGGGCCTTGTCTACTAACTAGACCTGATTCTGATCTTTGTTCCACAACTATAGGTATTCCCATTCTGGTAGAGGGCTGCAGTTCACCTGAGCAGCCCTCACACCGTTATGCAGCTAACAGGGAGTAAGCAGATGTGGCTGCCACACCATAGCACCAGAGTTGCATTGGATGTGGAACTTAAAAGGCACTGAGGCTTCTGGGAGCAGGCCTTTAGTCAAACTCTTATAAGTGCCCCAGAACAGAGGCCTCTGAATCTCTACTGCTTCTCCACTTTGGAGGCAAAGGGATGAAGGGATGAGGAGCTTTAACAGAGAGGTTTAGATGAAATAGAGACAAAACAGGGACAAAATGATGCCAATTTTACAAAATGCTATTTTCAAGAGGCAGGAGCTCATGCATCACTTTTGTGCATTGTTGTGAGAAGGTCAAATAGCAGAAACATACAGAAAGGATAAGAGAATTGAACGCTTTGAAGAATTTGGTGAGAGGACAAATGATACAGAACATTCAGTAGAAGTGACTGTTGGAAACGAGACTTTAACAGCATTGGTGACTACATTGAAGGAGACAGGAGAACCAGGTTTCTTATCCTTTCTTTTGGTATGTGAGGTAGGGAGCTGCCCAGCAGTGCTTGAAACAAGGCATTGATCAACAGTGGACAGTTTCAGTTCTGGGTTTCATTCTGCAAACACATCTACTGCCTCAGAATCAGGGTGTCATTAGGATGAGGTGGCCAAGGCACACTGATAGCTGTCACCATAAAACACTCACTGGACACTTTGCTCATGGAAGCATACTGTGTCCACTGCTAGAGTGGAAGCAGAGAAACCAGTGCAATCTGCAGACGTGTTTTCTTCATGCAAGTTTGTTAATGTATAATGTGTGTATATCTATATCTATATAGATATAGATATAGATACACACTAGTAAGCAGCAGCTACCTGCTGAGACAGTGTGGACCCTAGACCCCATCCAGGCAGGTGGCCTCAGAGAGTCTGAGTGTCTCTCCCTACCCGCACTGAACTGCCTGACCCTCCAATCTGCCTACTACTCCACTGTTTCGGCACAGTCCTGTTCAGAAAGACTGATGGCTTTTCCCAGCCCCCACTCCCATCCCTTACTTGGCTTCTAAGGAACTACTGCCTGAATCTGACAGGACGAGCAGTTTGACTAGAGTCAAACTCAAGTGTGCTGGGGCAGTGGCCCCATGCAGGGCCAGGGGACTGGCACCAGCTCATCTGCAGTTTACACAGGCGGCGGGCAGGTGGCAGCTGGCTGGGGAGGTGGCAGCCTGGCCATGGCACTCACCTGCGCATGCACTCCAAGGCCTGTGTGAAGACCTGCGGGGCCATGCCGTGCTCATGCTGTAGGATCAGGCACTGTTCGAGCGTCACCGACATGGCTGTGCGGTCCTTGGCACTCTTGCAGCTGGTGAACCGAACCCCGTTAAGGCGGCGGCAAACCTGCCAACAGGAAATAGGCTGAGCTTAGAAGGGGAGAGTCCACAGAAGGGCAGCACCTTCCCATGGAGGAAGGCTGTCTACAGGCCCAGAAGGGACATAGGCAGTAAACTGATTCCCAATCCTAAAGTCTGCTTACTCCCCAACTCCACATCCTCCTGAGCTGGTATCAGAAACCAAGTCACGTACAAGTAAGAGTCCCTTAGGGGTTCTGCTGCCCAAGGGGCCTGCCTTCATCCCTGCCATTCTATTCCTCATGTGGCTAGTACACTCTAAATTCAGCCTCTCTCCCTTGTGACTTATCACTGTTCTTCACTGACCCTTACTGGCTATCCCAATTCCAGACCTTGCTGGTACCTTCTTGGGACATCTAGCCTTTTACTGCTAACCACCCCACCTCCACCAGGGAAAGAAGGCATGGAGGGTGACCCACTCAGGGGAAGCCAGAGCAACTTGCAAGCTTCCATGGTCCCTGGTCAGGTCTCTGGGCCTCTCTGAAAGGGAAGAACAGATTTGCTGGTCTCTACTTTCCTCTTTCCCCCGTACAGATGGCAACAGTTCAGAGGAGCTGCCGTCTGACCACCAGGCCTCATAGGCCCCTCCCGCCTTCCTCCACCTCCAACCTTGTCAGGGCCCTGGGCCCAGTGTTAGGTATCTACACATTCTGCCTCACAAATGCATGGCCCACGTGGGTGGGAGCAGGGCAGTCCCCAGACAGGGAAAAGACCATTCCAGGGTACCTCCTCTATACTCCTAGACACAGTTCTAGGACCACAGTCCCAAATTCAGTAAGCTCTTACCCAAAAGAGCATCTGCACTGCCAGGCTCCCAGCCCAGAGGGCTAGCAATCAGCTCTGAGCTCTGACCAGGTCTCCTCACCTGTGAAATAAGGGTCAGTCCTGCCTGATGGTATTCCAGCTATTTAGCTAGGGACTCTGTTCATATTCAGAAATGAAAATAAGTAATATCCAGAGAAGAGCAGCTCTGAAGAACTCAGTATCCGAGTGGACTGGAATTGCTGCCTCACACCCACCCATCTCCCAGGTTACACCCAGGGTTCAGTAGACAATATGAAAATGGACACATCCAAGGGTTCCTGACAGCTTCTGTCCTATGGTTCTATACCTTGGGGTCCTGCTGGGAACAAGGATGGATTGCCTTTCTGACTTGGTGATAGAATGGTCAACTGCCCCTATATTTAATAATTTTTTTGATTATATGGTAATAAAGAAATATTGTTCTTAAACAAGGCATACACAGGTCTCTACAAAGCTGGCTGTGTGTTTATTCTAAGGGGAATGAATCAGTGAGTGTATGTCCTATGCTACTGTTCGGGGATCTGGCAGTGTGACCCTCTAGACCTTGCTATATAAAAGGTTACCTATGTAAGAGGCTATCACAGAATGGCTAGGGGTATTTAGCAATACCCATGCCAAATGAAATAAAAGAAAGTTAGGGGCACCCCTCTGCCCTGCTGTGAAGGCTGTACAGCAGGTGTTTTTCCCATCACATGTGACATTTGGTGGGCATGGCCTGAGTAACAATGTAGTTGAGGCCCCAAACCAAGAGAACACTTGAAAAATGAATGAGGCCTATGTAACTGGCCTGTCACTTGGTGCTTCAAAAATGTGTTCGGTTATAAATAAAAGTCGAAGGGCAGCCTGGCCAGAGAAGGGAGATCAGCAGACTGACCCTACCCTATAAGGGTAGATGAAGAGATTATGATTAGACACAGATGAGAGTTCTACTCTTCAAAGCCTTACTCAACAGAGATGGCAGTAGCCATAGCCATTAGCAATCTACAATGTGGGGCATGTTTAAGAAAAGGGCTGTCATGAAGACAGGTCTCAGACGCATGGTTTAACACACACAGGGTATGGGAATGGCTGCCAAACCCTGGGACCAGCTGGAACTGTGTGCTGCTGTGGAAGTTACTCAGAGAAGTGGATAGGGGATGGCCCCTACCAGTGTAGATCACAAGAACCAGGGACGGCTTCTGTCCCTCATACCAGAGTCCCAGTACTGGGCAGGATATGCTGCTACAGACATGAATAAGACTCGTCCCCTCATCTGGAATGAGTGATAGCTAGGAAATTGGTCAGATACCCATGCTCAGAGCAGTGACTTGGAATTCTGAGTGAAGTTGTGAGAAAATTTTTGGGGAAATGAGGTGATCAAGATGGCAATGCAGGATAAAGATTGTTTAAGGAGATATGAAAGGCCACCATGCTCTCCCTTTGAATCATTTAAAGCCACAGTAGGCCATGAAGCTCAGCTGGTATGGATTGTGCAGGCTTCTGCAGGTGACAACAGCCATCAGCTGGTTTGTAAATGCCCCAGGGACAGATTCTATGTCAAGCTTCTCAGAATCCAGGAAGCCTTAAAAGGAATGAACTCATAGGTAATGTTCTGTGTCTTCCAGAGTCTCAACATACTCAGTGACTTTCTCTGGCACCCATGTGTAGGGAAAAACTTACTCTCTCTATCCTGGCGGAAGATTGTGACTGTCACTATTTTAGTTACAATGGTTGGTAGCTGACGTGCTGTAAGCTCCTCCACCTAGCTATAACAAGTACCTCAGCAGCTTGCCAGAGAATGTCCACATTCTTATTCTTCCGAGCATGGACGTTTTGACCCAGAAAGCGCAGCAGCTCTGGCAGGCAGGTCTGACTCCGAGATCGAGGTAGACCTGGAAGAGAAGAGGAGCATCCTCAGGAGTGGGAGCCCTGCTAATGGAACTGCTGCACAGGAAATGGTAAAATGACCAGCTCAGAGTCAGAGCAAGAAGGCCAAGAGGTGTTTTGGGATTGGATGTAGCTACAAGTATGGCAAACCTTTCACTTTAGCTTTAAAGGGGACTGGAGAGTAGACTTGTCTCTGAAGGGAGACAGTCAGGAGACAGTGAGGGTGATCCACCTGTCTCCAAAACCACTACCAAGGACGCAGGATGCTTGGGACAGCGGGTCTCGACCAATGAGTGGGCCTGGAAACTGTGGGGGAGTCTGAAAATTGCAGCTTTCTTCAGGGTCCTTGATCCATGCCTAAAGAAGCACATTCTGAATAGCCCAGGGAGGTCTTTCTCTGCTCTTTCTAACAGCTTCACTGTTTCACTGTGGCAGTCTCCCAGCCCTTTCAGGACTCCCTGAGCCCCAAATTTGTCAGGTCGCCTGACCTAAAAAACCCAGGAAAAACTGAGGAAAAATCAACCACTCCTGAAGGCACTCTGTTATTTACAAATATTGAGATTACCAAAGACAAAAAGATGAGCCTCAAGATCATAGCTAAGGGTAATGGTGCCTGATTCCTCAAATCAAACCAAATGCATGGCCTTCTAGGATCTAACCACACATACAGCTTCCACCATACAACCTCATCCTGGGGTCCACAGGATCCTGTGCTAATTGCTTCATACTCCTGTAAGTGTCCGGCTCCTGCCTGTGAGGGACTCTGTGTCAGAGGCCTGGGCCCAGAGAAGTGGAGCTTAAGGTAGGTCAGGCATCCACCCTCAGGATGAATGGAATAACTTTACTACCCAACTGGAGGTCAACTGTAGCCTCTTCTGCCCTCCTCTTATTTTAGTGGAAACCTGCCCCCTGATGAACTGTGTAGATATGGGGGACATTCAGCTGAGTGGGTTCCATCTTCCTGGCCTCACAGATTAGCAATTCCTTCCCTGTGCTAAAAGGTATATGAACCACCCCTGCCCAGTTTCTTGGCTTCTGTTCCTGTGGGCCTCACCCTTCACTGGCCTCCATCCTCAGTCTTCTTTAACATCTCCTTGGGCTTTAGCAACACTAGAAACTGCCTACCCTCCAAAGTGCTGGGCGCAGGAAATTCCTCCTTCCTGAAGATGCCACTCACTGCTCCCACCTGCCTTCTATTCTCAGCACAGTCTTGGTCCCTCCCTTCTTTCCCACTCACCTTGTTCGCTGACTGGTGCTCCTGTCCCATAGTCCACAGCCTGTCCCTTCCCCCTACAGCAGTCACAATAAGGTTCTGCTGGTCTTGACATGCCTCAGTATCCACATCTGTCAAGCATGTGCAAGATCAGCGCCTGCCTCACAGGGCTGGCATGAGGATCAGATCTGGGCACAAGGCAAGGACTTGGCAAATCTGTCATTTCTAACTGTGAGCACTGCAAAAGAATATGAGGACAACCAATGACTACACTGCTGATGACATTTAGCTGAGTCCTTGGATGATCCTCATACTTAGCTCTTTTCTACCCTGGCTGCAGCACCTGGGTAGGGGATGGGTACTCAGACCTTGATGCTCAGGCCATCTCACTTGGGCAGTGAGCCAGGCTGTCTGGAGCATGCCAGTGTAGCTAGGGTTGAGCACATGGCCCCAAGGGCTCCAATAGCACACATGCTACATCTTATTCTGCTCAAGGCCCAGGCTCTGTGCTCACCTCCTTCATGTTCAATAGAACTCAACTCCTGTTTCACTGGGGAGACTGGTCACCCAGTCTGAGCTCTGGCATTTCCTCCATTTCCATTCCTACCTCTCATTTCCTCCTTAGCTCTTTGTCAGGACACCTCCACCTGAAATCTCCAGGACCCTGGTCTGACATCTCTGTTACCCTCATGTATCTTCTAGCCCATTTTCTCTACCTCCATCCTTAGGCATTAAGCATATTGATGTCACCCACAAAACTCCCAGCCCTGTCCCTCCAGTCACTGTTCATCTTTGGGTCAGAGGCATTCATTCCAAGACAGCACCATTTCATTATCCACTTGATCCCTGAGCCCATCCCTTGCCACTCTGTGACTGTCCTGAGATCACCAAGAACACTTTGTCCATCAATACATAGGCCAATCTGTGCCCTCACACATTCCATGACATCCGTCCTCCTTACAACGTACCAGTGACTCCTTCTCTGGCCCTTCAGTGGAATCCCTTCTCCCCTAAGGACCTCTGGCCTCTTCCATACTGTATCCTCAGCTCTTTTCCCATCTTGTCACTCAGTGAACTCAGTCACCAAAGGGTTTCACTAAATGGCTCCATATCTGCACTTCCCGTGGGCCACTCATGTCACAAACTGAGCTGTGCTTGCCTCTCCCTACTCTGCCTCTCTATCCCCAGGAGAGCCATCAATCCTGCTGCTGCCAACTCTGGAAACCTTTACCCAGTGCCAGACTCTCTATCTCTCCCCACACAGCATGCCTCACTCTTAAGCACTGGATTCAGGGACCAATGTGGAGCTCATTCGCAGTCAGAACCTTCCTGGACACCTACTCCTCTGTCCATGCTATGCCAGCACCAAGTCAGAGTTGGACATTGAAACAATGTCTCAGCTGATGCCTCACAGCCTCCCGCAGGTTTCCAGTCATCTGTGTCCCCTTCTCTAATCCAACCAGCACATTGGAAAAAGCAGCTGTTATCCCAATTTCCCAGCTATCAAATGAATACTAATGTCCCAGCCTGGACAGTAGTCCCCCCCAACAGTATGGGCTTCAGGATCAGGTGATTCCTCTGAACACGAACACTAATACTGGTTTTGCAGGGCTGTGGGATTTGCTACAATGAATGTGGAAATGTGTGAAGGGCACTTTAGCCCAGCACCTGGCTCAACAGTGATCTGTAAATGTTCACTGAACTACTATTTTGCTATCAGTTCTAAACCCTTAAGACCTGTTGCACCTTCCAACAGAACACAAAGGAGGCCTGCCTACATCTTCCCAGCGTGTGCGTTCTTACTTCTTTGGATCTTCATTAGAAGATTTCAGCTTAACTCCAGGATAGGAGCAGGTGCCCTCAGATCCTTTGTGGTGCCCCGAGTGGCAGTGGCTAGGTCTCACATGCTAGGTCCTGTCACACTTTACATACAGCAGGTGCCCAGTGGATTTACTGGGTTCAATTTGGGAGACTTGTACATGTAAAGATTGTGCTGTGCATTCCTGGGCTTCTCCCTGAGTTCTGAGGCTGCCAGAGTCCTCTTTGTCATGTCTTCCCTGGGGAAAAGAGCTATGTAAAATTGGAGCAATGACTTCTGCCACCTCCAGGTAGACTATGATCATCTTGTCCTCCAATACCCAGCAAGGAATATTTTCTCAGCATCCTACTCTCTAAGCACCATGGAGGGAGATGCATAAGCAGTTCATGCAGATCTCCTGGACCTGCATTTGAGATCCCCCATGTCCTACCAGCAGGTGCACATCTGCCATTGTCTGTACCAGTTAATGGTAGGGCCTACAACAGTGTGTGTTGGGGGGAAATCCCCATGTCATGTATGGTGGAAGAGAATCGACTGCAGGAGGTGAGCAGAGGCTGCAGAACCAGGAAAGTTTCTCTGAGTAGAATTCAAGCCAAGCAGCGTCTGACAAGGTGAAAGGGCTGCCATACCCATGTGTGTGAGTGGCAGGGAAGAACAGCTTAAACACACGAGTACATGCATCTGTGCACACATATGGACATGCACGCATGGCAGCAGGGTGGGCTAGGCAGTGTCTTGAAGGTCAATAAGCATGCACCTTGACTCAGATATCGAAAGTGATAAATTGACAAGCAGGTGGAATCTACCAGGAGTGAAGAAATACTTACAATCCTCAGGCAAAACTTCCTTAAACTGCTCAAAGTAGGAATTTAACCGCACCAAACTCTCCACGTTGATAACTTCTTGTAAAGACGTATCACCAAACCTTGGAGTGTTAAGGGGACATTATTAGTTGGCTCATGTCACATTCTTCTAACACACAGTTTTGCGTGAAACTTAATATTATCTCTCAAACATTTATTGAATGTCTAAATCCTAAGTCACTTTCTGCCTCTTAAATGTGTCATGGGCAGGAACCATGTATAATTTATTACAGATGTGCCTAAGAGATAATCAGAACATAATCCATACTGTGATGATTTATATATGAAGTGTTCCCCCTCAAAACACTCATGTGGTCCCCAGCTGGTGGTGCTATTGAGAGGCGATTGCATCATGAGGATGTTAATTTCATCAACTGGTTAGTCCACTGATGAATTTGTGGCTAAATGGGCTATTAGTAGGTGGTGCCCATTTGGAGGAACTAGGTCACAGGGGATGTCTTTCAAGAATATACCTTGTCCCAAGACCCTTCTCCTGTCTTTCTGCTTCCTGTCTGCCATGAGGTGAGCCACATGTTCTAGCATGTTCTTCACCATTACATTCTGTCTCACCACATATAGCTCCAGAAGCTCTGAAACTGTGAGCCAGAATAAATCCTTCCTCCTTAAGTTGTTTTCTTGAATAGTTTATCACAGTGATGAAAAGTGACTAACACAGAAAACTGGTATTGGGAATAGGATGGTTGCTTTGACTATACCTGACAATGTGGTTCAGAAGCCTTTGTATGTGGTCTATGGGAGACATTTGAAAAAGGTTGGAGAAGCCCTAGAATGCCTAAGCAGAACTCATGGGTGACTTTGATAGGAGCTCCAAGACCAGGATGCGGACTGTAAAGACTGCTCATGAGGTTTCAGACCGGCATGAGGACTCTAACAGGAACTGGACCAGAGGCCAGTCATGTTACATTCTGCCAAAGCACCTGTCTACATTTCATCCAAGCCCTGAGACTCTGTGGGAGGCAGAGTTTAAACCACCCATTTGAGAAGACAGTTCTAGGTGCCCAGCTTGGATAGAGATGCTTAGGGAAATAGTTCCCTTCATTCAGATGTCTAGGCACTCAGAAGCCACTTTAGCTGTGGTGACTGAGATGGCAGCAGATGTTGGTATCATATATGTGATGTTGGTTTTGCAGGCATGCAGAATACAAGAGTTACAGGGACACAGAAGCTTCCACCCAGATTTCAAAAGAAAGCCGAGGAGGCCAAGCAATGGGTCAGGTTCCCTGCAGGCAGCCCCTGAGAGCTGCAAGAGTAAAGCTAAAGATACGAGAGACTCCAGGAAGTTGAGATACCAGGAATGTTGAACATCTATAAAGGAAAGCCCCAGCTAATGACCACAGCCAGCCAGGTGAGATGTCATGTGGCTGCAGCTTGCAAGGACATAGGCGCAGGGCTGTCCAAGCCCTATGGAGCTCACATTAGAACACAACGTGCCCTGGATGCTAGGTGAAGAGTTAAAGGATTTACTGTTTGCCTGCTGAGTTTTGCTCTTGCTTTGATCTGATTTTCCTTGCTATTTACCTATTCCTTCATTTTGGAATGGGAATGTTTACTCTGTGTCATTGTATCTTGGAATTATGTATCTTGTATTTGATTTTACAGAGGCTCACAGCTAAGAGAGGGCCTTGAATATCAGAGGAGACTTTGAACATGGATTTTTGAGAAATGCTTTAACTGTTGAGGCTTTGGGGATTCTAGAAGATGGACTAAGTGCATCTGCATTATGAGATGAACTTGAACCTTTGCGGGCTGGAGATGAAACAATACGGTTTGGATATTAAGTGTCCTTCCCAAATGCTCCTGAGTTGAAGGCTTGGTCCCAAGCTGGTTGCGCTATTGAGAGGTGACTGTATTGTGAGGCCACTAACTTCATCAACAGGTTAACCCAGCTAGGCATGGTGCTTCATACCTATAATATCAGGAGGCAGGCTAGGAGGACTGCAGTTTGAGGCATGCCTGAACAAAAAGTTAGTGAGACCCCATTTCAACAAAATAAAACCAGATATGGTGCTGTGTATCTGTAATCCTAGGTAGGTGGGGGAACAGGTAGGAGGATCGTGGTCTTAAAAATAACCTACAGCATGGCTCAAGTGGTAGAGTACTTGCCTAGCAAGTACAAGGCTGAGTTTCAAATCCAAGTATCACCAAAAAACCAAAACAAACAACAGCAACAACAAATCCAAATTAACCAGGTGCAGTAGCTCACGATCTTAATCCCAGCTTTACTGCAGGAAGCATAAATAGGAGGATTGTGGCCCAGGTCAGCCCCAGCCAAAAGCACAAGACCCTATTTGAAAAATAATTAAAGCAAAAGTGGCTAGGGGTGTAGCTCAAATGGTAGAGTACCTGCCTAGCAAGGTTGTGGCCCTCAGATCAAACCCCAGTACTGCCAAACAACAACAAAAAAGATCAATCCATTGATTAAAGGATCAGAGGATGTGGGGGAATATTAGGAGGTGGGGTCTAGAGGAACTAGGTCATTGGGAGTATGTCTTGAAAGGTATATCTTGTCCCTGGGCCTTGATCTCTTTCTGCCTTCTGTCTGCCATGAGGTGAGCCACTTTGCTTTATCACATCCTCCCACCATGTTCTGCCTTACCATGCATGGGCCCAGAAGCAACAGAGTCAGGTAACCATAGGCTGCAACCGCTGAAACCATGAGCTAAATAAGCCTTTCCTCCTTTAAGTTGTTTTCTTAGGAATTTTGTCACAGTGACAAAAAAGTTACTAACACAGTATAAAATCTGGATCCTGAAAGGCCTGCTTTATGTGGCACAGGAATTCCTCTCTACCACCACTCAGATCCAAGTCCCTGTGTCTTCCTGCCTCAGAGGGACTTAGAAGAGGGGATAACAACAATGGAGTGTGCTTGAGGAATGATGACAGTCTTGTACTAGAATCTGAAGCCACTCTGCTGAATGAACACCCTGACTGACTGTCCCTCTGGACTGGATTATCACACAGGATTTCCCTGGGTGTACCTACATGCTAATGCCTGTGGGAAGAAGTAGTGTGATGCCACCTGTGAGGAAGGGACAAAGTGGTCATTAAAAATTCAGGTTCTGAAGTCCAACATGTGGTTCCCCACTTTCCTTCTGTGTGACCTGCCTAAGCATCAGCCTCCTTGTGGTCCTGCAACATCCCTGGGGGTGCAGGATGCCCTCCTGTGGGTAACAGCCTATCTACCAAGGTGCTTATGCGTTTAGGCACCTGCTCCCTTGAAGTTATCCTTGGACTCATGGCCTCTAGTCTCTGTGCTGTCTTCCCACAGCTCATAAACAAACCCAGTTCATCAGTGTGCTGGTGCAAACAAACTAAGCCAAACCCTACACTCTTCAGCTCCCTCTCATTCAATTCTCATTCTCTCCTCTTTCACTCTTCCCTCAGTTCACCATAGCTGGCCCTGAAGCAACCCTTTTCAGAAACTGCTCAACAGCTGTCAGATGCAGGAAATGTCATTCTCACACTCAGGACACCTCTGCCTCCTTGCAGTGGGCTCCTCTGGTTCTGCTCACATCTCAGAGGGATCTGTTCCCCGAGACAGTACCTCAGCTTGAGCTGAGCTCATCACCTGCCCTGAACATACCTCCCCTACCCCTGGTCCTGAGTTCAACAGGTCACTGGGTTACCTGCTTGTCTAATCTAGAAAACTGGGATCACTAGTCTACTCTTCTCACTATCTCTCTTCAGGTCAACTGGAGTCCAAATCCTTCCACTCACCACTTACAACATTTTTCAGTTGGTTCCTTCTCAGAACACTACACTGTCCTCCATACAGAGTGCTACCTCTGGCCTAGCCTCTTCAACAAACTCCTCACGTGTGTCTCCCACAGCCCATGGCCACCAAAATGACCTACATAAATCTACAAATCATGTAAATATGATCATACACCACTCAACAGTTTTTCAACATCTCCCAAAAACCACAGCACATTTCCTCGGGTGGGGCGGCGGGGGAAGTCCATACCAGGGCTTCTTGGACACTGATCACTCTAGTCATGGAGGCACCAGGAAGATAGCACACACCTCTCAGCCAATGTCTGCTGCTCATTGATGCCCACATTGAAGAGGACAGGCTGTACCCGCAGCAGCATGCCGCTCTGGATCTCCCGGGGCAGGGTGTCAAACAGTGGGCCTGGCAGGGGGATCCGCACGTTAAACCCATCACTGGAGGAAAGCAAGCAGAGAGAGGAAGAACAACTGTGAGGCCCAGACACTGGGAGACACACCAGGGATGGAATCTGAGCAGGCTCCAGATTGAGCCTGTGGGCGGCCTCACAATGATACTCAAATTCTCAGCCAGACCATTAAGGGGAGATAAAATCAACAAAGGGGACTCTGACCCACATTTTTTAACAGAATGAAACAGAATAAAAATAAAACAAAGGGAGTATGTATGAGACTCACATTTATTAAAAACAAAACAAAAAAACCACCACTCTGGCTGAGACAATTTTAAAGAAACATTTCTACCGATTTCCTGTGATGACGGGTAGCATGTCAGTTGATGCAGTAGAAGTGGCCTGTGTGACTTTAAAGGTCACATTCCTCAAGTCCATGATTCCAAGGCTCATGTCCTCCAACATTGCTAGCTCCTCCCCTGGATGCAAGAAAGGGAAAGAGGCTGTCAGGCAGAGGTTTGCCACTTTCCCCAGGGTTAGGGTATAGACTGGGGACTTTCTGAGCCCCTTCCCTAGGACTCACTGCTTTGTGAGTGAACACTGACCCTGCCTCACACCGGCATTACAAATGCAGCTGGTGGAAACAGGAACTACACTGCTGAAGCCTTCCATGGTCAAGCTCAGGACTGTGGGGAGGGAGACAGAAATGCGCTGAACTTAGAAGGCAACATCAGCAATTCAAGAACAGGAAGAGAGACAGTACAATAGCTTTGCTGTAGCCACATCCTACCATGACACAGGGCTGGCTATCTATGCAATGTCGTACAATTTCATTGTCTGTTTTCACCTTTTTGGAAGAAATAAATAGAAAACAAGGCTAGAGAGGAGAAAGGCTCTCTAGTAGCCAATTTGGAAACAGCTATTAGGTTTTTAAAACATTCCCATCCTTTGAACTGGCAACTCTTTCTAACAATCACTGGCTACAGAAATGGGCTCACAAGTGCTTCTGTGTAAGGGTATTATTGCACAAAAGAATTAGTAGGAACAATTCAGAAACAACCAAAATGCCCCACAGGATATGCATCGTTAAATAATCACCATTTATCCTCAACTAGAAAGATCTTGAGGATGTGTAACAAAGAATGACCCCACCACAAGCCAAGGGGGGATTCATTTGGTTCTTTGTCTCATATTCTGGTGCTGTTCAAATTCATTTTACTATCTTGGAAGAAAGGGTGGAAATTACACAAGGAATCACCACTGTGACCTGTGCAGCCTAGGTACGTCCAGTCATGTAGTCTTACCATAGGTGCTTAGGAGGCTCTCAAACTGGGCCAGCAGCCCGATGGTATAGAGCTGCCGCAGGAAGCCATCATCATGCAGGCAATTCCTCAACTTGATGATGAAGCCACAGATGAGGGCAGTCAGCTGCAGGGAGGCACAGAGTTATGGTGTGGGAAACAAGATACCAACTCCCCAAGCTGCAGTCAGCTCCTATGAGCCCTGGTCCTCAAGTTCCTTTGTTTCCACTGCTCAAAAGGGTATTAGTAGCATCTCTTATCACTCAGGGTGGGAATGGGGAGCCGAGGATGCCCTGGCTCTGAGGCCACAGTGGGCAGAAGCTATGAAGAGAACGTGTAACATGCTGGGCTTGCTGCACCTGTCACTCTCAAAGGTGGGGCTGGTCTTGGCACAGTTTCTGACCTTACCTGCCTGGTATTATTCCTGGGCTGAAACCTTCTGGAAGCCCAGAATCAATTCTCCACTGTGAAAGGCTCTATCTAATCACAGATCCATACCATCTTTGACTGGAAACTGAGTCACAACTAAAAATAGGGGTGAGAGAGAACTTGGTCACTCAGTTCCTCATTGGAAGGTTTTCTATGGGATGAGTTAGGACAATCAGTGAGCAAAAACCACATAGTACCAGCTCACCCTACGTCACTGCTCACATCACTAAATTTAACTTGTGATATTCATTTCAACTCTTCACTTCACTGAAAGATAACAGAAATCATTAAAACAGAGTTCTACAACAGAACAGAAGCCACAGAACTAAAGTATCTGCTGGTTTACAAACAGGAAAACAGACTAAGCTGACAGCAAACATCCATACTGACCTCACTAAACACTTCTGCAGGAAAAAAAGAAAAAGGTGGTAAAGAGGCCTGTGATTTGGCCCACCTCCAGGTGCATAGCCTATTGTCAGTGCTAGTTCTTCAAGAGAAACCAATACTTATCAATGAACTGGTTTCCATCCTAAATTGATGTCTAGCCTCTCTATGAAATAAATTGAAAAGCAACAGACAGGAGAAAATACGGCCAGAGGGAAAGGAACTTCCTAAGCTTGTTTTTCTGAGGCAGAAGATGCCCCTAGCCCACCCTTGTGGATCTCCCAGGGCTTACTGTTTGACAGAAGACCACATCGCGACGATACTGCAGACTCAGGTACGAGGCTATGGTGGGGGCACTGTCCTGCATAAGCAGGAAGACCATGGCCTTCTTGGCTTTGTCGCTCATCATGGCCACACAGTCTGTGAGGGTTGTCAGCAGTGGATAAAGGGCCTCACTCCATTCACCTGGGCATGAGCATAGATGTCACAATCAGAAAGAAAGCTTTCAGGAATTAGGTTCTGTTAAGTTAGCAAGTAACCTATCCCCTAACCACTGGCTCAATCTCTCCCCCACCTCCCCCATCCCTTCTATATCTTCTGACCCTGCTTGGCTCACCCTCTGGCCTAGAACTGGCACTAAGTTCTGCCTGGAGTCAATCCTTGGTCTAGCCCTCTAGCCCACAGTATTTCCAGTGGCATCAAATAGTTCTACTCAGGTGTCATCAACACACACATAATGTCCTGAAACTATTGGGGACCTCCACCTCAATACTCAAGCCTATACTATGTATACTGAGGAAAACAACAAAAAAAGCTTCTGTAAGTCATGAGGAGTCCAGAAAATGATTCCATCTTCAGAGGCCAATCTCCTATAGCACCACAGTTCTGCCCTGGACACCCAGATAGAGTATCTGTCATATCACTTCTCACGGCCTCTGTCATTCTGGAGGAAAGGACTAACTCTGCCACTGTTAGCCTTGTGAGAAACTGTTTGGTTCTTACCTTCCCCACAGTTCCTGCCCCTCCTTCTGCACTTGCTTTCTTCCCCAACTCCTTGCCTGGTACCAACTATTTTGAATTTAGTTTTATTTTAGAAATAGAAGGAAACTTTGATCCTGTACCAAAACAACTATTAAAAAATAAAACCTCAAGGGAGAAAACCAGGGTGAAAGGTATCTTTGGCTTTGGCCCTTTTCCCCTTCCTATTTGGAAGGCATTTAAAAGAGAAGACATGCCCTAATTAGTTATATTTTTAACAGATCATTAAGCCCAGAATAGGCATTTGTTCATTCCGACTTGGTGAACCTACCACTTCAAGCCTGGCTTGAGATAGTGGAGTGATGCCTGGCAGTGCTCGTCATCTCCGGTTGAAGTGTGAGCCACAGAGGGCCCCAGACCATGTCACCACACTGCTAAAGGGTAACCTCTATCTTTGATACAGACTCTAAAAGACAGTGAGAATGGAGACTTGACTCTGTTCTCTCAAACTGTCTGGTTTGAGAAATGCCTGCAATGAGCAAAGGAGCTTGCTTACATGCAGTGTTTGGTCAATGTGGATTAAATACCATGTAATAATTCAAAACGCCCAAAATGATCTAAATGGGTGTGGACGTACACAGCAGGTGGACAAGGATTTATATTTGTAATGTAAAAAGAGTAGGCTTAAATTTAGAAAGTCTACAGTAGAAAAGTCTTAGTAAGTCACAGTAACCAAAAACACTGGTCTGAGAAATGGAAAATGTGAGTCATGGACTCAGCAGCCACTTAGCAGTGGTGGGACAGGCAAGGCCCTGGGACCCCTCAGCCACATAGAACCTTTTCATGAAAATAAGAAAGCAGTCCTAGATGACAGCCAAGTTCCTCTCTTCCACTACAATTCTCAGGGATCTAGTTTTTGTTTCTTTGAATAATTTTCTGAACATGTGGCAGTTATATTCAGTGCCTACCAAAACTGGCCAATGGAAATTAGGTTTTACTAACCAAATAATTTGGGGAAGGGTAGGCAGTCACTAAAACTGCTCTTCACTAAGAAATAAATGTGCTTAAAGCAAACACTGCCAATTTTACTTTGCTTTTTCAGTCATCATATACATGCGATATGTAAATCACGATCATTTTAATCTGAATAAGTGGTCTTATTTGATAAAGCTAAACTCTCTCCATACAACTTATCCTTTTATTTTTTTGAGGTGGGGGGGGTCTCACTATGTAGCCCAGGCTGGCATCAGTTCCCAAGCATTGGGATTTCATGCATGTGCCACAACTCCTATCTCTTCCATACAATCTTTCCACTTTACCTATTTCTCTTTAAGCAAAGTTCATGTAAGAATGGCTCTGTTTTGCTACATCAGAAAAAAATGGAGAAAACTAGAGTATAGGAAGAATGGCTCAAAAGCACTGAGTTGTTTGTCCTGGAAAAGAGGTAACATGTATCTACACGGCAGGTGCGTGTGACTACCCAGAGAAAGATCCAACAAAGGCGACGACCTTATCAACATCTGTTAGTACTTGACTTTCTGGGGTTTTTGTTTGTTTTTTTAATGCACAGAGAGAATACAGGAGAGGAAACACGATGAGAGGTTAAATGTCCTCCCCAGACATAAAAAAAGAACTGGAATTTGTACATGTCTGACTGACTCTGCACACCATATTATTTTAGTGGTCAGCTTGCTTTTGCTGGGGAAAGAACAGGAGTTAGAAGGTAATAAATGTTTTCAGTATGAGCAGAAATTCACAATTTAAAAAAATCAAACAAAATGCAATTCAGGACATGATTTCCACCAAAGCCCTAGTCAAGTAAAGGTATCTGGGCTGTTGGAGTTGGTGAAGGTTTACAATATGCTTCCTTGAATGAGAAAATCTTGCTATGAAAAAAAAAAATCACCTCAACTAAGCAATGTCCCAAGTTATGAATCTGATCCACTTTGGGAAGCAAGCTCCTTACCTAGTCAAACCTGTAACATTCATGGACTGGCAGTGAATCAAGAGACCACATTACTTTAGATAACTGTAAAGCACCCTTTCAAATCCATATTCTGGTGTTGCATTTTTTTCTGATTAGTAGGGGAGGGAGTGAGGGAGATAGTGTGTGCGTGTATTTGTATGCTTATGTGTTTTAATCCAGATTAAATACAGCTCTGCAGGATATTTTAGTCCATTTAGCATCAACTGTGGAAAAGCTACTAGTGCTTCTGGAAATGACACAGCTGACAAAACAAGAATTGTTCTATAAGCTTGGCATGGTCTGTGTGCTGATGGAAACCCAGGGTGGAGAAGAACACCTGAGCTTCCAGAGGCAGGCTCATAGGTCTGGTCTTTACTGCTGGATGTGTGGTCCAGAACTTTTCCAGCTGAGACACAGTGAGTCAGCTCTGTCTGAAGGCACAGCCTAATGTGAAGGTAGGCTAAAGAGGACCAGAAGCCCAGATACAGAAATAATGGAACATAAGGCTCAGGAAAGGTGACAGGAATGTGTATGCATCTACCAAAGCTCAATAACCCCGAGGATTGAGAGGCTGAGGTCTGAACCTGACTCTTTGGGAAACAGAAAATGTAAAAGAGCTGAAAACAAATGTACCAATCAAATCAGCTTGCTGGCAAAGCTGACTTCAGATGGGGTTCTGGGGTTGCTGCCAAGGGTCATCAGAGTGAGATGATTCATAGTGCTGATTTGCTAACAACTGTTGGGAAAGGCTCATTGGTTTGCTATACTCTAGATACAAAGCAGGTGTCCTGTCACCTTATATTTATATCCAGTCAAAAGTATGCAATCATTGGACTGATCATGCAGCTGATTTTGGAGTTTGGGGGTGGGGGTGGGGCATGCACACTCTGGGAAAATCACAAGCCATGTCTAGGTAGGAAGCTCAATGTGAACCAGATCAGGGGTCAGCACACTTTGTCTGTAAACGGTGAAACTAAATATTTTAGACTCTGAAGTCAAAAAAGGGTTGTCTGCTGTACCAGTTCAACTCTGGCATTGCCATACCATATTTGGATGAGTGGGTATGGCTGGTTTCCAATAAAGCATTATTTATGAGAGCAGGCTGTGGCCAGGATTTAGCTCAGAGCTGTTGTTTGCCAACCCCTGAACTAGAACCATAAACATTGGGTTCAACATGCAAATGCAGCAAAAATATTCCATTTCTAGCACTAATTCCAACTGAGGCCTATAGCAATATCTGATAAGAATCCTAAAGTTGCATCCAGACTCCAAAGAGAGAATGCTGCATGTTTACGAATGTTACAACTTTCTGGTGGATACAAATTATCTGATGTGTCTTCAGAGGTATGGCCACAAATTCCAGCCAATGTACAGGAAGTATAATTTACAACTGTGTAATTCTCTAAAGCAAGTCACCCACTTTAGGAAGTTCAATGAACACATGAACATTAATCATCTGAAAAGGTTTTAGGACACAAAAGTGGGGGAAAAAATGCATGTGGTTGCCTGCTGCAGGTCACAATTCCCTCAGCCCCACTGGTTTCTCACCAATCTTCACAACAAAGGAAGTTGTAAAATATTTTTCCAACTATGGGAACATAAAGTAATCTTGTATAATTGTACTACAGACGCTACCTGAATATTAAAAAGACACCAGCAGGAGCCTTGAATGGAAACCACGTACCTGGGCTGGACTCTTCAGTAGGGGGGCTGCGATCTGCACAGAAATGGAGGGCAACAGGGATGATTAAGGAGCAGCACACAGTTCAAACATGAGCAACTCAGTCTGAGAGTCACTGCTTTGGCAGCTTGCACTAAAGCGGTTAAACCACACAGAGAAGAGGTCTCAGGGCCTGTCTGCCTCTTCCCCACAAGTTTCATGGAGGTACTCCAGCTGCACTGAACAGCTGAGTCCTTTTAGTGAACAATGCCAATTCACTAGTGTCAACATTCATGTTGCTAATATATCAACATACAATGCTCTACAGGATGAGTGAACCAACACAACACAATGTGATGCATGCCACATCAATGACATTGTGATGAAGCCACATGTTAGCTTACAAAATCAAATGAGAGAGACTGAGCAGCTAACTGAGCGCACTTTCCTGACTCACTGGGGAAGCCTGGGTTCAAGACTGACTGCTAAAATTCAAAATGTTAAGTCCAGTAATGAAACCAATATACCAAAATGAACTCTATGCCCATCTTTTAAGATTTAATCAAACTAAATGTAAAAGTTGTATGATTTGGGGAAGGTCTCCAATTAGGATATCCTCCCAGGTCTTTAAAAAATACCAATTTTGATTCCATTTCACTTTTGCTTAGTCATAACTGCAATGTACTCTAAAAACTCTAAAATTCATAGCTAACTAGATATGCTGAGAGAAAACAAGTTTGAAAAGGGACCACAAGAATAAAAATATACTTTTATTTTGTATCTAACTTTCAGTTCAAAAAATATTTCCAGGATATGGAAACAAAGCAGTTTCAGATTCCCAAGACCAACCAGAACCAAGTTTGAGGAAATTTTTACATCTGAACTATTAAGGTGGCTGGGGATCCTTCTTCTCTAATCTATTTTAGACATGGCTTCTTACACTGGTAAAGGAGATAAAGACTCCTGTGAGCTGAAGAGCTTGACCTCCTTTGTTAGAACCCAAATATACTCCAAGAGCATCTAGCTAGCAGAGAAAAGAACCCACAGTGGTGTGGAGTGATGTAGCCAATGACTCTGAAGCCTTTGCCTGGCTAATAGAATTACCCCAGGCCTTGAAAAACTACCAGATTTTTGCTGCCCAGTCACCCTCCTCCAGGACTTCAAGTCTGTGAATGAGGAAGAAGGTCTAGGAGCTGGTTTTATGAGTTTGTATGGGGCCATTCTTGTGAAAGCTTGATTAGGGATCAAACTGTTTGAGCTCATCTTTCAGTCAAAGGGGAGAAACAGGGAGTCTCCTCTGGTACTCTCAGACCAGTGGCCTCTAATTTGTCTTCTATTATGGAGTCCGTTGAGATCTGATGATCATTCTTAACTTTCTCTCCACGCACATGAAAATTTCAACACATGATCTTAGTGGTACACGAACCTGGGATGTACCCATAGATCTTCAGGTTAACAAAAACCTGGTCTGGGGTCTAAGTGACTCTTTGGATGTGAGGAGAGGAAGAGTGTGTGTGCAAAGAGGGTGATGGAAGCTACCAAATTCCAATGGGGCAATGGTGATACACTTTACCAGACTGAGGGTGGGGTACAGGAGAGGTGTAAGGCACTTACAGGGAAACAGAGGGGAAGGGGCCTTGTGGTTCAGTAGGCAAGGACTAGCCAGTGGGGACCCCTCCCTCACAGAGCCCTGCATGGCCCCTTCCCACCTTGCAGGGCTCTGCTCAATTGTGTAGTGAGTTGAGAGGCAGAGCAAATCCTTGATGAAAGGAGAAAACCAAGGACATGGAAAGAGAGAGTATCGGAATGAAAAATGATGATGTCTTTCAAAGGAGCAGAGTTGTTCTCACATAACAAATTTGTTGGTGTGAACATGAACCTGTTCATTTAATCAAAACAAGTACTCCCATAACTTGGAATGCTATGAAAATTCAGAACTGTGAACAAAAGATAGTTTAAAAATAAACAGTTCAGAGTCTGGTTCTTTCAGGTCCTCCTCATCACACTGGGGTCTGAACAGCTTCCTGACTCAAGATTTGAAAATCAAGGATAGTCCACAGTTACTTTAGTGGCACATGGTTTCTTTACACTTTTTTGGATACTGATCAGCAGAGTGAGGCTCTCTCAGATGCATGTTTTATGTTCATATTACAATAGAGCTGAGTTTGTTGGCACACAAAGTTATAATTACAAGTCAAACCCAAAATAACATAAATGCTCTTTTAAGTAACTTTAAAAATGTATCTAAATGTGGCTGTATTTAAATAATATAAAATGTGCCTAGAGGAAAAATAATATTTAAGTTATGGACCCAACACATCTGATTAAACAAACTAGCTACTACTAAACTTTTTTTAAAAATTCAATAAAGTACTCTTTTTTATCTGCAGAAAAATTTAAAGTTATAAACAAACATATTTTAAATTTTTCCTTGGGGATTGAGCCTGGGGGCTCACATATGCTAGGCAAGTGCTCACCTACTGAGCTACATCCCCTTCCTCTTCAAACAAGAAAATAGTAAGTAATGAACTTTCAGAAATTTTTAGGAAGAAACAATCTACATTAAAAAAGCAACAAAAAGAAAACAACACAACAGAGACAAAGTAACCTTATTAACCAATCACAGGTTTGGGGAAGTTAAAGCTATAATCCCCCATACATGGAAAAGTGGATGATGTGGATATTGTTAAGACTGAGGTGAAATACTGCCCTAGAAACAGACTGCAGGCAGATTAAAGAGGCGAAGGGCATCTCATATCCAGAAGAAGGATTTATCAAGAGCCTCTGAAGAAGGAGCATGTTTCTGCCTTGAATGGAAATTGTCCAATTGAGAATTTAAATGCCTTACTTATAACAAGCCTAACCCTGGCACATCCTGGCCATATTTACTATGACTTAAAGCTCCCTGATGAGTGCAAAGAAGAAGTAGAAGATGGGTCTGCAGACAGGTCTTAGCTGCCTAGCTCCAAATCCTTTCCACCTCTCAAAGAAAAAAAGTGAGATACCTAAGAGGCAGGTACCAAGAATCTGCTTGTTTAGAAAGCTGCAGTCCCCAGTTTTAAGGCTAGCTATAGGGCAGAGTATCTGGGTATGCCCTGTATCTCTGTAGACAAAAAGCTGTTTGAAGCATGTTGTTTCATGGCACTGTCCTACAATATACTCAAGGTCTCCCTTAAAAGGTGGTGCCTAACAGACAACCTTAACTCAGTTCCCAGAGGCCCATGAATGGGGATCAATTATTTGACTGAATTATAAGGTGCTAGGCAACACTTCTCTGGTGGATCAGAGCATGCCCAGTCAATGATAAGCAACCTGAAGCCAAATATGGAAGACTCACTAACACCCTCATCTAGCAGTGTCCCTGCAAGACTCATCTTTCCCTCCATTCTACCAGTTCCTAATGCAACAAACATCAGAGCAGAGAGGCATCTGCATCGCCTCCTTCATGTTCTCAGGTTAGTTTATAAACCTGAAACAATCAGGAATCCCACCCTTATGGCTGTGGCAGTGTGACCCAGGAAGGCACTGAGATTTTGCTTCTGAAGGAGATGCAGATTTCTACGTGAGCTCCAGTTGCATGTTAAGACAACTGGAGCCTCTGCCTTGCCTGCCCACTGCTCCATGCACTCGATGTCCCCGCTCCATCTGAACTGACAGCCCTCCCTGCAGTCTGCCTGGGGGAGGAAAGCATGGAGTCAGAGACACAGACAAACAGAAGTAATGCAGTGTGAGGTGAAGGCAGCGTGGGAAGCGTAGATGCATACGCACGTGAGCTCAGGTGAGGATGGCATGCAGCAGTGGGCATGGAGGAGGGGCATGGCGAGGAGGGGGCGTCGCAGAAGGGGTCCTCCGGTCTGATCCAGTAGGCGTGGCTGTCCCGGTTACCTTTCTTGCTTGTGCAGCTGCTTGTGCAGGGGAAGACATCCTCACAGCCCTCGCCATGCAGGCGCTCCTTCTGCAGTAGCTTATCCACTCGCTGGATGATGCATTCCAGGCTCTTGTCTACATTCAGCCATACTTTCTCCTTCCGAACAAAGAGGGCCCATTGGGTCAGCTCTCCCAATGGAAAAACCAAACAGAACACAAAGCAACACCGATTCCCCACCACAGGCCACCATACTTATTGAATTTTGAACTCAGGGCCTCACACTTGCTAAGCAGGCACTCTATCACTTGAGCTACTCCACCAGCCCAACCATACTCATTGAAATAATCACAGAATCAAGAAATATCAAGATGATTTCTAATTCCCCACTGAAGTTGTATTTGCTTTTCGAAACAAACATATTCTGTGGCCACTGTTTTGAGAGATGTTTGCTGGTAACTATACAGAAGACATACAGCTTTCCAGTGTACCAGAAGGGTTGCAGGCCACTACAAGCCAATCTCTTCCCTTCTCCCTCTACTGCAGGCCTCCTACAACTGCCACACACACCCAGAAAACTGAGGTCTCTTTCTGATGGAAGTAAATGGAAACAGTTGGACACTGAAGATGGGGGAGTTGGTGTACAAACAGTTGGACACTGGAGATGAGGAAGTTGGGAAGGAAGAAGGAAGGCTAAGAGCAATCTGCAGAAAGCCACACAGACCACAGAATGCCAGAGCTAGCGGACCACTTTGCTGCTAATTAATAATTCAATGCTTCACAGAATGCCTCTTAAACAGTAGTCTCAACAAATGACAAGCTATTTGACATGTCACTCAAGAGACACAGATCCTGCTCTCAGGGCCAACTCTGTGAGGAACAGTAATGACACAACTTCAGAGGCAGCAGCTCTTTCACCTAAGCTCCCACATTTCCAAATACAAACAGCCCTGGAAGGGCAAAGGGCCAGCAAAGGCACCGAGGAAGCAGAGAGGTGTGACTGGCCTCAAGCTACCATAGAGGGCACAATTGGCAAGAAGAACAGAAGCAACTTTCAACAGGGTAGGGGTTTGGGAGAAAAATCAACAACTAGGGCTGAACTGGGTTCAGCTCCCAACACAGTCCTGCTCCCATATGCACACAATCGGTCAAAATCAGTCTTCTTAGTGGCCCAAGAGTCATCTGAGGAGGGGACTGGGAATTTGATCACAAATGAGCCAAAACTTCAGGCATCTTGGAGAGAAAGAGATTGGCAACAGGCTCTGTTAGTTGTCAACCCGAAGTCAGCAGCAGGATAAAAGGCAGCAAACTCACCCACTCCTCCTCATGCCAATCCACCTGCAGGGAAGACCGGCTGTTCCTCCCCGTCCACCTGGCCATGAGGGTGTCCTGATCATTCCGAAGCATCACCTGTTCCTCCTCAGTTGAGGTGGGGGAGGCCTTGGAAGCAATGTAGTCAGGTCGTGCAGCATTCAGCCCATGGATGGAATTGGCCAGCAGCTTGCAGTCACAGACTGTGACCAGCTGCCGGGTCTGCAGATGCACACAAACAAGGACTTCTGACCATTCAGCAAGGGCTACAAAGACCCAGGATTCCTCATTGCTTCCCTGCTCCATGGTGACAAGCAACTACAGAGTTGCATCCCTTAGGATGTCTGAGTGCAAAGGTTGCATGTGACCTGCTAGGGCTGAATGTCAGCAAGAATTTCTCACCAAGACTGACGAACACAAGGAAGATGAAGGAAGACTGAGAAATCTCTCAACAGTCTTTGGCCCCTGCCTGCTTTTGACACTGCTTTCTAGGACAAAGGCCTGAAGAGGGCCCATGTTTCAGCCTCAGCCAACTTCATGGGATATGCCCTAGCTTCTAGGGAACAAGTCCCCAGGAGAGAGTCATTACTTTGGTTCAATCACTAGAGTCTATATTCTTTTTTGTCTGTAAGCCTCTAAACCCCAAAGTCCTGGGCTTCGGGAAGCTAGACTCTAGCACTCCTGGTTTTGGAGAATTCTGTATGCAAAAGGAGTTCTTTGGTTCATAATACTATTACTTTCTTTTTCAGGGGATCTAATCTTTCAGTTTTTGCTGTGTGAATTCATGTAAAGGATTAAACACATTATGATAAGGAACAGTAGCTTGCTCCCAGTGAAGCAGGTATGGGCAAGGAGGTGTAATCTGTAATCTGTGTGTGTGTGTCGGCATGTGTCTGTGTATGTGTTGAAAAAGAGACTGAGTAATGTGAAAAAAAATCAACCATCAAAACAGTCTGACATATGGACCAATATTTAAATATTTTCTAATCAGGATCAAGTTATGGTGAAATAGAAATGGTTTACTGATTATATGTAAGTCAATAAGATTATATTATCCTTTTCTTACGTCTGTATAAATAGGACAGTTTATTTTTTTAAATTCAAGTAAAATAGAAATGGGGGAGGGGATGCTAATTAGGCTGTCACTAAGAAAGCTGTGGATATATCAACCCCAACAAAATGAGCCCACAGACTTGCTGGCAGACATATTTGCATAAAGGAACACCTGAAAGTCACTAATCCTGGGCTCTGCCCTTGTTGTATCCAGTTGTGAGCATGGGTAAATCAACAAACCTCCTTGGGCTTTTGTGGGAACTGAGCCTAAAGACAAACCATCAAGGTCATCACAATGTTAGCCTCTTTGGGACAGCTCTAGGCAAACCTGGGGTGTCCAGTGGCTTCTAGAAACCCAGGGAATGCCCCACCCCATGTGCTGCAGGGCAGCCCCTCCTACCTTGTCTGCCAAGATGGCAAGTGTCCTCTCAAGGCCGGTGGCAGACCTGTCCTTGGCAGCCCTTGAGAGTCGCTCTGCATAATAACTAACTTGGGTTTTCAGAGTGTTGATCTGGGCAATTATCTCCTTGGCTCTGATGATGTCCTGTGGTATGTAGATTATGGACTGGCAGCTAGATGATGTACTAAAAAGGATAAGAACAGATTAAAGGGGTTCCCTAGAATTTGATGAGGATAGCAACAGCATCCCAACCCAGCCCCATAACTAATCCTAAAATAAAGGATTCTGGTACTCAGGGATGTTTTCCTAGGCTAGTTTAGTTGTTGATGGGGAAGAGTAAATCTTGGCAAATCATTTTCTTTTTTTGGAACATGGTCTCATAGCCCTGGCTGGCTATGAACTCACAATCCTCCTGCCTCTGCCACCTGAGTGCTGGAATTATAGGCGTGCACTACCACACCTGGTTTGGTAGATTCTTTTTATTTATATAGTAGAAGCATAAAACATTAAAATAGAACCTAAGTTTTTTATTTGCATTTTTATGTTGTCCATATTTTTATACATATAAGTACATGCTTGTATAAACATTGGAATGTCACACCTAGTGTGCTTACTTTCTTTACCTAAGAACTTTATCCATCAATTTATAAGCAGTTCTTAAGTGGAGATTATCACACTGTGGTGTGTTGGGCTTTGCCCCCACCCAAACAAAAAAAAAAACCCTAAAAAAAAAAAAAAACAAAAATAGCCCAAAATCTGTTTTTCAATTGGCAAATAAAAAAGTTCAAACTTTCTGTGAGTAGACTCACAGTGTTCCTCTTTTACATGTTTGACCCTAGTGAGTCCCCAGAAAACTGAGCTTCTTTTCCCTTTCCCTTGCTCCAGGTCTTCCTTCCTTTAAAAATAATGTGCCTTCTGAGGAAGAGGTAATGGAGAATGTGCCAACCAGAGGCCAGACCATGAGACCTCAATGCCTTTGAAACTGATTCCTCCTACTCTCCCTTACCCCTGGACCAAAGAGTATATCTAGGGATCTGAAGTCAAAGTGACAGTCCAGCCACTGACTGGCACAATCAAGAGCCTCTGGACTCCAATTCCACACTCCCTGGATGCATGGGGCCAGGCCAGCAAGTGTAGTCCTCCAAGTCACATGTCACTCATCAGATCACAATCAATCTAGCATTATATAAATTTGTTTCTCAAATCTAAGGAGGCCAATGAAGGCAAGAAGGAGAAATATAAACCAATAACACAGAAGTCTCCTAAAATTTGAGGTTGTGAGCTCTGGGTGGATTCTCTTCCCTTCTGGAAAGAGAGACCCTGACTTATCCTTCAAGGACTGCCCTTGAGTTCTGAGGATGAGGGAGGTAGAGGGCAGCCCTCACCACACCCTACTTCACTTGCTGGAGATGTGGATCACTTGGGACTTATCCAGGGAAGCCCAGAAGGTAGTCATGGAGAAACTGCCACTGTCCCTTCACTTGCTGAAACAAACATGCAAACACCATAAACCAAAGCACCCCAGAAAGAAACACCACCACCACAAGCCCACACACCACAACAACAAACAATGGATTTGCCAGAAGCCCATGCAGCAGACAATGACTGAGCCTGTGCGGTACAAGAGTCATTCCACAAGCACCTTGTGCACACAGCTACTTTCCAATCTGCAATCACTCTTCTGAATGAATAGCTGCCACGTATGACAATTTAGTCTTGAAAACATGTCTCAAAATAGAATTTTTAAAAATCTATTCTTCCCAGGCCCTCAATATCCAGGGTCTACAAGGGATGTGTGCTGTATGTAGATCTATATATGTATGTGATTATACACTTGGATAGAACAACTCACCCCTTCCCCATGTGTTCTTGTAAGTCATGTCCTAACAACGGCACCCTGAACTGATGCATGGGAAGCATGTGGTGAGAGTTAGAAAGGGCAAATCTCAAATAGCTGCTGTACAGGGATATCAGGAAACACAAGCCCAAGTACTTAGTTTTAAGAACAGGTGGCCAGATGAAGGAAGTGGGATGGGGCTACTTTGCAACACATATCTTCCTGGGAAGCCATAACTCCGGGGAAGGGGTATCTCAATACCATTACCTACCTGGGCAACTAGCCTTCTTGGGGTAGCTCTAGGAGGCAATGGCCTAGGTGTGGTCCTTGGGCTTAGCTCTGACTCATACCTATCCAGAATGGGGTCAGAGGCTAAACCTTAGATGCCATGTAGCATAGAGGTCTAAAGTGCTCTGGTGTGAGCTGATAATGGCTGGTAGTGGATGAGGAACAAACACTATGGATGTGAAGAACAAGACTGCCTCTACAGAGCTTGTACTTGTGGATCTGGTTCCCACATAGGGACCCAGGAGGCTGGTGCACTCTGCCTTGGATTTAGTCTTCCAGGTGGGAAAGCCCCCAACCTGTCTTAAAAATGTCTTGTATATGGGAAAAAGAAAGATGGATGGGTGGGGGTAACCAGGCTATGGAAGGTCTAGTCTCCTCAGTTAACAGGGAATGTGAAGAGCTTTCCAAATAAGGTTCACTTAAAACACCTGGGGGTTGGGACTTACCAAGGGGCAACCGAGCCTTCAACTCTCTGTCCCACTTTCTGTTACCCTGTCCCTCAACTCCAACCCCTAGGAACTTGACTCATCTTGCTGTGGGAAAGGGTGGGCCTTCCATGAGGCCTAGGTAGAGAAAAGGAGGGAGGAAGCCCTCCTGTGTAGTAGCTGTGGGTCTCCATATGAAGGCAGGAGCAGCAGCATCCCTCCTCAAATGCCCTTCCTCAGTGCCCCAGGAAGAGTCCCCTCAGGCAAAAGCTTAAGAGGCCTTATCCTGGGTATGTTGGGATCCTCAGAACTTCCCACCATCAGATACACCCAGCAGAGCCCTGGTACTTCAGGTTGTGCCCAGCCATAGCCCCAGAGCCTCAGGGGTCACCAGCTCGAAGGTGGCACCATTTCCTAACAAGCCACAGAGACTTCCAAATGAAGTGCACCATAGAGCCCCTGTTCTGGGCCTGGAGTTAGGGAGGGAAACCCTAGCGACAGACATGGCATCTGGCTAGAGGAAAGAGTCACTCAGCTCTTGGTCTGCCCCCCATACAATATTTTAAAAATCCATACCAAGTAGTAATTATCATGAAAATGTAAGCTGGCTTCATCAGTACAGAGGTGAGGATGAAAGGAAAATTGGGAAGCCTCAAGATTCTTGTGAAACAAAACAGAAAGGAGCTCCCAACTACACCAAAAAGGCTGATGTGACATCCTGGTAATCAGGGCTCTCACCATCCTGGTAGAAACAAAACTGGGCCCTGTCCCAGAGGGGATACAGCAATAAACTGCAGCCAGGTTTGAAAGACAAACAATAGAATGCAGATTGGCTATTCATTATTAAAGAACATTGCAGTTGGAAGAGAGTGCTCCATAACGTGACTTGGAGCACCAGGGAGTGAAGCACCACCTGGGGGGTGGGGGACAGCACAGGCTTTCTCTGCATGAGAGTGAGACCCAACAGACAGAAAACTCACCAACACTCCTCAAAACTGCTAAAGAAAAGAATCAAAATGAAATATTAGCAGTTTGTTAGCAAATACTAAACGCAAAACAAAAAATTAAAAAGCCAAGTTAATTTTTGTCAAAATAATTAAAATTACTTGTTGAGGCCATAACTACAGGGACAGCTAAACTGCTGAGCCCAACATGTTTATTCACTAGCGCAGCTCCACAGCTGGTGCCCCAGGAGACATCACACTGGGGACCAGGAACATTTGCACTTAAAGGAAAGCTCAAATGATGAGAACCTTGTCTGCAAGGGATTTTATGACATTAATAGGAAATAAAATAAAAATCTGTATTATGTATTTGAAAAACACTGTGGCAGCAGCATTTCGTATTAGTTCTGAAGCTAGGATGCAGAATAACTGAGTGTCAACACTCTTGCCTCCCTGGGACAGGGACAGTCAGGAGCCCCCTCTTGGTTGACCATAGAGAATGAATGGGCGTTCTCCTTCAGAGCCCCCATGCCATCTCAGATCACAGACTCACTTTCTCACACAGCAATAAGCAAAGATGTGACAGATGCATTCTGGCCTACTATGCGGAGCTACGGTGGGCATGGGAAGCTTGTCTTCTTCCTATTCCCTAAAGGAATACTGGGGCCAATGAATGCTGAGGCAAGTCTGGTCACCTAGTTTGTCAGTATGGTGGGGATGAATCAAGGACAAGCAGGCTATCTGGGGACCTCCCAGAGAATTCTGAAATTCTCTTCCAGACCCCACCCCTTCCTCAATTCTCATCCTTTCATCTCCAGGGCTCACTTGGCTCCAGGCTGGCCTGGGGCCACCTGGAAACATATCTGAAGGGTGACTTCTCTTCTGCTATCTGCTCAGCCATCCAGCCTCACCACAGCTCTAACCACTCCTCTTTTTCTTTTTCCAGTCCATGGTCAATTTTCTTAAGCAACGTCCTGACTCTTGGCCATGGATGCAGAATTAAGCAATGACTGAGTGGTTCCCTACATGTACTACAGCTCTCCCCGACCTCTTCCACCTGACCACCTTGTGGGATTCTCTGGTGCTCCCTGGGCCTTTGCTTCACCTTCCCTCAAACCTGTTGAAAAGTCAGAACCTTTCAAGACCACATTCTGCATAGCATTTCCATTGATACTTCACCTTGTTTCCTCCTACCTCAAAAAACTCTCTGCAACTCGACCTGCTCTTTTTCTCCCTTCTGTAATGAACTCTCTGTTTTTCTCATTTACCTTGCCCAGAACCCCATCCCACCAAGTATTCTCTTTTACCTTACCTTATTCATGTGCATCTTCCCTAAAGGTCTAAACATATGCTCAAGTCATAATTATCCTCCGCAACTTGAGACCTTCATGCTGCTTTCTCCAAGGACCTCACAGGATCATCTACATTCATCACCTCCACTTCTTAGACTTGTACCCCTTGATCCATTTACATTTTGCCTAGTGACATTCTAGAAGATCACCCAACTGTCTTCTGCATATCTAATACAAAAGCAGGCATTTTCAGCTCTCCCTGACCCAGACTGGTCAATACCCTGTTCTGTGTTCCCAGGACCCCCTGTGGCTTGGTCTAGGCGCTGCTCACCCTAATGGCACTTGCTGACCTGTCTTTTCTTGGGCAAGGCCACCAGCTCCATGGGACCAGGCCAAGATATGTTGGCCATGCATCCCTGATTACCAGCATCCAGACCAGCACATGGCAGGCTGGCAGTGAGATCAACTCTCTTCTTGAGCTCTTCATTATATGCACTGCATCTGCCATATCCTCATCTGAGACACCTTTCACCACCCTGCCTACCTGGCAATTTCTTGTTCAGGTCAGAAACTCTGTGCAACCCCCTGCATCTTTTCAACACTGGAAATGCTTACCACGGGTTTCCTTTGGGAAAAGACACAATGTGCTCTAGGCTTTATGATCCACCGAATGACCAGGGACTCTAAAGGATGCTGAGCCAACAAAGAGCCTACACAGGGCTTCTACCTGAAGCACCACTTAAAAGTGGATGTCAGTGTGCTGCTTATTGTGAAGGAAAGGAAGCACTAGTAAGGAACCTGATCACCCACCCAGCTCAGTCACACACACACACACACATAAGCACAGGCCCATAGGCAGCTGTTCCTGCCACGGAAAAGCAGATTGAATGGCTCAATGTTTTGCGATATTTTCTTTTTTTAAAACTGGGAAGCATCAGAGGACAGGAACCTCCTTCTTCTACTTACTGTTTCTTGGTCTCTTCGAATTTGTGCAGCTTTTTGCGGAGACCTCCTGACTTGAAACCTTGGCAGTGTGCTGCTGGTGCTCCGATAGTGACGACGTCATAGTTCTGATCTGAGTGACAGAAAGCTCTCCTCCGTTACTCTGGATTCAATCCAGCAGACAAGCCAGCTACAGGGATATGCACAGCGCTCTGGGATCCTGCCTTCCAGCCCACATACTAAGCAGTTATGGGTCCCCTGATCTTATACCCTGGGTCATCTGAGGGGCTGCTGAAGGTCAGCACCATCATCTCAGAAAAGACGGTGTCTCTGTCTCAAGGTAGAGCCATGCCAGGCTGCAGGAAACTACTTGAAATGCTAATTTCCATCCCTTCTGGGAAAGGATGACTGATGAGCAACTTTTTTGCCATGGAGACACAAAATGTAGTTGGAGAGAGGAGAGACATGAGGAAGGAATATGGGCTTTTTAAACTGAGAACTTTCAATGGTCCTTGGGATGCGTTTTTTCTCCGAGCCACCCAACAGAAGAGTATATTGGGAAACTGAGGCAGGTGTGGGGCAGCTCAGGGACCAAATATGCAGACAGAAAGAAATGCAATATGATTCAACTACAGGGACAGAAAAATAGGTACCTGATCCTCCATCATCTTGAACTCTCATCCTTTGTATGTGCAGGTTTGTGGGAACAAATTCTAACTTTTTATCTGCTTTCAAACTGCTTGCTTTAAAGGAGGGACCTAAGAAGTGGAATACAAAAAAAAAAAAAAAAAAACAAAGGTCAACAACATGTATCATGAACGCAAGCAGTAAAATGGTTCTCTGGTGCTGCTGTTGTATATAAGTAGAATGTCTTGACAGGGCCCTAGAAAAGTCTGAATTGCCCGTGAACACATTTCATTGGAGGACAGCCCTGAGTGGTGAACAGAGCCAAAGAGAACCAGATTCAGAAGTCTATAGTAGTAAGGAGGTTGTCATGCCTCCTCCTATGACTCAGCTCACAACTCAGAGACCTGACACACAGATGTGATCTTGGGCATCACCATACCAGTACCACTATAAAAAGAAAACAGGTCCATACCAGTCACTGCCTATCCCAATTCTTGGGTGATCTTGCCATCACCCAACATTTTAGAAACTGGTTTACATACAGCAATATATCTCAATTTTGTAAAGCAATGAAAAGGTTTGCTCATTACTCCAAGAAGAATAAATGTAACACAGCACTGATTTTAGCCCAGAACACAGACTTCAACAAATTCCCTTGTGTGTATGTTGGGTTGGTTAGGGAGGCTGGATGATGCTTTGTAACCAGTATCTACAATCTTATTTCTATAATCAGAATCAAGAATCCATAACTAATGAAAAAACAACATGCCTACTAAAGGAATTACAAATTTAAATGACAGAAGAGTAGAAAAAATAAATGTTCCATTTACTGAAAAAAAAAAAGTTTATATTGCCAGTATGCAGATTGAAGACCAGCAGCAAGAAGACTTTGCATCTTGCCACAGGATTTTACTCCCTAGAACTGGATACTTATGCTGTGGCCCTTATGACAGTAGTGTGGATACCCTGGATGCTATGAGAAATGCAGACTCCCAGACCTGCTTTTTAACAAGGTTCTCAGAGGATTTGGATGCCACCAGCATTTGAGAAGCTCCAGTCCAGAAAACTCAAGGTTGTGTGGGCTTTACACTTTCCCTGGGAGTATTCATCCAGCATGAGTAGATGCCTCATTCCCTTAGGTAAACGCTGCCATTTCTCTTAACCATGCACTCAGACTCACCCTTCAGGCTCAAACCAACCCATGACACCACCATCTTGTCAGACCTATATTTGGCTTATCAGCCAAGTTTATAGGCAGTTTCATATGTTCTGCATCAAAACCACAGTAAGGACTTACAATTTTCTTTAAACCCTGAAATAAATAATATTTCAGGTAGTAATAGAGAAGAATGTGAAGATGGAGAATAATTTGAAATACTAAAATCATAAATAAAATATGAACAAACAAAATTCATTCCATTTGGAATAAAAGGGAAATGTGTTAGGAACAGTCTTCTAAATCTACCCTAAAAGTATTTTGAAAATCGAATGGCATCTTTCAAAAATAAAGGGTGTAGGGCTGCAGTTCAGCATGTGCAAGGCAAGGCCCTGGGTTTGATAACCAACAAAAGGCAGGAAGAAATGAGGGAGGGAGGCAAACTCAGGTGTTTGCACTTTATTTTCTCTTTTGAGCCTTCAAGTAAGAGTTTTACCTTGACAATTTATATGTTCAACAAAAGTAACATTGAATATTTAAACCAGAAAAGTCTAGAAAATGGTTTTGTCTTAGGGAAAACTGCCTATATTCTTTTGACCACTACAATAGTATTAGACTAACATGAAGAAATTATTTGAACCTGTGATTTTGTCTCCCTTAAATTTCATCCTACAGTGGTTGTTTTGTTAGGTAACACCATAGAAAGACTTTCCCCTGCAATTCACTGATTTGTCTTTTTAATTGAAAAATCTATATTTGAAGTATTCACACCTACATAAGAATCTATTTTTAAAAAGGCGAAAGATTTATACGGTCTGAAGAGAAACCAGAGTATAAGAATCTATTTTTAAAACTCTACTCAAGGGTGTCAGTGAAAGCATGAGAGTGACCCTAGGTGCCAGCTCTCTGGCCATTAAAGTATGGCATGCAAGTGTTTTGAGGGATGGACTGTACCCACCTTTGTACTGATGGAGGTCAGTCAGGTTCTCCTGGTATGTGAGGATGATGGTTTGGTACTGGGTTACAATTTGGCGCCGGAGGCTCTCCCAGCAAGGGGACAGCTCCCCCAATTCCTCCAGCTCACAGACTCTGCAAGCAATACAGACTCATTAGGCTGTGGGGGTGGCTCACCTTCCCAGAGAGGCCCAGGAGTCCACTGACTCTGGTCAGGAAGGATCACTAGTAACCAGGGCAGGCCAGATCAGTAGTTATACTGCCAGCCTAAAGGATAATCAGGGGACAGGAGGAAAGGCAAACCACTGATCATATGGGAAAGTGTACGGAGAAGGCGTCTGGGTTGTTGTTTTTTTTTTTTTTTTGTAGTGCTGGGATTTGAACTCAGGGCCTCACACTTGCTAGGGAAGTGCTCTACAACTTGAGCTACACATCTCCAGCCCTTTTTGATTTAGGTATTTTCTGAATAGCATTCACATTTATGCCAGGGCCAGCACAGACCATGATCCTCCTATTTAAGTTTCCCGTATACTTGGGAGGAATGTAAGGCACACACCACCACATCCAGCTTTTATTGGATGAGATGGGGCCATGCTAACTTTTTTGCCTGGGCTGGCCTTGAACTGCAGTTGTCCCAATTGCCCAGGCATGAAGAAGCTTTTTACAGGAAGTCAGCTGAATGTTCAAGAGAAACAGTGGAGGTGGAGAGAGGAGAGAGGCTGTCAGGGAGTAGCTCTGGCACAGTGCCCTGGTAACTTACAGGTACCTCTCAAGCACTGGCATAGTCTGCCCAAGGCAGAGCAGGATTACATGTGGCCCTCCAGAACAGAGGGACTATAAATTTGTGCCTAACATGAGGGGCATCTTTCACTTGGTGCCCCATCTTCTCTCTGGGGCTGTCAGGACAGTGTCACATTGTCTCCCATGCTTTCTGCCCCATCCCACCCAAGAACAGGTGCAGAATAAAAACCTGTTGGGCCGCAGCCAAGAGCTGACTCCTTAACAATGGCACTCCCACAGCTTGTGGTACAGTCACTGTCCCCTTTTGAGTGTGGGTCAAGGACCATGAGGAGTTGGCACCCTTGGTTATTCTTCCTTTCTCTGCCCAGGTAAGCAGAATATAAAAGTGGCCCATTGTGTCATTACTGGTCAAGTCAGACAGGACTGGTCTTGGCCTTGTCTTCTATGTGTACTTAACAGAGGCATTGGGGGAGGGGGTTAGGGAGAAAAGGAGTTATCTTCAGAAAAATGCAAGTTGTGTAAGTGTATAAGAGCTGAAATATGAACTCCTCAGCTCAGCAGTAATAGCTATATAATCATAATAACAAAAATGCAAGAAAAGATTTTTAAAAAGGACAACTATATTAGGAAAATGGCAAAATGAGGGCTAAACTCCTCATCACAGGAAATCAAGATAATCCTTGATTTCAAGATAATCCTTGAAAATGATTAGTAAAGAAAGGACTCTCAAGACACACTCAGAAATACAGCAGTAAACATTACAGCTACTTGACATGATTGTTTTTATGAAACACATCAGAAAGTACAGGGTTCCATGCCTGCCTGAGAGGAAAAACTATATGATACTTATAAAAGTGTTTAGGAATTTTATTAAATTGTTTAATGCTTAAAAAAAACATTTTGCTCATTTTATTATTATCTAAAGAGCAAAACTAATGCAAAAAAACAAAACAAAACCACCCAGTGAAGACAGGGCTTCAGTGCAACCAAAGTCACTGTCCTGAGCAAAGCAGGCAGGGCTGCTCTGGCCACTCTCTTGGGATATCTTTGGTGTTGTGTTGCATGTGAACTGTTCTCCATGTCATGGGGGTAAGCTAATATTGCCTTGTCCCAAAGGTCTGCCCTGACCACCCACTTTCCACAGATCTCTTTCAGTGTCAGACACAATGACTCATCTGGCACTCCTAGGAATGATTCCCTGTTCTCCCACTCTGACCATCCCTGGTACCCATACCAAGCACAAGTGCCTGAAACACAGCTGCTGCTAACAACAACAGCAACAGCAACAAACAATACAGCAACTTGAATGAGTTCTTTCAAGTAGTATTAAAAATTAAAACGTGAGCCAGGCACAGTGGCTCAAGCCTATAATCCTAACTACTTAGAAGGCTGAGATCGGAAAGATTAGCAGGTCAAGGCCAGCCTGGGCAAAAAAAGTTTATGAGAATCCCCCATCTTAACTAATAGTGGGGTAGCATGTGCCTGTCATCCCAGCTACAAAGGGAAGGGTAAAATAGTAGGACTGTGGTTCAGGCTGGTCCCGGACAAAAAGCAAGACCCTATCTCAAGGTAATCTGAGCAAAACAGGCTGAAAGAGTGGCTCAAGCAGTAGAGCACCTGTTTAGCAAGTGTGAAGTCCTAAGTTCAAACCCCAGTCAGTACTACAAAAAAAAATTTTTTTAATCATAAAAACTGAAGATGCATGGAAAAATAGATTGCAGCTATGTAAATATGTCAAAATATGGACAAAACTGAAAGGAAAAATTTAAAAATTGAAATTACAATAATGCGTAGATAATGAAAACAGCAAAATATTAATGATTAACTTAGGTAAAAGATATCTGATACTCATTATTCTTGCTATGTTTAAATTAAAATAGTTGTTTATAACAGTAGGATTCTGGTTGCCATGTTTTCTTTCATACTTCTGTTATATGATATTAATAATTAAGATTGTTTTAGGGCAAGGAATGGAAATGACAGTCTGGGACAGGCAAGAGACAAAATATGATAAAATGTGCCTCAGGATAAGCAGTATATAGGGGCTGCCTTGCTCCATGGGACCAGAGTGCCCTAAAGGGTTCTATTCCAGTCTTCTGGAGCCCTTACTCCATGGCCCTAACCTAAGGAACCTCTGAGCAGCTGTGATCAAAGAATGGTCAGCTATTTTGATGTTTCTGAAGAACCAGTGAGAAAAGAAAGAAAAGGGACAGGAAAAGGAAGGTGTGTTGAGTGTTGGGCACACAGAGGGGGCTTCAAACACACTGCCTTGTGAAGCACCTTGTGAAGTGCTTGCCCAGGAGTCTGTGATACAGATGAGCAAACTGAGGTCACAGGCAAGTAGCAAAGGCTGGGTTTGCAGTTCAGGATGTCTTAGCCCACCACATCTCAGAAAGGAAGGAGCCTCACCTGGCTGCATCTTCTTCCAACAGGAGCTTCACAAACTGCCGGGGCACATGCAGGGAGAGCACACTCTCTGCCATCTGCTCCAGGATGCGCAGGTGATTGCCATCAGTGGTTGGGAACCGGTACATGCGGCAAATGGCACCTCCGAACACTTAAGGTAGGAAGGCAAGGGAGACAGGCTATGGGTGAGCTGGCCAAAGCCCTGCCCCATAGGTCCTCCTACCCAGGCCCTCAGTGATGATGGCACCCTCAATTTCTCTCTCTGTGCTTCTCGGGGGAGTTAAAATACTTAACCCAAACCCAACCAAGTGACTATGCCTGACGCTCCTCCCTCAGGACACGCAGTCTCCTTGTCCCAGAAGATGTAACTAACTCTAAAGTGCAAGGAGCCGGGGTGGGAAGGTTGTCAGTCACAGCACCCAATGTGAAACAGGAAAGAGTGAAATGAAGGAGCCCCTTCCTCAGGGTATCACTAACTCCATGTGCTGCAGAAAGAACGGCACATTGATGAGCAGCAGACAGGTGACAATTGGGGGATGGCTGTGACAATCACAGCAAATGGGGAGCAGAGGGTGACTATGGGCCCAGTGGACACTCAGAAGAGTGGCAAAAGTACCAACGGAGGATGCTGTTTACCCGATTTCAGTAAAGTGTCTTTTCTCAATGAAGCATATTTGGATCGGATTCCCAATGCCTCGGTCAAGCTCTCATCAACGGGCAGAACCATCTGATAACGTGTATAGAAAAGCACAAGAAAACTGAGACTCAGCAGACTCCAGAGCACCCCCAGAGAAACGGGGACCACACGCATCACACAAGAACTCTTAACCAAATACGCACCATTAACAATGAATATACTGCCCAAATCACACATTAATTCCCTTTGCAGTGTACTGAGTGTTTCCTTGCATGCCCAGTTCTCACGTGAATGTCTTCTAAGTCATTTTACCTTGTGTTTCAGTGTTCCCAAGTACAAAATGAATGGGAGAAGAGATGATGCCAAGAATATTCTCAAGGCTAGTGTTCTGAGCTTGTTTTGGGTAAAATGAGATAACTTGGTATTTTACAACAATGATACTTAACAGTGTGGTGTTCTTAAATTAGAATTCTCATTTGAGGGCACAGGGTATCTGGGTCAGAGACTGTGCATGAGAGACTGTGTGGGAGGGTGCATGCTGAAGATGGGAGGAGGGGGAGAAAGAAAGGGTGTTGAGAAGATGGAGGTAAGCAAGGTGACTGGGGACACATGTGTGTCTTGAGATAGAATAGAATGAAGACCTGGGTCTCAATCGCTTCTTCACTCACATGCCATTCCCCCACCCTCCTGCCATGTTCCTGCCCTGTAGTTCCTGTCCATTAGGGGAGGCCATTGTGGCATGGGGAGCAAGGGTGTGCTCTAGGGACACACAGAATCTCAGGTCAGGCCAGGAGCCTTTTTTTCCCACTTGGACTCATGCCTAGAGAGAACCAGCAAAGTGTCCCATGGGAGAGCATCAATTAGCAGACACCCTGCCCTTTGCTGAGTCCAGAAGCTTAATCCATTGGAACAGGTAATTTTAGGCCTTCTGAAGGAGGGGAGGAAGGTAATCTACTTACCTTCCCATTGACAGTGTCCACAGACCGAGTCACAGGGGGCTGCTGGTCTGATTTCTCCTCCATCTGCCAGCCAATCACAGTGATATTACCTACACGGTCGCTCTCTGCAGACCTGCAACAAGCAACATGCTTTGATAACGGCATTGCAACTGCACTTCTTTTCTGCTTAAAGGCAAAGTTCAGCCATCCTGGGCCATGCGGTCTGGGAGCAACAAGGGCCAGCTAACTGTTCAATCAGCCAGCACTCACTGTAAAGTACCTTGGCGGGGGTAGCGGGGGAAGGGACAAGACAAGGAAACCATGGGGCACAGCAGAGGGCTGCAGATGGTATAGATGTTCCTGGTGAAGTTGGAGGGGCTTCCCGAGGATCTTCCCAGATCCTCTGCCAGCCCCTGGGACCATCCCTGCCCAGATGGTGATAGGATGATGGGGACACATCTCAGAACCAGGACTGAGGAGGCCTGTTTTTTCTGGCACTAGACCCCTTTCTGTTACTTTCCTATCCTACCCTCAGGATTTGATTACCTCAAGGCCTAGGCCTGGACTTGCAGTAAACAGACCCCCTAAGGATTTCCTGAAGTCCCCTAATCCTGAGGTGATACAGCTCATGCTACTCCAGCCCAGATCAGTTCTATCCCAATGCCTCCCATTAGGGAGGCTGACAGCTGCCTGTGCCAACCTCAGTCATCCAAGAGGAGCCTAGGTGTTTTATTTCCATTGCCTGATTCAGTCCAGTTCTAAATTTTTATGTGGTCACATCTCCCCAACCATATTCTTTGTGACTTTCTCTCATTCACACTGTTCTCATGCCTGGAAAAGTCATTCTCATGCCATCTGTTCAAATGTCATTTTTAGATCCTTTCCAAAAGGAAGACGTCTACTGCTTAACTCTTACCCAAGTAGATTTAGTTTTGGCACATGCTCTGTCAAACAGTCCCTTCCCTCACGATTCCTTATTTGACCTAGTTCCCTCCCCCACCCCGTGCAGTACTGGGGTTGCTAGGTAGGCACTCTATCACTTAAGCCCTCAACCCTTTTAGCTTTGGTTATTTTTGAGATAGGGTCTTGCTTTATGCCCAGGTTGGCCTGGACCACAATAGTCCTATTTATGTTTTCTGAGTAGCTGGGATGACAAGCGTATGACACCATGCTCAGCTTTTATTGACTGAGATGGGGTCTCCCAAACTTTTTACAAGGTCTGGCCTTGAACTGTGATCCTCCTGATCTCCACTTCCTGAGTAGCTGAGATTACAGACGTGAGATATCATACTCACCATACTCAGACCTAAGATTTCTCCCTTTTCCTGAATCGAGTTCTCCATAAACACTAAGGACTACTGTGGGGCTCTTGTCTTGGCTACACAATGGACGGTCAATCATAGCTGTGTTTGTATTTCCTACGGATGGTATGCATTTCGATCCTGACGGGCTGAGGGGTTCATCTTGCTTCACCTCAGAAGAGAACCACCTCTTCTGAGCTGGATGTTCTCTCAGAACAGGATATGGGGCCTTTCGTCTTCTGTCCCTGGACCTCTCAATTCCAGATTCTTTCAAAGGACAACTAAATACCAACCTTAGTGTTAAATGCAACCTATGGTGCCTGTCCTGAAGGAGATCTTTGACAATGAATGTTCCAGAGCCCAGTAAATACATCTGAGGAAGAGGACAGAAATAGCATTAGCACTTGTTTTTGCCTCTGGTCCAATTACTGGGGTCCCGGGGATTGCAGCTGATTCCCACAACACCTCTCCCCCTCATCTCAGGAGCCCAAAGGGAAGACAAGTATGTTTAGTCATGAGTTAATTCATGAGCCAGTAGTGAAATCACTCTTGTGCTCACCTCTCACTTAAATGATTACATAACTATAAAAAAGGAAGAAGATCCCATGAACCACGTTACTTAACTGTTCCCTGAGATCTATCTTTGACATCATACACAGACAGTTTGATTTGTGTCATCTGATTGATAAGAGAGTCTTGAAAGAAGGCAATACTGCTTAGAAATATAGGATTGTTGGTTCCCTGGAACAGAAAATTAAATAATCAGAGCTGAAGTTGTTTAAAGGGATTGTTTCAGAAACACATTAACATTTTCAGAATGAAAAACTAACATTTTTACTGACGTGGCACAACACAAATGCTAATGGTGGCTTAAATAGATGCATACAACCAAAAGCCTTTTCCAAAAGAGGAAAATGTAATCTGTCATAAATTGTAACAAATCTAGACTCAACAAACAGGATCACTGCACAAGTTGTGTTAGGGGCACATTTGTATGGGTTTCACATTTAGAAAGAACATTTTTCTAAAACTAAAATGAGTTCAATGTCCACATGTATTTCTAGTGTCACAACTTGAAGTGTATTATGTATTTGGACCTACTACTTTGGGTTGTTTCTTCAAGATGTACAAACAGGCAGGTGAAAAAAGAAAATGAATGGGTTAGGTTGCTTATTATTTCTAGAATCTTCTGTTTGGAATAATGAAAGCTGAATTTTTAAAAGGTTTCTCTTTTTTTAGGACCAGCTGCTGGTTTTTAGAACACAGATGGCTATTTCCTGGCAGCTTAGCTCTGCCTGCTCCCCCAAGCTTCACAATATCATATTCTCTTTCTCAAATAATAGTTACTAGGTCCTGTTTGCACTGGTTTTGATGTGGGCCTCTGGCTGGGTTCTCCCAATGACATCATACCTAGTCTCTCAATGTCTAATGATGCCCCACTTGGGGGGTAGTGGGACCTCCCTCAACTCCCTTCTCCCTCCATTTGCCTTTGGTGAAAGCCATCTCTGTCCAAGCAGTCCACTTTAGTGGACTCCGTCTTTCTCCATCACTATCAACCACCCAGTGACCATGAATTCTTCCTGAAAGTTGAACTACTTCTTTCAACATCTTCCCTGTGTCACCAAATATCCATCAGAGTGACTCTGCTGCAAAAGGCCTGCTGTGGCCAGCTACTGTGCTGCATCACAAGCTCCCTTCTGGTCCTAGACCCCAATTCAGACCTGCTGAGGCAGAATTTCATTAAGCTCCACCTGGGGAAGACTGCTGGATGAGATCTCCAACTTCCTGTGCTCGCCTTACCTTGCTACTCTAACACTTCCCACACTCTACTGTGGATGGAGGTGGCCACATTCATTTCTGCCTCCCCATCCACAGGCTGGGAAGGAAAACTCCTTGGAGCAGGGACTGTGCTCCTAGGGCCTTCATATGATTGTCTGGCACTGTGCTTAACATGTGGCAATGCCTAACAACTGCTTACAAAACACAGTGGTTGCCATGAACTTGGAAACAAATTTCTAAGAGACTAAAAGAATAGTCTAGCTTCAAAAATGTAAAACCAATTAACAAAACTGTTTTTATTTAAAATTATGTATTATGTTTTATGTAAAAGTACAAAAATATTAGAACAATGTAAATGCAGTTTAAGTTTTTTGATAATTACTCACATTGTAAATAAAACCCTGAGGAATTTTATACTAACAACTCCCTACACTTAGTGTCTGAACTCACATAATGTGTTCAATTATCTACAAGGATTTTGTAAAGTTACCTAAAGAATTCTGGATGTATATCAACTGATTTAAAGAGTACACATAGAACAGAAAACTCAAAAGTATATAAAAATAAAAACCAACAGCAAAGGCTTGGTTAATAGGCAACACTCTTCTGAACTTTGATTAATGAGCCACAATTCTCAAGAAGTAGCAGCCAAATAGAAATGACAAGGAAGAATGAGATCTTATCATTTAAGGGGCAATCAACCTTAGAAGATCACTACTCAATAATACCCATTCAGCAGTTCATCAATAATTATAAAGGTCATGGCAAATGTAAATACCCCCCAGATGAGTGAGAGTGATGAAAAATATCAATGTACTGAAAACCACAAAAAAACAATTCACATAAATATAACTGCAACTACAGAAGCTCAGGAACTAAACAGCCCTCTTACCAGGGCTACAAATCCCATGTGAGCACATTCTTGGCTCCATTAGAAGAGTACTCACCTCAATGATCTCTGTCTGTGCGTGCTTTGTCCAGAAAGCCTGAGGAGGGGTGGTGACACTCACTGCTACAAAACTATTTGGTTTTCGATCTAATGATGGAGTATGCAGTTCACTGCAAGCTACAGAATGAAGATGGGAAGGAAACGAATCCTTTTAGACCAGGCTCTAGTTATTTATCTGCTTCAAACAAACCCAAACAAAGCATAAACTGACACTCCAAAGGATCAGGTGATCACGTTGTCAGTTGTCTTGGGGAGGTGATTTTAAAAATGTGGAACAATCTGTTTATTCCTTTCTCCTTCCCACCTCATAAAACAGTAAAGCCAACACTGCAGTGGAAGGCTGCATTAGGACGACTTCCTAGATACATGCAATGGATCACAAATCCAGCAATCTCCTATCTTCTTTTGGAAGTTTTCTTCTTTACCTATATCTAAAAATCCCAATTTTCTTTTCAATTGTGTCAAATTTGCTCTTATACCTATTCATAGTTTTAGAGTATCCATTTGATTCTTTCGTAGTTTCTAGTTCTCTAGTAAGGTGTTTAATAATGTCATTATTACCCTTTAACATATTGTTATGGACTGAATGTTTTGTCCTCTCCCAAAAATTATGTTAAAATCTTAACCATTAAGCTGATGGAATTAGGAAGGGAAGCCTTTGGGAGGTGATGACTCATGGGAATAGAGGTTTCATATTGGATCAGTGCCTTTAAAAGAAGAGACATTTGTTCCCTCTATTCTCTGACACATGAAGATACGAGATTCCATCTATGAAACCAGATACTGGTCTGCTGGCACCTTGATGTTGGACTTCCCAGTCTCTACAACTCTGAAAAATAAATTTCTGCTGTTGAAGCCACCCAGTCTATGATACTCTGTTATAGCAGCCCAAACTCACTAAAATGCAGTCAATAGTTATTCTAACATCTGTGTCAACATATCCAGATCCCCTCTGGGTCTGTTTGTATTGCTAGTTATTTCTGCTCATATGTCTTGTTTCCTCATAGTTCTGAGAATCTACAATTAATGCTAAAAAGAACATTCTAAACATTGCTTATAGAAATTATCTCAGACCCAAACTGATGCTATCTTTCTCCAGAGATGATTTTTGATTGCTTCTGCTGGGTTCTGAGAAGCACTGGCACTCTGATATACCTTTGTTTATTTTAGGGACTAAGTAGACCTGTAGTCCTTGTGAACAACTGCATCTGATTTCCTTTACTCTAGAAGTGTAACCTTCTGGATTCTAAATCAAAGTCAAAGAGGTTCCATCAAGCATCTGGCACTTTACAACTGGAGGCTGTCTAAATCTCTGCTCAGCATCCAGACCTCTAAGCCTTGCTCCTGAGAATCACTGTGAGCCCTCAAAGAAGTAAGCAGGCCTCCACCTTCAGATTCTTTACTATCCTATCAATTCTCTGGAGACAAGGACAGGTATTTCTTAGATTTTGCTCCTTTTTTCTAGCATCCTTAATGGTAGGATTTCATTTTTGTTTATCTATTTTTCATCTAGAAGCATGTAAGATTTTTCTCTTTATGTTGGAATTTAGAAGTTTCAGAAGGAGATGGCTGGCAGTTGGTGAAGATACTGGGCCTCCAATCTATCCTTCTCCCAGAAAAAAAAAAAAAATTCTTTACTTTTGGCCTGCTCTTCTTTCTATCTCCTTCTCTTCTTCTGGGTCTCCGAGCAATAAAATATTTTAACACCATACTGTGTCATATGTCTTTACTCAAAATCTTTTTCATATTTTGTCTTTAAGCTATGAAATTGTTTCTTCATTGGCCTTTACAGATTCATAACAGTCTTCAGCACAGTACCCCTAACTTTTTTAAAAAGATGTTTTCTATTAAGATATAATTCACATATTATAAAATTCACCCTGCCAAAATGTACAATTCAATGGTTTATTGGGTACTTAGAGTTGTGCAACTATTACCACTATCTACTTCCTTAATGTGGACAATACTTCAAAAGAAAAAAAATCCATACCCATTAACAATATTCACCATCCCTCTTCCCCAACCTCCTCCACTAATCTCTTTCCATATAGAGTTGTCTGCTCTGGTATTTTATATAAATGGAATCATACAATATATGACCTTGTGTCTGGCTTCTTTTCCATTTGGCATATTTTCAAGGCTCACCCATGCTACAGCAAGTGTCAATAGCTCATTTCTTTTAACTGATGAATAACAGGCTACTGAATTATTTATCCATTCATTGACTGATGGATATTTTGGTTATCGATTATAAATAATGCTATGAACATTTGTGTACAAGTTTTTGTGTGGATATATGTCTTCATCTCTTTTGAAAGACTTTTTCTTTTCCTTTGAAGGTATTGGGGATTAAACTCAGGGTCTCATGTTTGTTAGGCAAGCACTCCACCACTTAAACTATGCCCCAGTCCTGAAAGACAATTTGTTGGATACAGAATTCTTGGTTGACTGCTTTTTCTTTTAGGAACTCATTATGTCATCTCACTACTTTCTGAACTCCATATTCATGATGAAAAATATGCTATTAGTCTTACTGAAGACCCCCTGTGCATAGTAAGTCACTTCTCTCTGATTGCTTTTTCAATTCTGTCTGAGTTTAGTAGTTTCATTATGATGTGTCCAAGTGTGGAGATCTTTTGACTTTATCCTATGTTGAATTCACTGGACTCCTAGGATATGCTTTCCATCAAATTTGGGAAGTTTTTACCCATAATTTCTTCAAATATCCCTTCTCTCTCCTTCTTTCCTTTTCTCTGGAACTCCCATTAAACCTATATTGGCACACTTAATGGTGTCCCACAGTTCTCTGAGGCTGCTCATTTTTCTTCATTCTTTTTTCTTTCTGTTCCTCAGACTGGATAATTTCAACTGACCTGTCTTCAAAGTTTGCTGATTTTTTTTCTTCTGCCTGTAGTGGAGCCTCTTGCAATGAAATTTTCACTTCAGTTATACTTTTATGCTCTAAAATTTATATTTGGTACTTTTTATAATTTTTTTCTTCACTGGTATTTTCTATTGGGTAAGACAGTGTTCTCATACTTTCATTTAGTTCCTTACTTATAATTTCCTTTTGCTCTTTGAACACATTTAGAACACCTGATTTAAAATCTTTGCTTAAAATTCAAACATCTTTGCCTCCTCAGGGACAGTTTCTACTGACTGTGTGTGTGTTTTAACTCTCCTGTACGTGAACCATACTTTCTTGGCTTTTTATTTTTTTCATAGCTCCTTATTTTTTGTTGAAAACTAGACACTTTGAGTTATATAATGTAGCAACTCTGAAAATCAGATTCTCTTCCTCCTCAGGGACTGTTTCTTTTGTTGTTGTTTTTGCTGACTGGTTGGTGACTTTCCTGATTTTATTCTGTACAGTAATATTCTTTTGTCATGTATGGCCACTACAGTGACCGTCTGGTTCACTTAGTGGTCAGATAAAATTGGACAAAGATTTCCTTAACCACCAGCAGTCACAGACCTTTTGGCTCCTGCTAAGAATCTGTGTGTACATATTGGTATATATCTTTAATGTTCAGGTAGGCGTAAGTATCTGTCTTCACTTTCTGCTCAGTCTCAAGTGACCGCTTACACCTTCTCAGGTCTTTCCTGAGCATGCACACAAACTGGACATGTGTATACCTCTACACATGTGCTGGCTGCCATGAATATGTCAGAGCTTTTCAAAGCTCCTGGTGGACATTATCTTTCTCCAGTTAAGTGTTGGGGTTTTTGTTTGTTCGGTGGTTTTTTTTTTTTTTTTTGGTCAGCTTCTTATTTGCCTCAAGTGCTAGTACTGCTTTGTGCAGCTGCAATGTTTTTTTTTAAAAAAATGCTACTTATTTATTGTTATTGGTGGTGGTGATGCTGGAGATTGAACTAGGGCCTCAAACATATTAAATAGATGCTCTACCACTGAGCTTACCCCCACCCTAGCCACTGATGGCTTTTCACAAACAGAGAAAAAGCTGTTCTAGTGGGTAAATTCTGAGTGAGGCCAAATAACAACTCTCTGAGAATGGGGCTTTGTGGAATCTCTATTCTGTCCCCCAGTGGTTTCTAGGTTACTGACTTTCACCACGATTTCAGGCAAAGACTGGGAAGATTGATATCACTTTAAGGGTCAATGAGTCCATGTCTACCTTCAGAACACCTACAGCCTTTCTATAAGTGACATTTTCTGCTGGCTTCTCCTCCATATCCCAGCCGACCTAAATAGCACCCCATGCTTAATTACTAGCTCGAGTTTCATTGCTGCCATTGCAGCTTCCTCTGAGCAGCCCCCAGTCACACCGCCTTCTGCTTATCACTTTCACCACTCATCTGGCATATTTCCAATTAATCTCTGATACAGAGGTCTTGTCTCTTGTCTAAGTTCATCTGTAATTCTGGCTGAATAAATGCTAAATAAATGCTTCTGAGGTAAACAGGTAAAACATATTTCAAGTACATATCATTTGATTCAGCAATTTCAAATCCAAGAGTTTATCCTAAGAAAATAATTAGCAAAAAATGTACAAAAGATCTTGTGTTATGTGCACTGTGGGGATACTTACAATGGCAAATTGGAAAGAACCTAAATGTCCAACGGTAAAATAGTGTTAAAATAAGCAACAGAGCCTACTCTACGTAGGCATCTGAAATAATGAGGCTGACTCCATATCTATTAAATTGAAAGTATGCCAGTGATATTTTGCTATATGAAAAAAGCACATCAAGAATATTAAGATGACATTTTTTACATAATTCCATTACCTCTGTCACCAGATTCATTAAAAAATTCCACATAGCAGTCTATGAGGGTAAAAAAATATTTAAAAGAATAGATACCAAAATGGCAATAGGTCATCTCCAATAGAATTTTCTTTTCCTCTAACACTTCCTGTATTAAAGGTTTTACAATGAGCACAGATTTAATTTTTTTAAATTTTCAACTTTTATTGATTTTTTTTTTCCTTTGGGAGTCACAATATTTGCTCTTTCAATCATCCTGCTCCTGCTTTTGCTCTCCCTCTCTCCTCTCTCTCTCTCTTTCTCCCTCCCTCTCTTCCTCTCTCTCAGTGGGACTTGAGTTTGAACTCAGGGCTTCATACTTGGAAAGCAGATGCTCTATCTACTGCTTGAGCCATGCCTCCAGTTCATTTTGCTCTCATTATTTTGGAGATGGTTTCTCACAAACTATTTGCCTGGAGTGGCCTTGAACCATAATCCTCCCAATCTTAGCCTTCCAGTGGTTAGGATTACATGTGTAAGCTAACACGCCAGGTTCTCCTGCTCACCATTTTTTTAAAAATGTGGTAAAATCAACTTAATATAAAATTCATCCTCACCTTTTTTAAGCTGCTTTGTCCTCCATGTGTCTAATTAACAAGATTGCATTACTGCTCTTGATTTGCTAGATTCAGAAATGTCCTGATTTCCACCTATTATAGGCATGAAAGTCTTAAATTCAATTACACAACTCCTATGCTCTAAACGCTATCATTTTAGTTCAATTTTTTTTATTAAATTTACATTCTGCATGATTAAACTTAAGCAAATACAATTCATCACGAGCCAGGTGAGATTTCTTTCATTTCTCTCCATTGTGGATACTATTTCCTGGGCACTGTATCATCTTTTTTTCTCAACTTATGCCCTCTTTTGGGTGAGGCACAGTCTTCATAACTTCCCAAAAAATGGATATAGGTAAAGTCAATTTATCTGACATTTTGTGGAGCTGAAACAAGTTGCCTTCTGCCCTTATATTCCACTGATAGTCTGCTTGGGTAGAAAACTCTAGGTTAAAAATACAATTAAAGGTGCTGCATCACGGTCTTTAAATTTCCAATTCCACTGAGAAGTTTCATGCCACTTTTATTCCTGATCCTTAGTGTAACCTGTTCTTCCCTCTGGAAGGTTTAGAATTTTCATTTTACTTCCTGTGTTCTGAAATTTCATCGTTATGTCCCTTGATACGTGTCTTTTTCAATCATTATGCTGGGCCTTCGTAGGCATTTTTAAACTAGATACACATTATTTAGTTCTGAGTGATTTCTTTTATTATTTCTTAGTAACTTTGCCCCTTGAATTCCTATTTTTGTTTTTAAATGTTGACCCCCTGAATTTACTGTATAATTTTCCATTTCCACTTTCTATTTTGCTTTTAAAATTGTACTTTCTGAGAGAATTCCTTAAATATCTTCAAAATTATACTGAATTTCTAAATTTCATCTGTTGTTTTAAATTTTAAGGTTGTGTTTGTTTTTCAGTTGTTCTTATTTTTTTTCCTTTAAGATATCCTACACTTAGATACACATAAATAAATAATCTTTCTTGAGGATAGAAGTTCTTTGACATTTTCTTCTACTTCTGCAACATCTCCATTTCTTGAAGTTGTACTTTTTTCTGTTTTTTTTCTTTCATGTTGTAAGTCACCCACACAGGTCCAGTGTTCTTTTTTTGTTTTGGGGGGGGGGTGCCCAGCAAGAGGGGGTCCCTGGGGTTTGAGCTTGGGGCCTCACACTTGCTACACAGGCACTCTACCACTTGAGCCACTCCACCAGCCCCAGTGGTCTTTTGACTACTCTTTCATTTCGTTTTAAATCAATTTTTAGGTATCATTTATCATAAAACGTATCCACTGTAAGTGTACAGTTCAATGCATTACAGTAAGCACCTGTATCCATATAACCAAAGTTAAGATACAGAACATTTCCTCACCTCACAGCATTCCCTTCCCCCTTTCCAGTCAACTCTCACACCAGTCTCAACAACCAGTCACCCGCTTTCCATCACTATACATTAATCTTCCTGAGTTTCAAGCAAATGGAAATCAAACAATACTCAGCCTTCAGTGTATTGCTTCTTTCTTTCACTGTGCATGATACTTTCAAGATTTATCCATGTGGTTATTTCTATCAGTCATTCATTCCTTTCCCTTTCTGAGTAGGATTCTGCTCATAACTAACTATTCCATCATAGTAAAGCTTTCTGTTGATGGGTATTTTGAGTTGTTACTAGTGTAGGTTATTAAAAATAAAGCTGCAATGACCATCTGTGCCCCAATCTTTAAGTGGGTAATCATCCACATTTTAAAGAATGAGATACTGGAAGGCTATGTGATGCACTAAGTAAAGCGGGTAGGCTCAGTGGGCTCCACCACAATGACAGGTGGATGGCCAACCTATTTTAGGTTGGGTTCTAGAAGGCCAGAGTCTCTTTGTCTCTTCAGGGGGAGTGGGTGATTTACTTCCTCCAGAGAAAGAGCCTCCTCCCTGGAGGCATATGCACAGCTGAAAGAGGATGAAAGCAATCCCTTGTTTTGACTGGCCCCTCATCTCTTCTCTGTGCTGATATACCTCACACAGAGTCTCTTTGCTTCTGAATTTCTCAAGAAAATAACCCTCCAGCCTCTACAGGGCTAAGGGGGTATAAGAGGACCTGAGCCCAAATTCTTCCTCGTACAAACTACCAATAAGCCCCCATGCTTTTGTCTCCTGACTACTCCCAGTGCCTTTGGGACAAACCCTCTGCTCAGCCTCTGACATTCATGGACATACAGGTGTGGCCATACTCCTCTCTCCTACTTAATAGTCTTCCATATGTCTCCTCCTCCCAGGTGACATTTTTGGGCTCCAAACTGTCTCACTGCTTGGGGTATGCATTTTTGTTTCTTATCTGTATTGATATTTGGGGTGAATAAGATAGGAGGTATTTGGAAATGTTCACTTTGCTATCAACAAACAACTCCTTGGGTCAGTTTTTTAATTTGTAAAATGCAAGACAGTTCTTCAAAGGTGGGGACAGGCAGAAGTGTGGAAACCCCAGTGTGGTTAGAGGCTGCTTCCCCAATCCTTCCATTCCTGCAAGCAGCATGTGCTCACTGCCCACTGCAGACCAGCCAACAGGACAAGACAGGGGAAACCCTCTAAACTTGTTTAAGAACATTTCATCAGAAATAGAGACATTTTCTAAGTTTCATATGAATTTGAGATTAATAAACTTATATTTTTATGCTCATTTTTGTTGTTGTTGAAGGGGGTTTGACTGCCTTGATCTTTGTCTCTGGAACAAGCAACAGCTCCCTCACACAGCATGTGGAGAAACTGGTTCCTTAAGGTCAAGTGGCAGGCTTGAGGCCATGCACGTGGTTTGGAAGAGTTAGAACTACACTCCTGGTTATTGAACTCCCCAGAAGGTGACTCTTTTATGTCACACCTAGGGGACATTATGGCCAGGTCACCAACCAAGGGGTGGAAGAGAGGAGGGGAGAAGAGCACTGCATAGTGTGGGCTCTGGAGGAGAAGTGTCTCAGGCCAAGCCCACCCAGCTCTCTGGCCTCCTGAGTAAGTCACAGTAATGCCATGCTTCCCTGACCCTGGACTCTGCACAATCAAATCCATTTTTAGTACATTCTCTCATTTGATCCTCACTGAAAGGGACAGCACTCAGGTGTCATCAATATCTTCATCAGAGAAGGGAACTGAAGACTAGAGAGCTAAATTCTTATAGCCAGGAAGCACAAAGTGCAGCCCTAAACCCAATTTTCTCATTCCCTCTCTGAGAAGGGTAGGAGGAGAGAGGGCTGAGGGGGTCTCTCTGGCAGGTCCCTGTCCACTGTAGGGCTGTGGAGAGCTCACTCCAGACAGGAGAGCAGGCTGTTGCTGAGACAGCAGCCTGTGGGCACTCATCCTCCAAGTTTCCTTCCTGCCCACAGGAAGTTCGTGGCCTCATCTTCTCAGAAATACCGTAGCAAGTTCTTAGAGACAAGAACCCTACAAGTAGGGTTTCTGTTTTGTTTTAAGCGACACTTTTTTTAAACAAAATAATAATAATAATAATAAACAACAACAAAAAGGATACCTACCTAAGCTGAATTCTAAAATGGGCTCATCTGGGTCTTGTATATTTCCTGAGTAGAACAAAAATGACAAAAAATCACCCTTAATAAACCAGTCCCTGCTTTTAGATTTAATGCTAAAACAAAAACCCAACACTTTACTTCCTCCCCTCCACCCCAAACAATTACAAGTGATTTTTACATTTTTAAATTTTTCTTTCTTTCTTTTTTCTTTTTTTTGTTTGAGCAGGGTTTCTCTAAGTACCCCATGCTGGCCAAGAATTCACTATATAGCTCAGGCTGGCCTCAAATTCCCAACCCCAGCCTCCTGAGTGCTGAGATTACAAATGTGCACCACCATGCCAAGATTGAGTTCTCCATTTCTGAAAAGACAACTGGCTTTTGAGATTCCAAGGATATCACAAATCCAAGACCAAACCCAGTCTTCCTCAGGTCTACAGACCCATAATAGGGAAGGCTTTTCTTATGACTAGGCACTTTCTAGACAGGCACTGTGGACATTCCCATACCACCTCCTGGCAAATGAGCCTTAGAAGTACCAACCTAAACTAGAAAACTGGTGATAATCAGGTTCCATGACACCAGTTCCCAGGAATAAGGCTGGCTTTCCCTTCCAATTTCCTAGTTCAACTAGAAGGATGGGAGATCAGGGCACACTCCCTTGTTCTGCCTATCAACCAGGTGCCCCAGAAGGCAGGCTTATCCCCCTCCCCCAGCACTGCTTCTTGACCCTTACTGCTCAGCACATAACAGCATACATTGCTTGATGAGAGCTTGTACTGTGAGCCTGGTATAGGCTCTGTGAGACTCACCTGCCAGAGAGAGGCCCAGCATGTCAGCTGCCACATCGATTGTGGAAGCCCGCTGCATCGCACGGGCCCTGGAGCCATGGCGAGGGCTCTGCTCTCTTGCTGTCATGATGTCATTGGTGAGGAACTGCTTCCTGTTTCTGGGTCAAATCACACCTGATTTCCTGGGAAGCACTGTTAGCAAACTAGCTTCCTAATGTGGCAGTGACCCTAAGAAATAGGAGTAAACATTGGTAAGAAGTCAGGAGACTGGTGATGAAGAGACACTGTGCTCCCATGAAGAAAGAATGTGACCTAAGATGTTGTGTTCATGGGCTACTGGCAGGTGAGGAATTGGGGTAGAAAGTTTGCTACTCTTGACCCTTCCTCCCCACTTCCCAACATAGTATGCCCATAGTATTCAATAAAGAAATCATACCCTGTTCAACAAAAATATACTACACTAAATGATGGTCTAAGTGTAATCGTAAAATACAGCTTTTGAAATTTTCTTGTTGCTCTATTTGCTCTTCTGTTGGTAAGTCTCATAGAATCGTTACAATTCTAAATGGCTTTACAATCTCTGACAGAAGGATAAGCACTACATGAAGACATCTGCTATCCAGAGGCTACCTCAGTATGGCAAACACTGGAAACAATGCTTGCAGCCCTAACCTGCTTTTTGTCTTCCTGAGCTACAAAAAATCTCCTGTGTTTCTTGGTCTTATACTCTCTTTCCTGCAAAGGGTCAAGTGACACTCTACACCTAGTCGAAGGGGAAGATGCTGAGGATGGGAGGGCTGTGGGAAAATCACTACTGCAGGTTGAGTTAGACCAAGGTTGCCCTGGTGAAGCACGGAACTCACATTCTGTTCTCAGAAGCAGGTTAAGCAGCAGGAAAAGAGTTTCGGGTTGTCCAGCCCTGTGTGCTACAACCACTGCTGGTTCCTGTCCAAACCTGTGTGCTACAACCACTGCTGACTCTAGAAGGAACCAACTTTTAACTGTTAAGATAATTAACAGAGCCACTAGTCTAGTTTAAAACACCCTCTTCAAAGGTCTCCATATATCTCAAAACACCCTGTCTTCTCCAGAACTGTCCATGCCTCTGCCTGAAGGACCTCAGTTCTGGTTCTTGAACTGTAACTGTACTTACTCACCAAGTAACTTACTGGACATGCTTGCTCTTGGATCATGTGGCATTTCTTCATAGGAGTATGTCCAAATTCATCATCTAGAAAAAGAAAAACTCGATTAGCTAACCAAACATGAAGTTTCCAAGAACACAATGCTTAGAAAGGCATAGAACCAAGAGCTATTCCATATGCATTAGAGCTCCACACCCCAATCCAACTTTTGGCTCAAAAACATGTTTTACTAAAACCCAAAGAGTAAGAAATAAAAAGTGCACATTTCTCTTCCAGCTCCAGGGGTGAGCTGTTCAAGGGAGTGAGTGCCTGCTCTAAAGAGCCAAGGAAACAGCTGAGGGAGGTTTAGGGAAAACAAGATGTGAAATTGAGTCCTAGATTTCTCACTCACAAAGCACAAACCCCAGAGGAAGCTGCAGGGCTCCTCCCAGGGGGAGGAGACGAAGCTAAGTATACATTTCTCAAGGAGCTGCAGTCAAGGCCAAATGTGCAATAATGGGAGAGCACTCCGTGGACTGCTGGGCTCCTATGCTGCTGCTGCTGCTGTCATCAATGCCTGGTGGTCAGGTGCCTTCCTGAAGAGGGGAATGTCCAGGCCCACTCAGTCACAGCACTGCTGTGGGGCTGTTTTGACAGCCCCACAGATCTGAGTCATGAACCACCCAGAGTGTGGAACTCTGGGACTCAGAGGATAATAAAAATAGTACTTTAGCCCTTAGGCAGACTCAGTTTCTCCTTCAGGCTGGGTTCCTAACCCTATGGGGTCACCCAGGGGCCTTCAGCCTGCCCAACTAAGCAGAGAGGGCTTGTGGCCTGGGGGGAGCCACCATTAGAAACCATTAAGCGGAAGACTCACTGGTTTTCTCACATCAAAAGGCATACGACTTGAAAAATATGTTATACCAATAGTAAAAACCAAGAAAATACCTGCAGTACTAAAACCTGCATTTCACAGTAATGTTGGCACAAATTAACAAAAACTCACTGGTAATGCAAGAGGCCAAGCTCTAAGGCAATTAAAGTAATACTAAATATACCTTTCTTCATCTAACTTAAGTCTTGCCAAAGGAAGTTTGTCTGTTCTTCTAATGAAAATACACACTGCTGGCAGGCCTGGAGAAAACTATGTAAGGCTCTTCTGCATTGCTTGTAACATTTTTAGAGTAAATAAAGCCAAAAAATACGAGAAAAGTTTTTCAACCTGATTATCCACTAGGGAAATGGAAACCAAAACTATGATATCTCACACACTCCCTAGAATAAAAAAGACAGACAATGCCAAGTGCTGGTAAGGACATGGGATAATAACTGGAACCAAAGCTGCTAGTGAAGTAGAAAGAATATAGCCACTTTGGATGCCAGGCAATCTCTACTCAAGCTGTGCATATCCTACCCTGTGACCTGGGACCACAACTCCACAGTACAACTGCTAATAGAAATGCATGCTTGCATACATCAGAGTGTTTACTGTAGTGATAATCATAACAGTAAGATCCTAGAGACAATACACATGTGTTCTTCAACAGTAGAATGGATAGACAAACACAGAAAAATCTTAGAAACAACATCATCATCCAGGTACACCAGAGCCCATTCTAGGTAAGTTTACTTTTGTGAAGTGCAGGCAGAGGCCAAATGAATCTATGGTGTGAGATCAGAAGAGAGGTATTGTATAGAGCTGGGCACTGACTGGGAAGGGCAGGAGTGGTGGGGGAAGGGAAGGGACTCTTGGGCTCCAAGAGTATTCTACTCAGGTGCTGGTTCCCTGAGTGATTCTACTGCTATACAGGAGTGATTTTTATACCTCAAAAAAAAGTGTATTAAATTTTTCTAATGACCTGCATAAAGACAAACACAGCATGAACAAATGTTTCTGACAGTTCTGAATCATGTTTTTGTTTGTTTGTTTTTTTGTGGTGCTGGGGTTTTACCTCAGGGCCTACACCTTCAGCCACTTCACCAGCTCTTTTTTTATGATGGTTTTTAAGGTCTCATGAACTATTTGCCTGGGCTGGTTTCCAATGGAGATTCTCCTGATCTCTGCCTCCTAAGCAGCAAGGATTACAAGCGTGAGCCACCAGCAGTAACTTGGCTTCAGATGTGTTTTTAGTGAAATAGCCCTCCTGTGCTCTGGTTACAGCCATTTAAAGAGACATTTAAAGTAGCTCAAGTGGTAGAGTGCCTGCCTAGGAAGCATGAAGCCCTAGTTCAAACCCCAGTACTACCAATCAATCAATAGACAGGCATGACACAGAAGGGAAAGAGCCTGTGGAAGATCACATTGACACCCTGGGTACATCTGGAGTGTGATCATGGGAACTATTTTCTGTCTTCCTGTAATGTCACCCGTATGCTTTACAGAAGGCTATCCCCTATGTTGGCCAGAGGCAGAGATAGAACTGGGTGTGACTTCAAGAAAGGAGCTCTTGCCTCTTGACACTCGTCCCAGCACATATTCAGTGTTCCATTGCCTGCCTTGTTGCCTTGCTCAGCTTAGTAGCAAAGCTGCAAGTGATCCCCTTCACCTGGAAGGATCACATCTATACCCTGACATCTTGATGGGGGAGTGGAAGGGGAAGAGGGAAACATGACACTCTGGACTCCCAAACCCATCCACTTTACCTCTCTTCTCTTCCCCCTGATAGGTCCCTGAGCAATCCACCTACCCACACTTCCCTTAGGAGAGCAGTTTGTATTATAAGTGAGGTCACTGGAGACAGAAATGCATAAAGGGATTAATTTTATTCTGGTTCATAGGTCAGAGAAACTTTTAGGTCAAAAAGACATTAACAGTCAATTCACAGTTATTTGGGGGCATTTAATTATAATCTGCAATTTAAGTCATCAAGACCCAGAACGCAAAGCTAATTTGCACAGCTGAACTTCATTTCCCTTCTTGGTCTCATTAATTTAAGGTAATTCACCAAGGATTCCTATATTCCCATGGTTCCTATTTTTCCTCCCAGCTCTGCTTGAAGACCAGAGCTCATTAGGAAGAAGAAAAACTGCACTTAAATCAAGGAGAACAGAGTGTATGGAAGTTGTTTGGGGGACTGGAAGAAAGAAAGAAGCAACCTCTCATGAAACTCACTGCCTTCTTTCACTTCTCTGTGGAGGATGGGACCCCCTTTTGGCAACACAGGTTGCCACACTGACAGTAAACTCTAAGGTCTGCAGGGGTAGGGGGAATGGTGAGAGAGACAGAGGTTTGAGGGGTGGGGCGATGGTTGAGAGACAAAGGGAGTATTAGGATCCATATAGGGAATGAGGTTCACCAGGGGTGATGAGGCATCTCTGGAGTTTCTAAGGTTTGCCTACCCTCTTCCTCTATGGAATCTCAGGCCAGGAAGGAGGTAAGGAGGCCCCTGTGGCTCAGTGATCTCTTGTGGGCTGCTGAGCTACAGCTGAGAGGGGAAGATGAACTGTGAGAGCTCCATTTTGATCCATCTTATACATGACATTCTTCTGAAAATAATTTTTAAAAGGGATTGTATAGACAAGGAAATAGAAGTGCAGGCAGAGTGAGGGTGTTCAAGGTCACATGAACGTGAAGGATGAATTGTCTCAATCAACCCAAAGCAAAAAGCTCAAATGTGACTGGGCCTTCTCTTCTGCCCCACTCAGCCCTATTGCTGGTCCTGCACCTGTCTGCTTTCCACACACAGACAGTGGGAAAGAAAGTACCCTGAAAGGTGTGAGTGAGTCAGCAGCCCCTGAGGGACAACCTACTTTTGGAGGGGAGGAATTTTCTCTCAAAACTTCAGATGTAGGGTAGCTAAAAACACACGTCAATGAGGTGTCTGCCATACCACTCACTGACACTAAAAACTACTATGCGTAATAGGCTAAGAGAGACAAATGTCCCCTTCCTGCATGAACCTTCCTTACAATGGCTGTAAGCTGTCTATACTTCATGGTAACCTACTTCCTTTGTGTGACCATGGAAGGACCATCTGGGCACCTTGTGTCTCATCAGTGCTAGAATTAAACTCTTTACTTCTTTCATATCATTCTGGATGCCTGACGCAAGCCTAACCATGGACCAGGGTGTCCAACATATACCTGTTGAGTAAGCAAAAACAAAAACCAAAAATCACCACACTGTCTCTGCTTACCCTCCCCTTCCTAAGCACACAGAGCCCCAACTCCCCATCCTTTCCCCTCATACAACCTACCTGGGCTTAAATTGAGCAAGAAATAAGCGTGTGTGCATGAACTGGCTTAAGGGGTTTTGTTTCAACATCAAGGATTACTTACCCTGACTGAAGTCTGTCATCTACTAAGCACTCAATAAATAGCTATAATGAACACAAACAGTTAATTCTTACTGCTCAATGCTTTAAATGGATGAGATGCATAGGCAAGGCATGTGGGAGGGAGAGGCACCCTTCAGAAATCTCTTCCATGTGTTCAGCTAGCCAGAAGCTCTCAGAATTCAGTTTTTTTTGTGGGTTGAGGGGGGTATGGAATCTTCATTATGTAGGCATGACTAATTAAAGCATTAGTTTATCAACTTGATCAGTGGTTTCCTGGCAATCACTCTGAGGCTATCTAGGAGTCCCCACCCATCGGCTGTCTTATTAGCACACAAAAAACATTTATCATTCTTGATATTCCAAGGGTTTTAGGAGCTTTATGTTAGAAACAGGAGGAGGAAGATCAATTATGTATTTTATATTTCACAAAATCAAAACCCATCTCTAACTCTAAGTGGGGCTCAAGACAACATATCTACTCTACCCCTATTCCCAAATACCCTGGGTTAGGCCTGGACCACAACTGCTCCTTACTGTCGAGAAAGTAGACTCACCGAAATGCTCCTAGACTTGCTGATCCACTCAAGGGACAAACACTATGTAGAGTGTTCAAGATTTGCTTCTGTTTCCATTAACCCCCTGGAGCCAGCTGGAGATAGAGGTTATACAGGTGTTTAAAAGCTGATTTTACTAAGAAGCACTGACTCCTTATTTGGGCCCACAAATTATCTAAAGGTAGGATAAAGGCTAAACATTTCTGTCTCCATTTTGTATCTGAGCTATTCTCTCTGCAATCACTTTATAGTCACTTTGGAATCCAGGAAGGACAG